TGGGTGAAGGGAAGAAAGGAAGCAAAACACACTGCCATATGTGTACCTATGCAACTGTCTTGCATGTTCTGCACATGTACCCCAAAACCTAAAATGCAATAAAAAATTTAAAAAATAATAATAATAATAATAAAGAAAGTACCTACTGAGTGTCTAGTATAATGAATGGGAAACCAAAACACACACTAAAGCCACTACCCTCCTGATTTTTTGCTTTGAGTTTTCTTCTGGATATTTTACTCATTCGACCATTGGTTTTGTTCCCTTGTTTTCTGTCCTTGACTTTTTACCTTTTTTTTTTACTTTATTGAACTACCTTGTGGCATGACATCCACTTTTATGATTTTATCCACCTGCATGTCCATGATTGTTCTCTGATACCTAGACCCAGTTGTCTCTCTCTCTCTCTCTTTTTTTTTTTTTTTTTTTTGAGGTAGTCTCACTCTGTCACCTACCCTGGCACAACTCAGCTCACTGCAACCTCTGCTTCCTTGGGTTCAAATGATTCTTATCCCTCAGCCTCTCAAGAGGCTGGAATTACAGACATGTGCACCATGACTGGCTACTTTTTGTATTTTTTAATAGAAATGGGGTTTTGCCATGTTGGCTGGGCTGGTCTCAAACTCCTGACCTCAAGTCATTGGCCCGCCTCAGCCTCCCAAAGTGCTGGGATACGGGCATGAGCCACTGCGCCTGACCTCAGTTGTCTCTCTTATGTACTCCAAACCTGCTTCCTGGAATTGTCTACCCCATTACCACTAGTTCTTGCACATTTCTAAAAGTGAGCTTCTTTCTTTATCTCTTCTTTTTTGGTCTTCTAATGAACCTTTTTATCTTTCTGTATTTTCTCTTGTAGTAACTGAAAATGTCATCCCTACCATGTTACAAGTCAAAAATCTAGCAGTCTGAGGATCATTCTAGGCCCCTGCATCTTCCTCACCCTTCATGTTCAATCAGCGTGTCCTATCAGATCTTGCTGATAGCCCCATGTATCCTGAGTTCCCAGGAAACCCTCCCATTCCTCATTCTTATATAGGAAGGGACAATCAAGGGACATTAGACATTTGAAGAGAAAATCTACAGCATGAAAAAGATAAATAAAAGTAAACTAATCAAAAATTGATCCTCAAGATAATTTTCAAAAAACTCTCAAATAGTAGTTTTAGATTTGAGATTATATTGCCCATAAAAATAAAATGAGAATATGGTTTAATAAAAATAAAGAATAGAGCATAACAAGGATCTTGTAGATGTTAAAATATGACTGCCAAACTAAAATAATTCTATAGAAGGGTTGAAAGATAAATAGAGGAAAACTAAGAGTTTACAGGTAAAAAGACAAAAAGAAGGAAAATATTAGAGTAAAATATAAGACATAAATGTATAAGTCCAACATTCTACTAATAGGAATGCCAGAAAAAGAGAAAAGAGAAAATTAAGAGGAAGGAACTAGCAAAAAATAATAGAAATTTTTAAGAGCTAAAGATAATATTATTCAAAATTAATAAGGTATCTTGGGTGCTGAGCAGAATTTTTTAAGGCATGTAAATATAGATTATATAGAGGTAGATCACTGTGAAATTTTAAAGCGCCAGAAATAAAAGTTCCTGAAGACCTCTAAAAGAAAGCAAAAATGTGCAGCCTACAAAGGAACAACATCTGCAGCATCATCAGATGTTGGGAAAAAACAGAATGATGCCTTTAAGGATTTGAGAGGTCAGGCATGGTGGCTCATGCCTGTAATTCTACCATTTTGGGAGGCCAAGACAGGTGGATTGCTTGAGCTCAACAGTTCAGGTCCAATCTGGGCAACATGTTGAAACTCCATCTCCAAAAAAACCACAAAAATTAGCCAGGCATGGTGGCATGCTTCTGCAGTCCCAGCTACTCGGGAGGCTGAGGTGGGACGATTGCTTGAACCCAGGAGGTTGAGACTCCAGTAAGCTGTAATTGCACCACTGCACTCCAACCTGGGTGACAGAGCAAGACCCTGTCTCAAAAAGGAAGGATTTGAGGAGAATCGTATGCCCAGCAAGACTACTGAATAAGGATGAGGACAAAATCAACTCATTTCTAAATAGGCAAGGACAGAAAGTTTACCTCTCGGAAAAACAGTATGGTTTAACTAGAAATAGCTGATAAAATTTGTTCATGTTTGCTGAACATTTGCTAGTATTTTCAAAATTCTGCAAGTTCTCTTTGCAGTTTTATTGTATAAAATAGAGTATTTTCTTTAAATATTGAATTATTTCTGTTTCTTTGTTAGGTTTTTTAAGAGACAGGGTCTTGCCATGTTGCCCAGACTGGTGTAGAACTCCTGGACTCAAGTGATTCTTCTTCCTCAGTCTCCTAAGTAGCTAGGACTACAGACACACACCACCACACCTGGCTAATTTTTCTATTTTTTGTAGAGACAGGATCTTGCTATGTTCCCCAGGCTGGTCTCAAACAATCCTTCTGCCTTGGCCTCCCAACGTACTGGAGTACAGGCTCAAGCCACTATACTCAGCCTGTTACTTTAAAAAAAAAAAAAAACACCAAACTTCATCAGCCAATTAATCTCTCTGCTTTCTTCTACCCTCCCCTGCTTTTTTTTTTTTTTTTTTTTTTTTTTTTTTTTTTTTTTTTAGTGAGATGGAGTCTCACTCTGTCACCCAGTCTGGAGTGCAGTGGCACGATTTCGGCTCACTGCAACCTCTGCCTTCCTGGTTCAAGCAGTTCTTCTGCCTCAGTCTCCCAAGTAGCTGGGACTACAGGTGTGTGTGCCACCATGCCCGGCTAATTTTTGTATTATTAGTAGAGACAGGTTTTCACCATGTTGGCCAGGATGATATCAAACTCCTAACCTTATGATCCACCTGCCTCGGCCTCCCAAAGTGCTGGGATTACAACTGTGAGCCATTGCACGTGGCCTACCCTTTTTTATTTTATTTTATTTTTTTTTTTAGAATTTCCCTTATGCATTGTTCTAAAAATCATGTCTCGTGGTTGATAATTTCATTCTTTGTATTTATCTGAATTATGTATATTTCTGCAACTAATTAGATAACTTTTTATAGTATGTAAGAATGTATAAATTAGCAGTTAAACAAAAAAAGTTCTACATTATGGGAAGTAGGGGGATAGGGGAGCGCTTTTTCCCTATTATGACATGTTTTAATTTTACTAATTTAATTTCCTAAACTTTCCTTCCTTATTTTTTTGCTTCCTTTTTTTGTTTCGAATTTTTATACTGTGGTAACAAAATTTGCCATTTAACCATTTTTAAGTGTACAGTGAGTGGCATTACATTCACAGTATTGTGCACCCACCAGTATTTCCAAAAATTTTCCATTACCCCAGAGGTTCTATAATTATTTAACAATCACTCTCCATTTCTTCTTCCCCTCTAGCCTCTGGAAACCACTAATCTTTATGTTTCTATGAATTTTGTTTTTTTATAGCAATAATTTAAGTGAGATGTTTCTATGAATTTTATAATTCTGTCTTATACAGTACCACTAAAAAGTACAGATAATAATCATTATGTAAAATATCATTTATAATATATGGCATTTTGTTATCATCATCTACAGTGTCTGTCTTAGTTATCTATTAATGCATAACAAATTGCTCCAAAACTTAATGTCTTAAGACAACAGTAGCCATGTATTATTTCTTATAGTTTCTATGGGTGCAGAATTCAACCAGCGTACAACAGGGATGACATATCTCCTCCGGGATAACTGTGGCTTTTGCTGGAAAACACCCCAGGCTAGGGACTGAAAACTTCTCTGAAGGCTTGTTCACTCACCTGTCTGGCAGTTGGTGTTGTCTGTCACCTGGGGGCTTTTCTGGGGCAGTCAATTGGAACACCGCAGGATTTCTCCATGTGGCCTGGGTTTCCTCACACCAATGATGGACACTTGCCAAGGCAAGTGTCCCAAGAGAGAAAGAAAGGGAGGGACAGAGGGCCAGCCAAGTGGAAGCCATATTACCTTCAATGACCTAGTCTCAGAATTCACTCAGCATTAGCCATGTGTGGTGGCTCACGCCTATAATCCCAGCACTTTGGGAGGCCAAGGTGGTGCATCACCTGAGGTCAGGAGTTTGATACCAGCCTGGCCAACATGGCAAAACCCTGTCTCTACTAATAATACAAAAATTAGCCAGGTGTTGTGGTGTGCACCTGTAGTCCCAGTCCTCAACCTCTCAGGCTCCAGCAATCTTCCCACCTCAGCTTTCCGAGTAGCTGGGACTACAGGTGCATGCCACCACTCCTGGCTAATTTTTGTTTTGGGGTTTATTATTTTTTATTATTTTTTGTAGAGACAGGATTTCAGTATGTTGCCCAGGCTGGTCTTGAGCTCCTGAGCTCAAGCAATCTTGACGTCTCATCTTCCGAAAGTTCTGGGATTACAGGCATGAGCCACCACACCCAGCCTGATTAACAACAGCCTTTGTGCTATTTGAAAAATGCTTCCTGGTCAAGAAAACATTTTTGCATGAATAACATTGTTTGTGAACATTGTGTTTATTAGTTTGAGTGTGAAAGCAGTTTTTTAGGTCCTTGATTGACCTGAAATATTCAAATACACAACTGCCTTTTTTTCCCTGACGTACATCTAGGGTAACATATTAAGTATGTTTTTGTTATATAACCTCTCTAACCAAGTTATTTTATCTCTCTAAAGCTTCAGTTTCCTAATTCAAAATGTGATAATAATAATAGTGCTGACCTCATAGCTGACATGTGGATTAAATAAGTTAATATATGTAAAGTGTTTGGCACACAGTAAATGCTAAGGAAAAAGTTAGACATAGGAAGTACATGGATATGTTTTACATATATAGAGATAGATAGAGATATAGAAGGGTCAGAGCATAATGAATTCATTTCCAAAAAGGTATTCAAAGGATAAGGCAATACGGTTAACTAAAATATTTTGTTAAGCTCTTTCATTTAAGAAGAACATATTAGATTGTTTCTTACTTTGATAACTACTGTTTGCTTTTCCTAGTTTGAAAAAGAAAAACAACATGATATTCGATCATTTTTTTTACCACAACCTAAAAAAAGACAGTTGATGACCTCCTGTTATAAATCAAAGAATTTCCAGGAGGAAAATACTATAGTGTCATCAGACCCTACAAAAATAGCTGCAAGAGATATCATCGATTATGAAAGTGATGTTGAACCTGAAACTAAAAGATTGAAATTGGTCACCACGGATGACCACTACAGTCCCTCAGAAGAAACACCATCTCAGTCCAGACAAATCAGAACTCCACTCATGGAAAGTGTCCAGGAGACCAAGGCCCAGTCAACCACCCCAACCTTTCCTGTAGAGGGCTGGCAATGCAGTTTCTGCACCTTTATCAATAATTCAGTGTTACGTTATTGTGAAATGTGTGAGAATCCTCAAGGCAGTGCTGGTGAGTATATAAAAGGTGACCGTGGAGGTGAGGGCTGTTAATGGTGTCTTCAGATAACCTGTGCTTTTAGAGACTGCCGTTATCCAACTTTAGTGTGACTCAGCACAACTTTAGCTTTTAAAGTGGAATAAGAGCTTCATATAGTGAAGACTGAATTTATCCCTTGTGGAATGTGAAAAGCTCCCGGTTCTGTCAAGAATGTATATCCCCAAGCATCTGTGATACGGCATTAATTTGGCACAAATGGACATTTCTGATTAATGTCAGCAGGATATGAATTCAGTGGGCAGGAATAGAAGCTCTGTTGCTATGGTAGCAAATAGGCCTTATACTCATAGACCTGCTGTTTTCTCTCCTCTGTAGATAATACTTGTTTTTAAGGAAATTATCGATTATTTTTATGTTTAAATAGCAAAATAATCTAATGTAGCTTCTTTGCCTAGTCAGTATACATTATGCCATAGTTTTTGCTTGTCAAAGCATCAAAATTCCTCTATAGATCAGTCTCCATTTGTGAACCAATTTGGTGTCTTTTTTTCTTTTTTGAGACTATTCTTTTCTAAAACATATTTTAAAGCCAGAAATAATAAATATACCTCAAGTATGCTTTTATAGCATGGGATACCATTTTCTGATGTTTGGTTTCCGAAATGATTATTAATACCCATGGTTGTCATAAGAAAAAGATCATTAGTATTCTTGTTTCCAATTCTAGAGAACATTTTTATAATAATAAAAATGCCAAGTTGACAGTTTTGGAAACTGAAGTACACATTTAGTTTATCGGGTTTAATAATTGTACACATCTAATTTTGCATCATATATTAATTCTTCAAAATATTAGCATCGACAAAGATGCGGCTAAGATATAAATTTTGATATTGCCATTCCATTTTCCTGCCTTGCTCTTGTCTCTTTTTTAATTTTGATTTGAAGGAAAATGTAGGGAGAAGCCGAGTCTTCCTTCTTTCACTTCTGGGTGCTCCTACCAAAATTGACAAGTCTGCCATCTGGGTGGTTATATTTGTATGTGGGCACCTGTTGTCTGTGAACTAAATTGGAATCATGTACTTATTTCATGTAATATCTCTGTCACAATTAGCATGATTCCATGCAATTCCCAGCTGCTATAGGCAATAAAAATAAGCTCTATTGTAACTATAAAATAATGTCAGTTCACATTAAATGTACAAGTTGAATGATTTAGCAACAAAAATCAGTTTAATATGGATTTTATAGTTCTGATTTTTCCTTTACGATACCAAAAACAAAAATAAAAATTTGTAGACCCATGATTTAATAAGGAATCTGTCAAGCAACCTAAAAAAATAAAAACTACCTTTTGTGAATATGAAAGTCTGATTAGAGAGAAATAAATATTCTAAGTAACAGTGATATTACTGTATATAAAAATATATTAGATTTATATTACTACCACTGCCACATCTAATACCCAGATCTGCTCCCTGATCTTTGCTATATCATGCTAAAAACTTGGCCTGTATCTTTGGTCTCTTTCTCGCCTCCTACACTCAACCCATCAAGTAACCTCCAAAATAAATCTTGATTCCAACCGCTTTATCTTTATTGCTACATCCTACTCTAAAGCCACCATCTTTCTTCCATACCTCAGTAGCCTCCATATTAATCTGATCCTTCTGTGCCCAACAGCCAAAGTGATCCTTTAAAAACTTAGTTCATTATTATTCCTTTGCCTAAAACTCTTTAATGGCTTCCAGTTATATTTAGAATATTTAGACCAAGAATATAGGCCTGAGTCCAACCTTTCTAGATTCATGAACAGCTCTCAGCTCAAATGGAATTCCTCTTAGAGCTTGGTCCTAATGATTTTGCTATAGTGATACTCTCCAAAACCTTCTTACTTAAAAAAAACAAAAACAACAACAACAAAAAACTTAGTTGTGTTCTCTTTATCTGAAAATACACTCTTTTCCTATTTGTTTATTTTATTGACTGTCTCTGCCACTTATAAAGGAGTCTAGAATGCAGGCATTTCTCTGTCCTGTTCCTGCTGTCTCTTCAGCATCTAGAATAGTACTGAGTGTATAGTAGGGACCTGATAAATGTTTTGAACATATGAATAAACATTATTCACTTTGTTTCTTTTTATAAGACCTAGCTGATACAGTCTTTTTACTTTACTTTTCAATGTAAATTATTTTTTGGTAATAATTTTGATTTTAATCGTTATGCAAATAGATCGCCTCAACCATATCCAGGATAAAAACAAAAATGAGAAGGACGATTCTGTGAAAGATACCTCCGAAGTTCAAACTATCTTAGACTGTGAAAAACAAGTCCTTGAACAGTCAGAACCTGACCAGTTGGCTGACAGCGGGGAAGAAACATTAAAAATTGAGAAAGAAGACAGACTTACACCCCAGCCAGGTAATGGTAAGTCTTGTTTTTATTTCTAGCATCCAAATAATAACCATGTACTTTCACACATAATACTGTTATTAGATTTGTAATTACTACCTTGTTCCAGGTTCCTTTTACTCTCTTTTATATTAAAAATACCATCCATTTGTAACTACATACTTAAACACCAGATGGCTGGAAGAGCTGAGTGTATCTGTTGGCATTCAGACATTACACATAGAGCAAAATTGATAAATAACTACATGTGCTGCCACCAGGCCCATTGCCCAGCCTCAGCCAAGCCTAGCTCATTCACACAGTGAGGGTGTTGTTTTGATATTTGGGAGGTGCTTTGGGACAAAATAGTAAGACTGACAGATAATTAACTAACACTTAGCGTATCATTAATCCTTTACACAAAAATTCTCATAAATAGCTATACTTAATTGGCATATTTTTTAAAAAGTATTTTAAAGAAAATGTTTTTAAGGAACGTAGTGTCAAGACTGAATCATGACTGCCTTTGGAGCCAACCATACAGTGTTTCGGATTTATTTACTTTTTGGTCGATTCCATTCATTATTTATAGCTGTGACTGTTAGCAAATATCAGCCTATATGTGTACATCACTATCATTTATGGGCCAGCTGGCAAGAGACTGAGTACTTTTGGGTTACTCATTTAGTGACCATAGTAACCTACAGATTGATATTCTTATTAAAACAAACCCAGTTGGCGGGATGAAACTGTTGAAGTTTTTCTTCTAAGTTAGTTGCTATTAAATACTGATATAATTTGGAATCTGGCTCAGCTTTAAAATGAAATGTTCATTTAAGAATTTCTGAACTCAAGGCATCCTCCTTTCTTCTTCTCTCTGCCTTCCTTCTAACTCCTCGAGGTCTTCCCAAAGAATGTCTTGGAATGGATCTGTTTTGGTCTGTTAATTTTAGCAGCTTTTAAGTAGACAGTGTAGACTCAAGTGGGTCGTACTGTTTTGTGTCTCTAGTTTTCTTGGTCTCATTGTGAGAAATTCAAGTGCTGATGAAATTTTGGTTGTGGGACAGCATATGGCTCAGACTAGGAGCCAACACCTGGCAATTGTCATCTATGGCAGGGAAGTACTGGCATGTTAGTTGTACACTGATCTCTTTTTTTTTTGAGACAGAGTCTCGCTCTATCGCCAGGCTGGAGTGCAGTGGTGTGATCCCGGCTCACTGTAACTTCCGTTTTCTGGTTTCAAGCAATTCTCCTGCCTCAGCCTCCCGAGTAGCTGGGACTACAGGCACGCACCACCATGCCCGGCTATTTTTTGTACTTTTTAGTAGAGACGGAGTTTCACCATGTTGGCAAGGATGGTCTCCATATCTTGACCTCGTAATCCACCTGCCTCGGCCTCCCAAAGTGCTGGGATTACAGGCGTGAGCCACCACACCCAGCCTGTACATTGATCTCTTAATGAAAATGTGTTAGCTTGTACTTAAAAATGCTTTTTAGAAATCACAAGACTTTTGAAGTTCTATTCTGCCAATGAAATTTGCTTTGGCCTCATTCACTCCAGACAATGCCAGCATTTACCACTTACCTATTCCTACTTCCCTTTTTTGACTTTTCAGATCACTAGGCTGAGAATTCCACATAAGAGGTATGTTTCACATCTTTCCACTAGCGTGGGTTTCCATAAAAAACAAACAGGAAGCCAGATGTGGTGGCTCACGCCTATAATCCCAGCACTGTGGGAGGCTAAGGCAGGCAGATCATCTGAGGTCCGGAGTTCAAGACCAGCCTGACCAACTTGGGGAAACCCCAATCTCTATTTAAAAAAAAAAAAGGCAGACAACAAATGAGGCACACTATGTTAAATGCGTAGTCTACTTATATATGTTCTTTTAGAACCAGAGTAATTTTGTTCTCTCTGGAATTCTAGAATTTTGGAATAATGACCATAGGTGCATCATCTATAGTTCAAACCATTGAATTACACTTCCTGACATCACTGAAAAAAGAACTATGTTCCCTAATGTAGCTAATAGCTATCAAGAATGAATATCAACTGATTTGGAATTGTTGTTACAGTTATTTTTATTAAAGAATGGCTTCTTATCTTTAAGCATTAATGCATAGTTCTTCAAATCTGAAGATATACTGATTATGCAATGTACTTATTTTCTGTATCATTAAGAAAGAAAAGAAAACTGCCAATTAAGCTATGACACAATAACTTAATGATAGCCCAGACCAGACCACATAATCCTCTGTTGCTTTGACATTTCTTTCATTTGTTCTGAGAGATTTGGCAATTTCTCCTGCTTTCGATTGTTTTTTTTGGCATGTAATAGGGAACCCTTTTGCACTTATCAGTAACCGAATGTAAGACAGCTTCCTCTATTTGCAGAGATCTCATTTCCTTCAGTACCATGAAGCACTCAGTTATTCCTTTATAAGAAAATAAGATATTTTGGTTATTCCTCCAGTAATACACATTTGCTTCTTTAATATCAAATTTCTACTCTCCTGCTCTGTATCCAAGTTTTATGGTATACATGGTAACTTTTCATTTCAATACCAACTCATAGTGAAAAAAATTAAAGACATTTTAAAGGTAATAAAGTCAATACATATAGTAACAACAATGCATTTACCTCATATAATGTAGAGGTGACAACAGTATTACAGCTATGACTTTCAGCTGCTAATAATCAAAGTGGTACTCATTCAGTCTCAACTTAAATCGGCTCTAGCAAAAGGAATAGATTAGTCTAAACTTCTTCAAGGCCAATAATAACTCTTATTGGCAGAAATTCTTCCTTATGCCTACCTAACTTGTATTTTTTCAGCTAATTCTAAATCTGTTTGTTTCTCATTAGGCCATTAGCAAAAATGTAAAACAATTGGTTACCATATAAGCCAATATGCTTTTCAGTGGCCTACCATGGTAGTTTTATTTCAAGCTTAGACAATTACTTTTTCTTAAATATATTGTTATTTTTGATATAGCTATTTCATCATTCTAACCTACACAAGATTAAAATAAGCTATTTAAGATAGAGGGTAGATAAGGCTTCAGGTTCTCTTTTGTCTTCTTTAATAGAACAGTTGAAGAGTTCAGACACTTTGCCAGTGTATGACACCTTAATGTTTTGTGCAAGTAGGAATACTGACCGGATTCACCTCTATACTAAGGTAAGCATCATGCAGATTCTGTAACTTAAAACATAAAAAAGACTTCCTTTTTTCACTTTACAATGGAGATACTTAGTTTTATTAACAATGAGGTAAGCATCTAGTTATTTTCCTCCTTAAAGCTAATTCTCAAATTTCTATGTTAAATCCAAAGATAATGAGAGGTAAAACCATATTGTCTTTAAGAACACAGACTTCAGGGCCAGATGGCCTCAGTTCAAATCTGTTAGTATGTAATCCTGGACACATTGCTCAACTGCTCTGTGCTTCAATTTCCTCAGCTGTAAAATGAGATATACCTCATCTACCCTGATGTGATTATTATACATTGTATGCCTGTATCAAACTATCTCATGTACTGCATAAATATATAAACCTACTGTGTACCCTTAAAAATTAAAAATTGTTAAAATAATAAATAAAAAATAAAATGTGGACAGGATTTGTTGCAAAGATAAAATTCTGTAAAGCAATCAGCACAGTGCCTGGCCTGCATGAACTCTGAATAAATGTTAATTCCTGCACCGATCACTTGCAGCAGCAGGAGCAGCAGCCTCTTCACAGAAGCTTTGGCCTGCTGTTCATGTTAGTAAATGCTAGGAAGTTTTTGTCAGATGATTGCTGATTCCTGCCATAGGCTAGCTTGGTAGTGCCCAAAACTTTTTAGACTCAGGACCCCTTTGCACTCCTAAAATTTGTTGAAAACCCCAATGAGCTTTTGTTTATATGGGTTATATCTGTTGATGTCTACTATATGTAAAATTAAAATGGAGACTCTCAAAAATATTCATTTACAGCAGGCTTGGTGGCTCATGCCTGTAATCCTAGCACTTTGGGAGGCCGAGGCAGGTGGATCATCTGAGGTCAGGAGTTTGAGAGCACTCTGGCCAACACAGTGAAACCCTCTCTCAACTAAAAATACAAAAATTAGCCGGACGTGGTGGCGAGTGTCTGTAATCCCAGCTGCTCAGGAGGCTGAGTCAGGAGAATTGCTTGAACCTGGGTGGCAGAGGTTGCGGTGAGCTGAGATCATGCCACTGTGCTTCAATTTCACAGTGAAATTGTGACCTATTAAGGTCACTCCAGCCTGGGTGACAGCATGAGATTCTGTCAAAAAAAAAAAATTATTTGTTCACTTAAATGTGAATAATTAACAAGTACATTTTTCTATTTCTGTGTTTTTGTTTTTGTTTTTGTTTTTTTGAGACAAAGTGGCTCTGTTGCTCAGGCTAGAGTGCAGTGCCACAATCTCAGCTCACTGCAGCCTCCACCTCCTGGGTTCAGGCGATTCTCCTGCCTCAGCCTCCCAAGTAGCTGGGAGTACAGGTGCTTGCCACCATGTCCAGCTAATTTTTGTATATTTAGTAGAGATGGGTTTTACCATGTTAACCAGGCTAGTCTAGATCTCCTGACCTTATGATCCACCCACCTCGACCTCCCAAAGAGCTAGGATTACAGGCATGAGCCACTGCACCAGGCCATTTTTTTGTTTTCCTTTTTTAATAGTGAGAGGATCTTGCTATGTTGCCCAGGCTGGTCTCAAACTCCTGGGTTCAAACAGTTCACCCACCTCAGCCTCCTAAAGTGCTAGGGTTACAAGCGTGAACCACCAAGCCTGATCAACAATTATTTTTAAGTGAATAAATGCATATTTTAAGAGAAATAAACCCATTATATATTTATATAATAACTTTTTTTTGTTTAAAATATATTTTTGAATTCAAAAAATATTTAGTGAGAAGAGTGTCATGTTTTACATGTTTAGCAATTTTCTCTAAAGTCTTAATGGAAAACAATGGGATTTTCATATCTGCCTCTGCATTCAGTTTGTTGAGATAGCATGTCATCTAGCCAATGGAAAAAGACACCATACATTTGTGAAAGAATAAGAGTAGAAAAGGCAAATATTATTTATTATTACGACTCATTATTAGTATGAAAACACTTATGACTTTCTAAAAAGATCACTGGAACTGCATGAGAATCTGTGGCCTGGGTAGATTATGAATATTTTAATTTGGTCTAAAATTTTAAATTTCTAATCTTTATAATAAGATAGTATTTGAAACTTTTAAAACACATGGCCCATTATATCGATGTTTAAAAGATAATATGTTGGAGATGACCAAACTTTCAATTACAGGTTTTCTACTAAACCAAATATAGGTATAGATAGTGTATCATGTGATAATCTTCACTTAGGAGGAGATGGCTAGGATCATGAATACCAGAATCCCCAAGCAGCCTCTAGCATGGGACCATGGCTGAGAGAGAGACACCAAGAACAAAGCCAGGCAGTAATCAACGCTCTTCTTATAGGTGTGGAGCCTCCGACATGGTAAACCAGGCTGCAGGGAGCACCAGTGACTCCTTTGCTCATCTTGAGGCAGATTTAAGTGCCTGACCCACCCTCATTGCCCATATTGGAGGAGCTCTAGGTCATACTTCTTTCTCAGACCGTCACATGAGAGGGACAGAGAAATTTTCAAGAGGGGCTTGAAGGTAGAGAAACCAAAGGGCAGACACCAGGCAGAGCATACCACAGAAATCCAGAAGACCTTCAATTCTTTAAACTTTTTTTTACTCTGTACAGTGAAAACTCTGCGTCTTGGATTACCTGATCACTGTTTTATCCACATTGGGGTGGAGACAGGGAGAGAACTGAAAGCTCCTGGTAGAGGGTATAATGCACCTGCTGCCAAACCAAACCACAGCAACCACCTCACTGACCTGTATTCAGGCTCTGACACCAGCCCAGTAGCCTGGGACACTGCTTCTTCTTCGCATCTCTGTTAATGGTCTCAAATATATTTTTATGACTGTTCTAAATACTTACATGTCCCTTTACCATAAAATGTTATCACCCAACTAATTTTCCAAACACGAGACACTAAGCAGATGAATTGTTGACATATCTTTTCACAACCAGAGTCGAGTTTACATGAAAGCTTTCCTTTTCACCTTAAAAGAGCCAGGCACAGTGGCTCACACCTATAATCCCAACATTTTTGCAGGCCGAGGCAGGCAGATCACCCGAGCTTAGGAATTCTCAACCAGCCTGGACAACATGGTGAAACCCCCTCTCTACTAAAAATACAAAGTAGCTGGGTGCCTATAATCCCAGCTACTTGGGAGGCTGAGGCAGGAGAATTGCTTGAACCTGGGAGGCAGGGGTTGCAGTGAGCTGAGACCGCACCATTGCACTCCAGCCTGGGCAACAAGAGCAAAACTCCATCTCAAAAAAAAAAAAAAAAAAAAAAAACTGAAGTATAATCTGGATAAAATTCCTAGTTCAGCTGGGTGTGATGGCTCACGCCTGTAATCCCAGAACTTTGGGAGGCTGAGGCAGGCAGATCATAAGGTCAGGAGTTCAAGACCAGCCTGGCTAACATGGTGAAACCCTATCTCTACTAAAAATACAAAAAATAAGCTGGGTATGGTGGAAGTCACCTCTAATTCCAGCTACTCGGGAGGCTGAGGCAGGAGAATCGCTTAAACCTGGGAGGTGAAGGTTGCAGTGAGCCAAGACCACGCCACTGCACTCCAGCCTGGGCAACAGAGTGAGACTCTGCGTCAAAAAAAAAAAAAAAAAACTTGTTCATTGCCTAAAAGAATACCCCTTAAAAAGAAGAGTAGTTGGCCGGGCATGGTGGCTCACACCTGTAATCCTAGCACTTTGGGAGGCCAAGGTGGGTGGATCACCTGAGGTCAGGAGTTCAAGATCAGCCTGGCCATCATTGTGAAACCCTATCTTTAAAAAAAAAAGAGTAGTAACCGACATTTAGCATCTTGTGTCGTATTAGAACTGTTCATTTCAGCAGAATCTCAAGTCTATATCAGGGTTTAGAATTACGTATTACCATTACATATCAGAATTTTTAATTAGTGCATACTTTTTGTATGTTTTTTTCATAGTAATTGTGGGAGCTGTAACTTTTTTTTAACTGAGAGAATATGAGTTCAACTATTGTTGAGACAATAGGTTTTCTTTCTTTTTTTTTTTTTGAGACTGAGTTACACTCTTGTTACCCAGGCTGGAGTGCAATGGCGTGATCTCGGCTCACCGCAACCTCCGCCTCCTGGGTTCAGGCAATTCTCCTGCCTCAGCCTCCTGAGTAGCTGGGATTACAGGCACTCACCACCATGCCCAGCTAATTTTTTGTGTTCTTAGTAGAGATGGGGTTTCACCATGTTGACCAGGATAGTCTTGATCTGTTGACCTCGTGATCCACCCGCCTCGGCCTCCCAAAGTGCTGGGATTACAGGCTTGAGCCACCGCGCCCGGGCCCGAGACAATAGATTTTCATATGAGAGGTTCTTCTTTCTCTTTATAAAGGAAATACATCTACTCATGTTTAACTGACTATACAGCTGTACGTGATTACTTTCTACCCTTAAGATTTCAGGGAACAGGCATGGTGGCTCATACCTATAGTCCTAGCACTTTGGGAAGCTGAGGCAGGAGGATCACTTGAGTTCAGGAGTTCAAGGTGGGAGGATCACTTCAGCCCAGGATTTTGAGACTTGACTGGGCAACATGGTGAAACCCCGTCTCTACAAAAACACAAAATTAGCCAAGTGTGGTGGAACACACCTGTAATTCCAGCTACTTGGGAGGCTGAGGTGGGAGGATCACCTGGGCCTAGGAGGTTGAGGCTGCAGTGAGCCAAGATCATGCCACTGTACTCCAGCCTGGGTGACAGAGTGAGACCTTGTCCCCCCCGCCCCCCAAAAAAGTGTTGGGGGCGGTGGGGGAATATTTCAGGATGTTGTGCACCCAATGATTGGAACCTAAATGCAGTTCCACTTACTTTCCAGGTGGCCCCATTGGCAGACAGTGCTCATTGACTGATATTGTGACATTGCTTTGGGGGAGCAAATTTTTAAATAATTTATCTAGAATTGATCTTTCTACCTTTTCTTTTCTTTTCTTTCTTTCTTTTTTTTTTTTTTAACAGTCTCACTCTGTCTCCAGACTAGAGTGCAGTGGTACTCAGCTTACTGCAACCTCCACCTCCCAGGTTCAAGTGATTCTCCTGCCTCAGTTTCCTAAATAGCTGGGACTGCAGGCATGCACCACCATGCCTGGCTAATTTTTGTTGTTGTTCTTTTGAGATGGAGTTTCGCTCGTTACCCAGGCTGGAGTGCAATGGCACGATCTCGGCTCACCGCAACCTCTACCTCCTAAGTTCAAGCAATTCTCCTACATCAGCCTCCCGAGTAGCTGGGACTACAGGCGCGCGCCACCATGCCCAGCTAATTTTTGTATTTTTAGTAGAGATGGGGTTTCACCATGTTGACCAGGATGGTCTTGATCTCTTGACCTTGTGATTCACCCACCTTGGCCTCCCAAAGTGCTGGGATTATAGGCGTGAGCCACCGCGCCCGGCCCTAATTTTTTATATTTTATTAGAGATAGGCCAGGCGCGGTGGCTCATGCCTATAATCCTAGCACTTTGGGAGGCCGAGGCGAGCAGATCACCTGAGGTCAGGAGTTCAAGACGAGCCTGACCAATATGGTGAAACCCCATCTTTAAAAAAAAAAAAAAATTAGAGACGGGGTTTCACTATGTTGGTGGGGATGGTCTCCAACTCTTGACTTTGTGATTTGCCCGCCTCAGCCTCCCAAAATGCTGGGATTACAGGCGGGAGCCACCGTGCCTGGCCTCTACCTTCTCTTTATTTCCTTGTTCCTGTAACAGTGGACAGGCATATCATTTGGGGAAGGTTATTCAGATGCTTCTTTGACACCCTTCTTTAATGTGATACTTTTTTTTTTTTTTCTTTTTTTGAGATGGAGTTTCGCTATTGTTACCCAGGCTGGAGTGCAATGTTGTGATCTCGGCTCACCGGCTCACCACAACCTCTGCCTCCGGGGTTCAAGCAATTCTCCTCCCTCAGCCTCCCAAGTAGCTGGGACTACAGGCACGTGCCACCATGCCCAGCTAATTTTTGTATTTTTAGTAGAGATGGGGTTTCACCATGTTGACCAGGATGGTCTCGATCTCTTGACCTCGTGATCCACCCGCCTCGGCCTCCGAAAGTGCTGGGATTATAGGTGTGAGCCACCGCGCCCGGCCCTAATGTGATACTTATATTGCCATTGAGTGTCTATATATTTGCAAATTTGGGAATGATTGTGCTGCTATTAACTTCAAAGATGTAATATTCTTCTGTATTAATTTGCAATGTATGAATTTTATTATTTTGATACTTATTTCCAAGATTAATCAGTAGAAAAGAGTATGACACAGCAGTAAACATAGCATTCCAGGTGGAAGGCAATAGCCTTGGGTTAGGCATGGGCAGTGGAGGCATTCAGTGCAATAGAGAGCCTGCCTCCTCTTCTTGGCTCACAGTTTCTCCAGGGGGGCCATATTGGTGGACCCTTGTCTAGAATGTGTCGCCTCAGTTTTTCTTTTAGGAGACTAGGCATATTGTGTCATAATGTAATTATTTTCATTTTAAATAGTTGCTAGTTCCTATACAAAAATGGATTATTAATGTCTTCCTAATCCATCATCAGGATGGAAAACAGATGAGCTGTAATTTCATTCCTTTGGATATAAAATTAGACCTTTGGGAAGATTTACCAGCAAGCTTTCAGCTGAAACAAAATCGCTCTCTGGTAAGAACAGTTTTAAATAAAATGGCTTTATTTATTTTAAATAAACTTGTTTTAGTAAAGTTAATGATCTTTTTGAGTTTAATTTTTAAAAAGCGTTTTGTGGCATGTTGTAGAGTCAAATCACTGGTTGCATTTTCATCAGTCTAGACGGTGCCTATTAATTACCCGGTGCTAAAAATATATGTGAAATCTGTTTCCTTGGCAAATGATCACACCTAGAGTTGCTGTTTCTGTGGATAGAATCATCCTCACATTATTTAATTTCTCATTCACAGGATTAGCAACTGTGATATTTGTATCAGCTAGAATCACATTTTTTTTCTATTAAGGTTAAGTTCTAACAATGACAAATTCTGAGATCAGAGATTATACCTTATTGAGTGATTCTTGATTCATTATCAGAAGCACCAGCATGCAGCTGCAGGCCAAATTCCTGCCAGAGAGGTCTTAACACTGATCTGTGGCTGATTTTCCTTCGCTGCCAAGAAGGGTCATCATGTGCAGGGACTGATCCAGCATACTGTGTACCATTTTTACAAGAAAATGGTGTGGTGATTATTTTTTTTACAATTTGAGTGGCAATGAAGCATTGCTTATAGGTCACCTGTACCTGTTTTAATGAAAAGGTATTTACTTGGTAAGCTATTTACTAGGTATCACCTAATCCTGATTCTCAGAGTCCCAGAAAATATCCACTTATATATACTTGACTAATAAGTAAGAGTAATGGTAACCCTACTAAAAATGTCCCAGATTTATTGATTTTTTTTTCCTGTGAAAACTTAGGCATCATTTACAAAGCAATTCTCAGATGTTGCCCTGTCATTCTGTCACCCAGTTTTGCCTTGACCCCTGCTGGGGTACGTACTTCCAGACCTTTTTTGGTCTCAATGAGCATATTATCACTGTTAATCCTATGTGTGTTAAGGGCATACACTGCATGTCCTGACACAAGCCTTTAGAGAAAAAGATCTCTTGGCTGGGTATGATGGCTCATGCCTATAATGCCAATACTTTCAGAGGCCGAGGCAGGAGGATCACTTGAGCCCAGGAGTTTGAGACCAGCCTGGGCAACACAGTGAGACCCTTTCTCTACAAAAAAATAGAAAAACTAGCCAGGTGTGGTGGCATGTGCCTACAGTCCCAGCTCCTCAGGAGACTGAGGCAGGACTGCTGGAGTGCAGGAGGTCAAGCCGTGATCATGCCACTGCACTTAGAGCAAAACCCTATCTCAACAGAGCAAGTAGAGGGAACAGAACAAGAATTTATCTCAAAAAGAAAAAAAAAAGAGAGATCTCTTAAGAACTGCCGTAGGTAGTTTACAATAAAGATATGAAAACTACATCAAATTAAAGCAAGCCTTAGGTTGTGGAACTCAAAAGCCTATTTGGGGGACACAACAAAATAGCAGTTTTCTGATGTTGTAAATAGGTTCACTTTCAAAGGAAGATACCTAGTGAGTTGTTAACTCTTTTGTTATCTCATTTTCTGCCAGATTTTGAGGTTTGTTCGAGAATGGAGTAGTCTAACTGCCATGAAGCAAGGGATAATCAGGAAAAGTGGACAGCTATTCTGTAGCCCAATTCTTGCTTTGGAAGAGATCACAAAGCAACAAACTAAACAAAATTTCACCAAAAGGTATGAGTTGTCTTTCTTTTTTTGATTTTGTGTTATATTAGTTTTGATGGTTCTTTCTATAGGCGGGTCTGAGGCATCTTTTGGAACCACTAATGAAATCCTGATGAGTTATGAGAAAATTATGCATAAAATCACAGCCATATTATTTCATAACAACGTAATTATATATTTAGTGAATTTGATAAAATCTGCTGAAAGAGATCAGGTTGTCCAGATCTTACTCACCTGGAGTTCCATTTATCAACAAAAAGAGCAGAGTCACGGGATGGTACAACCTATGACCTGCCAAGCCTGGGACACTTACTAGCAACAGGAGTACATTTTATTCTTAGAACATCAGAGCATGCCTCTGGACCCCATCTGCTCTGCCCTCCTGTGGGTGAGTATGATGCTGTGCAGCAAGGGAGCTGGTTCTATTTGAATGCATCATTCACTACCCAAGTAATGGAAGATAACTATAATCATGTCCATGATTAGAAATGAAATAAAATAAAGATTGTCTGTCAGATATTTGTGACTGTTTTGCCCTTATCATTGCAGGTCCCTTTCTGATCTCTATTCATTTGATTTCCTTCCTTGTCATCACAATCATCTTTATCCCCTTGTGTGATCTCAAATCCCAATTCTTTGTAAACCTTTTTTTTTTTTTTTTTTTTTTTGAGACAGAGTTTTGCTCTTGTTACCCAGGCTGGAGTGCAATGGCGTGGTCTCGGCTCACCGCAACCTCCGCCCCCTGGGTTCAGGCAATTCTCCTGCCTCAGCCTCCTGAGTAGCTGGGATTACAGGTACACGCCACCATGCCCAGCTAATTTTTTGTAATTTTTAGTAGAGACGGGGTTTCACCATGTTGACCAGGATGGTCTCGATCTGCCGACCTCGTGATCCACCCGCCTCGGCCTCCCAAAGTGCTGGGATTACAGGCTTGAGCCACCGCGCCCGGCCGTAAACCTTTTTCTAAGCATGAAGCAAGGATTATCAGGAAAAGTTGTCAGCTGTTTTGTAGCCCAATCCTTGCTTTTGAAAGAGATTGCAGGTTAGGCACAGTGGCTCATGCCTGTGATCCCAACACTTTGGGAGGCCAAGGCAGGTAGATTGCATGAGCCTAGGAGTTCAGTGATCAGCCTGGGAAACATAGCTACTGGAAAGGCAGAAGCAAGAGGATCGTTTGAGCATGGGAGGTTAAGGCTGCAATGAACCAAGATTGTACCACTGCACTCCAGCCTGGGCAACAGAGTGAGACCCTGACTCAAACAAAACAAAACAAAACAAGAGATTGCAAAGCAACAAACCAAACAACAGCATTGACAGAGAAAACCCTTTAGCTCTTGCTGTCTCCATACTCTTCATTCTTATATTCCATCAGTTTATCAGAGAGATTTTCTTTCTCTAGCTTTTTCCATGCACTCAGGTGAAAAAAAATCCATTAATGGTTGGGGGTGGGGAGGAGCAGGGGACTGAGAACATGGTTAATTAAATAAATTATGATAGTTCCATACAGTAAAAATCTTTTTCATTGTTTCAAAGTATGGCATATGGTACATTTATATGTTTATAAGAACAAGGAATAATACTTGTGATAAATTGTTAAGGGTAAATATAAATTATAAAAAAAAGGGGGATGGAGACACAACTTTACTGTTTGCACAAATAGCACAACTTGCTATTATTAACATAGAAATTATCTAGAAGGATACCTTAGGAATTCTTAACATGAGTTCCTCTGGGACAGTGGTTTTCAATTGGGAGCAATTTGGTCCCATAGGGTGGTAGCGTCTGGAGACATTTTAAATTGTCTCAAGGAAAGGATGTGACTAGGGAGTATGTAGTGAGTAGAGGCCCAGGATGCTGCTGAGAATCCTACAGTGAATAGGACTGCACGCCCCAAGACAGAATTATCCATTTCAAAATGTGTATATTACCACTGTTACGAAATCTTGCTCTAGGACATAAAACTTGAGGATTTGTGGAGGTAGTAGGGACTTTATGCCAGCATTACAAACTCATATGACTAAAAACAAAACAGGAATCACAAATGAATGAATGAGGTCAGTTATAAAGCTAGAAAAGAATGAGATATGGGCCGAAACTATGTCAAATAGGCAAATTTGGAACCCATCTGAAGACATTCAAATTCAGATTTAAAAATAAATTACTGGACTGGGCATGGTGACTCATGCCTGTAATTCCAACACTTTTGAAGGCCAAGGAGGACAGATTGCTTGAACCCAGAGTTCAAGACCAGCCTGGGCAACATGGAAAAACCCCATCTCTACAAAAAAAACCCAGAAAAATTAGCTAGGCATGGCGGTGCATGCCTGTAGTCTCAGGCTGAGGTGGGAGGATCACCTGAGCCCCAGGAGGTAAAGGCTGCAGTGAGCCATGATTGCACCACTTCACTTCAGCCTGGGAGACAGAGTGAAACCCTGTCTCAGAAATAAAATAAGATAAAATAAAAATAAATTAAATGAATTTAATTTAATAAAATTTAAAAATCGACTAGCCATGATGGCTCACACCTGTAATGCTAGCACTTTGGGAAGCCAAGGTGGACAGATCACTTGAGGCCAAGAGCTCGAGACCAGACTGGTTAACATAAGCTAGACCCTGTCTCCACAAAAAAACAAAAAAACAAAAAATAGCCAGGTATGGTGACTCACACCTGCTATTTGGGAGGCTGAGACAGGAGGATCACCTGAACCCAGGAGGTTATGGTTGCGATGAGCTGTGATCATGCCACTGCACTCCATCCTGCGTTGACAAAGCAAGGACCAGTCTCAAAATGAATGAATAAATTTAAAATGCTGTATGAATGAGTACAGTAAAGCCATTTGACTAATTGAATTTATCCATAAGTTGCCAGTTTTGGAATTTTGGCCTGAACTCTTCTGTAACAGTTGATTTTTTTGCCATAGGCGTGTGTCACTTTCTATAAAAATGCATTTAAAATATGTGTGTTACATATATATATATATATATATATATATATATATATATAGACATACTTATACATAAGGACACACACACACACATATCAAAAAGCACAATGCCTATTTTATTTTTCCCAATACTTCCTGTCCTCTCAATCTTTCTCATTTTTGTAACCAGTCTTTGCTGGAGTATTGACCTTCTCTTTCTCACATGATCATAATTCTCCTCATAACTGAATTTCTAGCTATTTCTAGACATGCCTTATTATTTCTTCTCCATCAGACATGGATGACCACTTAAAGGGTCATCTGAGAAAGGCAACGAACTGGTCAGGTTTAAAAGCAAGAGTCAATTCATAAAACCAAAGTCAAACACACAATGTTATCAATATAAAGGATATAATTTGTATTAACAAACAGCAGATTAAGTAATGAGATTTGTATTTTTAGGAGCTAACTTTAGCAGCAGTTGAGAGATTTAATGAGAAAGGGTAAGACTCAAAGTGGGGAGATAAGTTACGTTTTTCTATAGCTGCCATAACAAATTACCACAAATTTAGAAGCTTAAAGCAACATACATCTTTTATCTCACAGTTCTATAAGTAAGAAGTCCAAGCTGGCTATTACTAGTTTTCTAGTAATGCTCTGGATTTACAGTGAAGGAATCAAAGTGTTGGCTGACTGGGCTCTAACTGATAAGTTTAGAAAATAATTCACCTCCAAGCTCACTAAGATTGTTGGCAGAACTCATTTCCTTGCAGTTGTAGGACTGAGATTCCTGTTTTTTGCTGGCTGTCAGCTGAGGCCACCATCAACTCCTAGAGGCTTCTCTGTGGTCCTAGTACATGGACCTCTACATCTTGGAATCTCTGCCTTCCTCTTCTGCTTTTAAGGGCTCAAGTGATTACATTGAACCCACTCAGTAATCTCCCTATCTTAAAGTGAGCTGATCAGCAACCTAATTATATCTGTAAAGTCCTTTTATAGCATTATCTAAATTAGTGATTGATTAAATAACCTGGGGACAGAATCCTAGAGGGCATCTTAAAATTCTGTCTGCTATACAAGTTAAAAGACTATTATAGTAGACCTGGAGAAAAATGATGAGGATCTATATTAAATTATTACAGTGGGAATCAGGAAAGAGAATGAAGAGAGCTATTAAGGAGGTCTATCTGGAGACTTGGTGACTGATTATAGAGAGGCAGAGAGAGAGAGAGGCCTCCAGAGAAACCAACTTAGCCGCATCATGAAATGAAACCTTTGTACCTGCAGCGGGGAGATACTGTCAGGAAGCATTCTGATTCTTGCTGCAGAACCCAAGTTAAGTCTCAGTAATTTGGAATAACCATGTATCTCTGAAAGCACATGTGAAATATGCTGTTGAACAGCAGCATTGACTGGCAGTCTGTATGAAGACCAGTTAGACACTGCCATTACCAGTTTACTTTCTAGAGAAACTGAATCAGAGTCTCTAAACTTAGAAACATCAGGCTCAGTAAAGAGTAAGGTATTATATTGAAAAGTGAAACTCCCCAGACCCCCTTTTTTTGCCAGCTTTCAGATTGACAGCAGCTACATTTTACTTACTTTTTTTTTTCAGAGGGAGTCTCTGTCCTCCAGGCTGGAGGGCAATGTCATGATCTTGGCTCACTGCAACCTCCACCTCCCAGGTTCACGTGATTCTCCTGCCTCAGCCCCCCGAGTAGCTGGGATTACAGGCATGAGCCACCATACCTGGCTAATTTTTTATATCTTTAGTAGAGATGGGATTTCACCATGTTGGCCAGGCTGGTCTCAAAACTCCTGACCTCATGATCCACCCGACTCTACCTCCTAAAGTGCTGGGATCACAGGCATGAGCCACTGTGCTCAGGCCATTTTACTTCCTAAGCAGGAGGTTAGAAGATTTGTCTCTTAAAAATATTGAATGGTTCTGAAAAAAGAGCTACAGTTTAACTTTGGGCATTCTCCCAAGTGCAATGGCTAGGTCCCCAACCAGATTATCCTCTAGTGATGTCCACCAGTTTGCAGGCCCCATCCAAGCTCAGAGCTTGCAGTCAGCTTTTGAGTATCTTACTCTTACGTTTGAATGGAAGCCAAGATCACCAGCCACGGTTTTGGTTACAGAGTTCCATTTATCAGAGGCAGGCCTAATTCACTTGGAGCCCTGTCTTGTTTAGTATGCCAACTGTTTAATCTCTAGTTAGAGTTGAGCTCCAAAGCAGGTCAGAAATCCAGAGCCCAAGATTGTATTCATTGATGTGGGCCACTTTCCAGCATACACTCTTTTTATAAAAATTGCCATCTTCCACTCCTTTTACTATCCAGGAATTAGTTTAGGAGACAACATTCTCCCTTCTCTATTTGCTAAAATTGGGATTTACCATAATAACCCTTTTGGGAGTTGGTGAACTTCCTAGCAAACCTCAGTAAAAAATTAAGTATTGGCAACTTGCAGCTAGGTTTGAAAAGTTGCTAGCTCCCTTTTTTGGAATTGGTTCATCTGTTTCTTGTGGTTTCCAAAAATTTATTCTTAAACCTCTTGTAGGAAAGCAAAAGGTTATTTTTAGTGTCTAAATCTCTGACTAGATTTCTCAGCATCTTTTAAAGTTACTGAATTAGGTTTTTAAGCTTTTAAACATTGAATAATACCTCAAGCAAGGCTTAATATCCCATTGCCCCCAAAGCTAGGAAGCTTTTGAGTTCATCTAGAATCCACAGAAATACTTTCCCAAAATGCATTTTTCAAGGGAATAAAATGCTTGAAGAAATTTTTGGAGGTGGGGCCAGAGAAGGAGAAAGTTTGAGAACTAAAAGGGAAAGTTTAATTTACTGCATTTTAACTTCTGCTGCTACCCAGACTGGAGAACAGTGGCTTAAATTCCTTTTTGGTCTAAGAAAGACATGCAAGTAGAGTACAAACATGTGAAAAGATATTCCCCCTTACTCTTAATAGGAATGCAAATTTTAAAATCTATGATGAGATACCTGTCATTATTAGCAGAGACTTCTGAAAATTGCCATTTTGCCAGTGAAAGAGAAGAAATGGATACTCATTCATTGCTGGTGAACACGTACACTGGTATAACCTTAGAGGAAAGAAATTTGTCAAAATCTACCCACATTTAAAACACCTAAGACCTTTTACCCAGCAATTCTACTTGTGGAGATTTATTCTACAGATACATAATGTGTAGAAAATATCATATATAACTGTATCTATTGCAGCATTGTTTGTGATAGCAAAGACTGGAAACAACCTAAATGTCCATTAATCAGACTGGTTAAATATATGGTTTATCCAAATAATGGATAACATGGAGCCATTAAAAAGAATAGGGAAACTGCAGCCAGGTATGGTGGTTCATGGCTATAATCTCAGCACTTTGGGAGGCCAAGGTGGGTGCATCACGAGGTCAGAAGTTCAAGACAACCCTGGCCAAGATGGTGAAACCCCGTCTCTACTAAAAATACAAAAATTAACCAGGTGCGGTGGCAGGCGCCTATAATCCCAGCTACTCGGAAGGCTGAGGCAGGAGACTCACTTGATCCCAGGAGGCGGAGGTTGTAAGTGAGGCAAGATCGCACCACTGCACACTCCAGCCTGGGCAACAGAGCAAGACTCCCTCTCCAAAAAAAAAAGAAAATAGAGAAACTATGGATCCTAATAAGGAAAGATCTCTAAGAAATATGTTGTGGTAAAAAGAGTAAAGTGATAATTAGTGTATATGCTATGCTATTATTTATTTCTAAAAATAGGTATAATGAAAAATGAGTGCTAGTGGGTATGGGTTTATTTTTGTTTTTGTTTTGCTTGAGACAGGGTCTCAATCTGTTGCCCAGGTTGGAGTACAGTGGCACAATCTCAGCTCACTGCAACCTCGGCCTCCTGGATTCAAATGATTCTCTGCCCCTGCCTCCCAAGTAGCTGGGACTATAGGTGTGCATCACCATGCCTGGCTAATTTTTGTATTTTTAGTAGAGACAGGGTTTCACCACGTTGACCAAATTGGTCTCGAACTCCTGATCTCAAATGATCCTCCCACCTTGGCCTCTCAAAGTGCCAGGATTACAACTGTGAGCCACCAAACCCAGCTTTCTTTTTGGAGTAATGAAAATATTCTGGAATTAGCGATGATGGTTTCACAATCTTGTGAATATACTAAAATGCGCTTAATTGCCAACTTTAAATTGGTGACTTTTATGTCATGTGAATTATTTGTCAATAAAAATGCAAAAATAAATAAATAAAAGGCATATACCTATATTCAGAAGAAAAGAAACTCTTTTTTTTTTTTTTTTGAGAGAGTATTTCTCTGTCACTCAGGCTGGAGTGCAGTGGTACAGTCTCAGCTCACTGCAGCCTACACCTCCCAGGTTCAAGTGATTCTCCTGCCTCAGCCTCTTAAGTAGCTAGGTTACAGGCACACATTACCACACCCAGCTAATTTTTGTATTTTCAGTAGAGACAGGGTTTTGCCATGTTGACCAGGTTGGTCTCGAACTCCTGACCTCAGGAGATCCACCTACCTTGGCTTCCCAAAGTGCTGGGATTATAGGTGTGAGCCACCATGCCAGGCCAAAAATAAACTATTTCTAAAATGAGCCAGACACGGTGGCTCATGTCTGTAATTTCAGCACTTTGGGAGGCTGAGATGGGCCAATCACTTGAAGCCAGTTCAGGACCAGCCTGGCCAACATGGCAAATTCTCATCTTTGCTAAAAATACAATAATTGGCCACTCATGATGGTGCGTGCCCATAATCCCATCTACTTGGGAGGCTGAGGCACAAGAATAGCTTGAACCCAGAAGGCGGAGGTTGCAATGAGCCAAGATAGTGCCACTGTACTCCAGCCTGGGTGATAGAGTGAGACCCTGTCTCAAAAAATAAAATAAAATAAAAATCTGGCAACAGATGTAACTTTTGGGGAGGGGCAAAAGGAAGACAGGAATGAGAGAGAAACTCATCACCATAGACCCTCTTGTTTGCCTTTTGAATTTAGAACCATATCACCTAATCAAAAATTAATAAGATAGTTTATTTTAAAAAGGAAACCTGTTTATTATTAAATCTACCCTAATAACATAAATCAAATTTCTAAAATTTTACCTACAATTGCACGGTTCCATTGTGATTGAATTTTAATGTTATTGTCAAGCTGTCTAATTAAGAAGCACTCAATAATATTAAGAAATTCATGTTTAAACTAATTTAAAAAATCCACAATAGGTTTAAACCACCAGAGAAACTGGGCCAATTAATAAGAAGGGATTATTGGGTAATTGCATTTCACCAACTTAAATTCCCCCATCACCTTTAATTGGAATAAATTCTCTTTACTTCTAGTCCCTGAACCATTGTGTGGTATTGTTAGTGTTGGGTAATAAGGTTCTGAATCCCACATCAAGAATGGCTTCATTTCTGTGGAAGAATCCATAAACCCTGTATGGGCTGATAATAAGGGAAACAACCTTGAGATTACAGAAGATGTGATTGAACCTGGTTAACTAAAAAGAGACTCAGTTTACCCAAACACTCATATACTATTGTAACTGACTAAGGTGATTTGGAGAAGCCTTAAAGGGAAGGTCAAAAGGGAAGTAAAAATGCAGTTAGAGATTTTCTGCAGTTTGCCAAGCAATTTCCTTAAGGCTGTCAGCTATGTGTATATTTGATCATTTCTTATTCTCACACCCACTCCTTTTTCCCCTAAATGAAAATTGGTCCGAAGGATATTGAGTGACTCTTGAATTTCTTAGGAAAAGAAATTGGAGAAAACTAATTTGGAACAAAGAGGTGTATTTCTCACATAATGGACACCAATATAAAGGGTGAAAATTCCATTTTTTAACTTGAGTTTGAGCATAGTGAATAGAATTGTACTTGCTTTTTCTCCTATTGCTTTTGCAAGGAACAATGTAAACATGCAATGGAGACATTTTTATATGAGATAGAGGGAATCTATTTAACATATCATTGTTTTAGATACATAACCAAAGAAGATGTTGCTATAGCTTCAATGGACAAAGTGAGGAATGCTGGGGGCCATGTTCGTCTGATCACAAAGGAGTCCAGGCCATGGGATCCTTTTACAAAGTAAGGTTTTTCTACTGTTAGTATGTATTGCTAATTCCACTCCTTTACATGTATGTATTGATTTTCATAATAATGTCTCACTGTTGGATGACCACTTTAGAGGTTACATAGAACTTTAACAAAATAGTGTCTCTTCAGTTGTCCTAGCAACCTGTTGAGGTACCTGGTGTCCTCATTTTAAACATTAGAGATGAGGAAGGACCCTGATACCAGATGGACTAAGTAACCTGCTCCAGGGCTTGGGGGTAGATGCCAGGGGACCTGAAGCTAAATCTGGACTCTGTCCCCTAATCTTGAGCTCCATCATTAGAAGGCTTTCTTTTAACTTTTCAAACAACCATGGAAAATAGCCAAAGCAGCTGTTGTTACTTCCCAAGTAGGATTTTCTAACAAAATTGAGTAGTGTACCTTTTCTTTTATTCTAACAGATTGAGCACATATCCTATGATGTTTTGTTTCTAAGATTAATTTCATCAACTCTACATTTACCTGTAGGAAACATGGTATTGAGCAAGTCTTCTGTTCTAATTCCTATCAGCACTGTCAGCGATTTTACTCTGTCGCTTTATGGCTGTGACTCTGTTTCCTGTGAGCTAGCAGAGGCTGGAGGAGAGAGTTTGTAATGACCTGTCTGAGCTAATGAGGTGTGTGACCCCATATATTTAAGGAGCCAGGTAGCCACTAAGCTTTAGCTGGGGTTTTACATTAGCTATCCTTTCCTAGCCTGAAGAAACATTTTCTAACAGCCTCTCCAGATGTTTCATATGTTTGCATATTTTACATGTTTCAGGATTCTTTAACATGAGGGCATCTAAATTCCCAAAAGAGGCATCATATTTGTATTTAAATTAATATGTTGTAATACATTGTTCTTTGTTGCTCAGCATGGAATATAGAGTGCTGACTATAGCTATTTTATTTCTACATTGTGATATGTGTTTACTATTTATTCATATAGAAACATTGATAACCTTTATACGAAGCAGTGACTATTTAGACTAATCGTTCATTAGTTACCTATTCAGTGTTTTTTTTTAATTATAGAAACTTTCTTGAAGATGGAGCCTGTGTCCCATTTCTAAGTCCAGACACAGTCCAAGCTGATCCCACTAGGAAGGCTTCTACATCCAAAGGCTATTTACAAGCTGTGGATAATGAAGGAAATCCACTTTGCCTTCACTGTCAGCAACCCACTTGGCAAACTAAGCAAGCGTGTCAAGCAAACGCTTGGGATTCACGGTTTTGCTCTCTGAAATGTCAGGAAGAGTTTTGGATTCGATCTAATAACAGTTACCTGCGAGCCAAAGTATTTGAAACTGAACATGGTGTGTGTCAGCTCTGTAATGTGAATGCACAAGAACTCTTTTTACGTCTGAGGGATGCCCCTAAAAGTCAGAGGAAGAATCTTCTGGATGCTACCTGGACTTCAAAGCTCCCATTAGAACAGGTATATTATAATCATCTGATAGATAGAAGGCAGCATTGTACTAAGTATAATGAATATTGACTCTTTAACTTTACTTTTTAAATTTTAACATGGAAATATTCATATATATAAAAGGAGAGAAAATTATGGACCCATATGTTCATCAGCCAGCTTTAATAGTTTTCAGCATTTTGCCATTCATTTTCATCTGTCCTTTGACTCACTTGTTTTTTTCTCCTAGAATATTTCATTTTATTTTATTTTTTTGGAGACAGAGTTTCACCCTTGTTCACCCAGGCTGGAGTGCAGTGGCGCAATCTTGATTCACTGAAACCTCTGCCACCTGGGTATAAGCAATTCTTGTACCTCAGCCTCCTGAGTAGCTGGGATCACAGGTATGTGCCACCATGCCTGGCTAATTTTTATATTTTTAGTAGATGGGACTTTGCCATGTTGGCCAGTCTAATTTTGAACCCCTGACCTCAGGTGATCCCCCGCCTCATCCTCCCAAAGTGCTGGGATTACAGGCACGAGCTACCATGGCTGGCCATCTCCTAGAATATTTTAAAGAAAATTCTAGATATTTCTTTTCACTCTTGAATATTTTCATTCTGTATCTCTCACAGGTAAAGACCTCCTTCCTTCTGTCCCTTCTTCCCTCTCCCGCCCTTCTTCCCCCTCCCTCGTCCCTTTCTCTCTGTTTCCCTTCCTTCACTCCTTTCCTCCTTCCCTCTTTCCCTTTCCTCATTTCTTTTCCTCATAATCCCAGTACGAGTTATCATACCCAGCACAATTACAATTCCTTAATTATACTAAGTCTGTGTTTGGCTTCCCAGATTGTCTCAAAAATGTCTTGCTGGACTCAGTGGCTCCTGCCTGTAATCTCAGCATTTTGGGAAGCCAAGGCAGGTGGATCACCTAAGGTCAGGAGTTCGAGACCAGCCTGGCCAACATGGCAAAACCCCATCTCTACTAAACATATAAAAAATTAGCCAGGCATGGTGGCAGATACCTGTAGTCCCAGCTACTTGGGGGCTAAGGCAGAAGAATCACTTGAACCTGAGAGACAAAGGTTGCAGTGAGCCAAGATCACACCACTGCACTCCAGCCTGGGTGACAGAGCAAGATTCTGTCTAAATAAATAAATAAATAAATAAATAAAAGTCTTTTATAGTTACACTTTGTTCAAATTAGGATCAAACTGTCATCCAGATAGTACATTTGGTAATAATGCCTCTTATGCTTCATTTAATCTATAATGGCACCCCATTCCTTTTTTATACTATCAGTGGTTGAATATACTGGATCATTTGCCATTCTGGATTTATCTCCCTGTATCTGCAAGGTATTGTTTGACATGTTCTTCTATTCCCCCAATTTTCTGAATAACAATTTTAAGATCTAGAGACTTAATTTCATTCTCAGTTATTTTAGGAAAAGATCTTAACAGGTGTTACAGTGTATTAAGAGGCACCTATGATCTGTTGATTCCACTTTCTATAATGTTAATATTGAATGGCAAGGAGCAAACAGGTAACCCCAGAAATATAGTCCATCACAATCAGAAGTCTATGTGTGTGTATATACACTCACACACATCTATGTGTTCTTTGCATTGTAAAATGTAATACACCAATTTGTGATGAAATATTATTTATAGCACACTGTCCTCAATATTCACTTTCATTTCCAAAATTCAGTTGGATTTCTAATTTTGCTATCTGAACAATTCTAAATTTCAAATTAGGCCAGGATTTGGCTCACACCTGTAATATCAGTATTTTGAGAGGTTAAGGTGGGAGGATTGCTTGAGCCAAAAGTTGCCAGCCTGAGCAACATAGTGGAACCCCATCTCTACAAGAAAAAAGATCAGAAAAATTAGCCTGGTGTGGTAGCATGCACCTGTAGTCCCAGCTACTTATATGGCTGAGATAGGAGGATTGCTTGAGCCCAGAAGGTCCAGGCTGCAGTGAGCTGTGATGGTGCCACTGCACTCCAGCCTGGGCAACAAAGCAAGACCCTACCTCTAAATAAAATGTGTAATTTTGTAGTGTGCTTAATTTATAAAAATCACTCCTCACTCTCTGCCCACTAAAATATTGAATGAATTCCTGCCAGTTAGATAAACTATGTATTTTTGTTTACCTAGGATAGTGTTGAATTATAAAGAAATGAATTCATCAGCATTTCTGCAAAGATGAATTAGCATATCTTTGAGAGCTAGGGAAATACACTATTTCTCTAAAGATATCCAGAGTTCCTGAAAGATCTTTTGTTCTAATTGATGAGGGACATATTGTACACATCCCGGGGATATCAGTCAGACTCCAGTTACTGCTGCCTCAGTGTGACGGTTTCCAGAAGACATACAACAAAATGACTCAAGGTTATTGAAAGCAACCTGTCTAGGAATGCAGAAGTAATCTAATAGCCAAAACAAAAGTGCTCTGAGAATAAGCAGCACAATAGGCTCAGATTGGGTAGGACTAGGCAGAGAGAGAGTGATTTTATTTTGTTTATTTATTTATTTATTTATTTATTTACTGAGATTGGGTCTAGGGTCTCACTGTGTTGCCCAGGATGATCTTGAACTCCTGGGCTCAAGTGATCATCCTGCCTCAGCCTACCAAACATCTGGGATTACAGGCATGCACTACCACATCAAGTGATTCTTTCAAGAGGTAGGCAAATTTAGGATATTAAAGAGTGGCCCCAAGTGATTTGCCTTACAGTTTCTTGGAAAAACTAAAGAAGCATCATCTTGGTCATTGAGTTTGTCAGAGTGGGGATTGCTCAGAGAGAAGGAATTGGTTTAAAAAGGCAAAACCAAAATGGATTTTTTTTTCCCTAAGACTCTACCATTTTCTTGATGCACGGGACTGTCATTTGTAGGTGCTTCTAACAATGCCAACCTCAAAAACAAAAATCAATACCTTTTTTCTAACAGAAGTTGGGAAGTTTAACACAGAAGAGAAGGTAAGGCAGGCAGTAGTAAAGGTCAGCTAAAGTGTGTGTATGTGGACTGGCCTAAATAAAGGCTACTTCAAATGGTCATCTTTAATTATTCCAAATATGCAAGTTACAGAGATTTGTTCTAGAAATTTCATTCCAGTCCACATAACTTGGGAAGTTCTCTGGTGAATAGTATAAAAGTTCTAGATAATAGCCATTGGTATTAAACTGCCACTGTATAGTGACAAAAGCATTTAGGTCAACAATTAAAAATTGTTTGACTTAGTAGTATTGAGAAGTTTTAAATTTCTAATCTATTCTTACTCTTTTCTTAGATTTGGTTTATTGAATATATAAACTAAAGGTGTAGAAAAACCAGTTTTTCCCAATCTGTCAGGAGTCTTGGTATTTTATGTTTCCTTGTAGTTTTTTCAAAATGAGTTAGTTAAGGGAGGAAAAAAACTTTCAGAAACACATTTTATTGTTTTCAAACTGCTAACCAGAGGGTTTTTTTCTACTCACAATAAAAGCTATAAAAAGCTATCCTGATGTATTTTTCCCCATGATTTTTCTGTATAAACATGATTGCACAATGCAAAACCAACACACAGTTCTTGCAATATATGTTGAAAATTGCTGCTCTTATATTCTTATTGTAGCTAAATGAAATGATAAGAAACCCAGGGGAAGGACATTTCTGGCAGGTGGATCACATCAAGCCAGTCTACAGGGGAGGAGGACAGTGTTCCCTGCACAACCTGCAGACTCTCTGCACAGTCTGTCACAAAGAGGTCAGTGAAGCTCTCATATAGCTTTGACTCCATCCTGAGAAGTCAAATGGAAAATTGTGCATACAGTTGTGGAAGATTATGTGGATGAATTTATCCCTTGTCTGAGATTCAAGATGCATTTTATTCCTTTCATCATCTAACACTTGCTTTTCTTCTCAAGGCCTGTGTCACAGATGCAAGAGAAGCTGCTTCCCTTTTAATTCATTCTAGTACCAAGACATTAGTACCACTACCAAAAAAGGATACAATTTATATATTGTCTTGACGAGACCCTGATCATCAAACTGGAAGTTTGGTGAACTGGGGCAATCATACATGTTTGCATATAACTAAGGATATCCTGAAATATCTGAAAACATTAATAAATTATCTCTAGGACTAACTCAATTCAACATGCAGAGTTTTCGTTGCTGGTCAAAGTATGAAACCAATTAACTCTGGCACATCGTTGGGTAGTTAGTTACCTGTTGCTTAGAATGAGAGGAAAAAACACATAGTATTGCTTATCTACCAGGATGAATTTTTTATAGGCAGTCCAGTAAAAGGTAATAAGATTTACCTGTTGAGATCATTTTAGAAAGAGGCATACATGGCTGGGTGCGGTGGCTCACGCCTGTAATCCCAGTACTTTGGGAGGCCAAGGTGGATGGATCACAAAGTCAGGAGTTCAGGACTAGCCTGGCCAAGATGGTGAAACCTCATCTCTACTAAAAATACAAAAATTACTTAGGCATGGTGGCGGGCGACTAACCCCAGCTACTTGTGAGACTGAGGCAGAGAACTGCTTGAACCCAGGAGGCAGAAGTTGTAGCAAGCCGAGATCACACCCCTGCACTCCAGCCTGGGTGACAGAGCAAGACTCCATCTCAAAAAAAAAAAAAAAAAAAAAAGAGGCACATATTCAATATGTGACTTCGTATTCAACATTTTTTCACTTATAGCAAGATCTAAGCATTTCTCATGTTTTCTAACCATTCAAAATTTAAATCATCTAAAATGACTGCATAATACAATATTCTATTGAGTAGGTCTCTACTGTAGTTTACTTAACCATTCCCATGCTGATTAATATTTGTTTAAATTTTTTTTGCTTTTCTGCATCACGCCACCAAGCACATTTTTTGTAAACAAGACTGTTTCCTATTTTTTGAGGTCTTTCTGTAAGGTAGATTCTCATATGTAAAAATCACTGAGTCAGAAGTGTTTGGATATTTTTGACAAGTAGGAATTTATCACCAAACTTTTCCAAAGAATTTTACTCATTTATGGCCCCAGAAGCCCATTTAACTGCCACTGAGTACAGTCAGTGAGTGGGTGCCATGTGGTGCAAGGAGAAGGGCCTGCAATTGTTTTGTTTGCTAAAGACACTGATGTTTTTTGAAGATGCTAATCAATTATATTTAAACTTTGATAACTATTTCAGATCCTTTGCCAATGATTATAATGTATGAACTCTTTACTACTACTCTTTTTGTTTTGTTTTGTTCTGTTTTGTTTTTGTTTTTTTGAGACGGAGTTTCGCTCGTTACCCAGAGTGGAGTGCAATGGCACGATCTCGGCTCACTGCAACCTCCACCTCCTGGGTTCAAGCAGTTCTCCTGCCTCAGCCTCCCGAGTAGCTGGGACCACAGGTGCGCGCCACCATGCCCAGCTAACTTTTGTATTTTTAGTAGAGACAGTATTTCACCTTGTTGACCAGGATGGTCTTGATCTCTTGACCTCGCGATCCACCCACCTCAGCCTCCCAAAGTGCTGGGATTATAGGCATGAGCCACCACGCCCAGCCCTACTACTCTTTTTTTTTTTTGAGACAGTCTTACTCTGTTGCCCAGGCTCAAGTGCAGTGGTGTGATCTTGGCTCACTGCAACCTTCGGCACCTGGGTTCAAGTAATTCTGCTTCAGCCTCCCAAGTAGCTGGAACTACAGGCATATGCTGCCACACCCAGCTAATTTTTTGTATTTTTAGTAGAGATGGAGTTTCACCATGTTGTCCAGACTGGTTAGGAACTCCTGAGTTCAGGTAATCTGCCCTCCTCGCCCTCCCAAAGTGCTAGGATTACAGGCATGAGTTACTGTGCCTAGCCTACTACTCTTTTAATATGCTGTATTTCAAAGTTTTTTCACAAATATTTTTATATGAAAACATTTTACCCCCAAAACCTAAAATGTAATTTTAAAAAACACATTTTACATAAATGGGATCATGTCATGTAGGCAGGCTTTTTGGTTTTTGTAATTTGTTTTGGTTGTAAGCGTCTCTTCTTTTTTTTTTTTTTGATATGGATTCTCACTCTGTCACCCAGGCTGGAGTTCAGTGGTGCGATCTTGGCTCACTATAACCTCCACCTCATGAGTTCAAGCCGATTCTCCTGCCTCAGACTCCTGAGTAGCTGGGATTACAGGCATCTGCCATCACACCTGGCTGGTTTTTGTATTTTTAGTAAAGATGGAGTGTCACCATGTTGGCCAGGCTGGTCTTGAACTCCTGACCTCAAGTGATTAACCCACCTTAGCCTCCCAAAGTGCTGGGATTACAGGCATGAGCCACTGCACCTGGCCGTAAGCTTCTCTTCTGTCCTTTACTCTTTCCACCGGGATCTCCTCACATGGACTTCACATGGAAAAAAAAGTAATCTGATTTCTCAGCTAAGCAAGTTATTTGCAAATTCAAGACCTATAAGAGAATTAAGAAATAGCCAAGGAAAATGCAGCCCTTTCTGTAATTATTTTTTTAAATTGTCATGAAAAAACTGTTATTTGTGGAATTGGTGGGAGAATCCAGTTCTCGTCTCTGTCATTTTATTTTCTACACTGGCTCATCTGTTGAGTTGGAAATGACCTCTGGGGTCAGAGAATAGGAAGTGAGTAGATTTTCTACTCTGGATAATCCCAAGATGCCTTAAGAATTCCCATTTGGATGGGAGAATCAAGGCCTCTCTAGTCTCCAAATGAGAAATTCATGCTGTCACTTGGTAGCAAGACATCTCTCAAGTTGTATGTCTTCTCCTGCTACTTTGGTCTTATGAACCTAGGACCTCGGAGTTGCCAGAGCTGCAGAGTATCTGCCTTGTGGTTTGATAACTCTTTAATAGCCAAGCACTGGAAAATGTGTGAAGTGACAGTGTAGAATTTCCAAACTAACAATACAAAGAATTTTTGAGCTTCGGTAGCCAGTGCTTTTTTCCTAACATGTGCACATGCATATTTTTTTAACTTTTAGAGAACTGCCAGACAAGCTAAGGAAAGAGGCAAGGTGAGAAGACAATCTCTAGCATCAAAGCATGGATCAGACATCACACGATTTTTGGTAAAGAAGTAAAGTAGAAAAATATATGAATGAATGACATATGGTTTACATGTGGAATAATTTAATACAAAATTTTTCCATGTTTAATACATTGAGAGTAAAAATTTTCAGAACAAAAATCAGGAATTCAAATTCTGTTGTACTAATTACTTTTAGTGTTAAATACATTTTGAAAGTATTTAACAGAAACTCAGATATGATACTAAATATTTCTGTGGTCTTTTTGATTTGATGCAGACTAGCAATTATGTTTCAGCAATGTTTTGTTAAGCTCTTTATCCCTAATATGCCTAATCACTGTATTGTGCATAGACTGTGTTTAAAAAATGTGCTCTCGATTACCTGAAAAATGCTTCTGGATTAGTATTGGTTTTGGACTGTCATAGGTATGAATGGAACATTGCAAAACTTTATGGGAAATTTCAGAGGCAAATCATTATTCAGGAGTTATGGGCCAAGCATGACCAGCCTGCTTAGGATTCAAGAGAGATTGTCCTCTAAATACCTCCAGAATGACCTTGGGGTACACATTTTGGGTGTTTCCTTCCTTGCTTTATTTCTTAGCCAGTCATCTTTCTCAAAAATATCCTTTTCAACATGAGGTACCTAACACTAATGGTGTTTGTGGACAATTCAGAAGTTCTGTGTAAAGTAATTTTTAAAACTATTAAATAACTGAAACCATAAAATGTAAAGTGCCACTTAAGCTTGATTTTTTTTTTTTTTTTTTTTTTTTAGTGTATGTACTGCCAAAGTGAGCACAAGTCTGGTTTTTTAGATCTTTTTTAAAAAAAAAATTAATAAAAGTAGGCTTATTGTCAAAATATTCTTTATCTTCTGGTTCTCATATTCTCCTTTTGAAACCCTGTGTTATTAAAGGTATCTTTCTGGTACTTCTTTTAAAATGAGTAATGATGATAAAACACTTTATAGTAAGGCATAACCAGATGATTATATGCATTTAAAAGTACAATGATAATATTAAAATGTAATTGACATAAAATAAGAGTGATCATGAAGCAAACCCAGGGCCTAATCCTGCAATATGTCAGAATCATCAAAGCAAAGAGTTAGAACTATACACAATACAGGTCCAAGGAAGAATTGCATTCCCAAAAGGGACCTGTTTGTAAATACTATTAGGATGTATACCTCTTTGATTTGAGCATTTTCCTACTTTAATTAATAGCTAGTGTTTTACAACACAAAGGACTTGTTTTTAGAAAGATTATATAATCATGAATTTTCCTTCCGGAGTTGTTCCTCGGTTTCTATTTCATTTTATGAGATCAAATCATGTTGCTTATTTTATAAATGAAGTTGGGCTTTCTTTGGCCTCCTTTCTGCTTAGTTGGTCAGGCTCCTTGCAGTTTTCTGCCTCATTTCCAAGGTAACCTAGGATTTATCATAGTTGAGAGCCAAGAAGCAGGCACACTGCCTTTCCTCCAGCATGGGGTGTTTGCAAGTGTGGTCTAAGTAGGTCAGATTTGAGGGGAACTTGCTCTTCAGATCACACTAACGTGATAATTCTAAGGAGAAAGTTCTCAGATGTAAGAACTGTGTGATGGTTTGAGGTGAAACAATCCATGAAGATAGATAGGCTCAGTCTATACAAAGTTTCTGAATTCTGACTAATTAAAAATGCCATAAGGAGCAGTGACCATCTGCTATACAGGACGCTGACTGGCTCATCCCCATCCCTTCCTGACATGTCTCAGAGCTTTGTGTCCTGCCTTCCCCTAATTTGGTCTGCATTACTTGCAGGGCACATTGAGATGAAGGTTCTGGGGCTGAAAATAAAGATAGAGATTGATCTAATCACCAAGGCCAAAAGGGCATCTTGAGGAGACTGCTCTTTCATCCTCACAATCTGAAACAGAAGCTGCCCGCTATGTATTGCAAATGGGAGGTTATGAAAGAGGGACACAGAAAGTGTCAGAGCAAGCAGCAGATCCTGAGTGCAGAAAGAAGTGCAGATGGCCACCAGGAAGAACGTAGCTACTGCCACACAGGAGATGGAGATGAAGTGAAAGACACAGGTGGGCAGGCGGGTAGAGTGAGTGTAAAAGGATAGGCCCAGCTCTGAAAAGACTCAGAGAAGTTGCATGATACAGTGTAGGCTAAGAAAACAGCAACAAAAAAAGGCTGTAGCCAGGTCTGATGGCACTAGCCTGTAGCCTAGCTACTCAGGAGGCTGAGGTAAGAGGGTCACTTCAGCCCAGAAAGAAAAGAACAACAGCTCTGGATTCAAGGAACAGAACTGGGAAGTGGTAGGTGGGGAATGAACCAGCTTACGATATGGAACCATATGAAAATATGCCTGTGGGTAGGGGTTGGGTGGGGAGGACTTCTGGAGCACGGTGGGGCTTACACACCCAAACTTTGCATAGCCAGCATCAGGCTGGCCTACCTTCCTGTTCCCGTCACTGAGTGACAATGATCCCATACACATTTTGATGATTAATAAAGTTGCTTTTTTTTTTTTGAGACAGAGTTTCGCTCTTGTTACCCAGGCTGGAGTGCAATGGCGCGATATCGGCTCACCGCAACCTCTGCCTCCTGGGTTCAGGCAATTCTCCTGCCTCAGCCTCCTGAGTAGCCAGGATTACAGGCACACGCCACCATGCCCAGCTAATTTTTTGTATTTTTAGTAGAGACAGGGTTTCACAATGGTGACCAGGATGGTCTCGATCTCTTGACCTCGTGATCCACCCGCCTCGGCCTCCCAAAGTGCTGGGATTACAGGCGTGAGCCACCGCGCCCGGCCTAATAAAGTTGCTTTTAGTAGCCCCACAGCCGGGAAGAAGAATTCATATGGAATTTTTAAAGAAGCCTACTCTCAATGTTAATTGCAGCCTAACATACATTTCTTGGAGAGATTTTCTTGGGACAAGTGAATACCCTCTATATTTTCTTAACTGGATAGGAGAAGGATTTTCTGCCCATACATCTTGCTAATAAATCAAATCTCTTCTTCAGATTCTTGAGTGCAACATTTGAAATGTAGTTTCTTTAGAAAAATAAGTATGAGGCATTTAAAATTATGTCAAAAAAGTTAATACTCTTGAGCTCTTCACAGTAAATAGATGGGTTCTATTTACTAATAGGATACAGAATTTTGGATTTCAAACATCAAAAATAAATTGTGGAAATAATATCTCATTTTCTGTTACATATTACTAGCCTGTCTCATTCCACCATTTCTTCTTTTGAACTGGAAAACTGTAGGCTCCCAGTCACTGTACCAATCTCTCCAAATATCCAACTACCAGAAAATGTTTTATCTCATCTCAAGTTTGTCAATTGCTTTATATTGTTAAGGGTGGTTTTGCCACCCTGATTGTGTTCATATTTACCATTAAGAAATGTCACTGTTACTAAGATACATTGTGTGTTCCAACTACCTGCCTCTCTGCCTTAGTAGTTTCTCCTTAAATCATTGACTGGATCTTCCTAGCAGTAGCTTCTAGCTATTTTCAGAAAACTGGTCTCTGGTATGCCTTAAAAATATTGTAAATCATTGCACATTTGCTAAAGTGTTTGTATTTCACAGTCTCTCTGCTCTTACACATCTGCCTTCCTGCAACCAGATGTCATCATTAGATTGGAGAACCTTCAAACACCTGTAACTATATAAAGCTCAAGTCTGTTTAAGAAAGAGCCCAACATCGTTTCAACTTAGCCTCCAAAATAAGCTAAAGAAAGCATTCTTGTGCAACTTGAACCTAGCAAGTGCTTGACATGCATCGTTTACACACACATGCCACAGACAGACAGCCCAATATTCTTCGTGTAACTCCAGATTGCTATGCTTCAGCTTAGAGCCTTTGCAATCCTGCAAAAATGTTTTACCTTCCTTCTATGTAATACTTTCTAAAGAACTATGACTTAATTTATATCTTGGCCTTCATCAAATGGATATTTTTTGAAGCCATACACGAAATACTGCTATGCTGTTTTTGTTCTTCTTGCTGTTTTGAAAACTGCTCTTAGGAGATTTAAGAAGGATAATTGCTAATGCCTCTCTCTCCACATGAAACTGCGAACCAGTTGAGAAATGAAACACAGAAGCCAGTCAGATGAAATTGACAATGTCAATTTTGAGGTTCATAAAAGAGAATTAGAAATCATGCATGGATCTGTAGCACCAGTCAAGCTCTCTAATACTTAGGGCCTCTGTGTTCAACTGGGGCCCTGGGTGACTCCCCTGCAGGAAAGTAAGAGTGAATCTATCCTGCAGGGCAAGCAAACTTACCCCAAAACCCAAGCCAGCAGCTACTTGACTTCATCTTGGGGACAGTGAGAAAAGGATCTCCAGGCCAAACTTGACAGCTTCTGTCCTGTAGACAGGCTGATCAGAGAGAAAGGGGATAGGCATTTTCATCCTCCATGGCTTCTCCTAAATTTGCCAATGGGATAAGTCACTCTGCTTCCTTTAGAGAGGAGGGAGTCAGAGGGTAGAGATAGGCCAAAAATTTCTTCCTTTAGCAAAACTTGAGGGTGAGGAAGAGGTATTTCGTGTTGCGTCTCTGTATGCCACCTTGCGCATATAGCATGATGACAAAATCAGTTCCTATTAAAATATCCTTGCTCAAATACTACCCTATCCCTTGACCTTGGACATGTGTCCATTAGTTCTTAAACTCTCCATGGGCGTTAGAAACCATCTGCCACCCTGACAGCAATGTCAGCCCTTTCTCCAGCCTAATGTGTATCTCTGTGGCCCATTTGGTTCCTTGTGCCTGCTGCGGCTTATAAGTAAGAATGACTCCCTTCTTAGTGTGCTGTATGCCAGTGTGCTTTCATATTAGCATATTAGTAGTTAAGTAGAGGTCAGGCACCTGATTTTGTTCAAATAAGTCCTGCCAAGGGTGTTTTTGTATTTAAAAAAAAAAGGTATTTGTGAATTATGACCACTAATCATAATTAAATATAAAATATGTTGTGTTTCTAGACCAGTACCATCCAACAGAAATATAATTCAAGGCACATATGTAATTTTTATTGTGGTAAAATTTATCATTTTAATTGTTTTTAAGTGTACAGCTCATTGGTATTAAGTGCATTCACATTATTGTATAACCATCATCACTATGCCTCTCCAGATCTTTTTCACCATCCGTACTGAAACTCTGCACTTATTAAACTAACTTCCTCCCCAGTTCTTGGTAACTACCTAATATAATTTGGCCATTTGCCCCCACCCAAATCTCATGTTGAATTGTAATCCTCAATCTGGACCTTGGAGCCTGGTGGGAGGTTTTTGGATCATGGGAGTGGATCCCTCATGGCTTGGTGCTGTCTTCATGATAGTGAGTTCTCACAAGATCTGGTCATTTAAATGTGTGTGGCACCTCCCCCACCACTCCCTCTCTTTCTTGCTCCTCCTTTCACCATGTGATATGCCTGATCCCCTATTGCCTTCCATCATGATTGTAAGCTTCCTGAGGCCTCCGTGGAAGCTGAGCAGATGCCAGCACCATGCTTCGTGTAAAGACTGCAGAACTGTGAGCCAAATAAACCTCTTTTCTTTATAAATTTCCCAGTCTCAGGTATTTCTTTTTAGCAATGCAAGAATAGTGTAAAACACTACCATTCTACTTTCTGTCAGTATGTATTTAACTGTTAATCTAGGTACCTTATATAGGTGCAATCATACAATATTTGTCCTTTTGTTTCTGGCCTATTGGGTTTATCCATTTTGAAGTATGTGTCAGAATCTCCTTCCTATTTTAGGCTGAATAATATTTCATTATTAAATACTAAATTTTTTAAAATTCATTCATTCATCCATGGACATTGGGGTTGTATCCACCTTTCAGCTGCTGTGAATAATGCTGTTATGAACATGAGTATGCACATGTCTGTTTGAAACTATTTTTTTTTTTTTTTGAGACGGAGTTTTGCTCTTGTTACCCAGGCTGGAGTGCAATGGCGCAATTTCGGCTCACCGCAACCTCTGCCTCCTAGGTTCAGGCAATTCTCCTGCCCCAGCCTCCTGAGTAGCTGGGTTTACAGGCACGCGCCACCATGCCCAGCTAATTTTTTGTATCTTTAGTAGAGACGGGGTTTCACCATGTTGACCAGGATGGTCTCGATCTCTTGACCTCGTGATCCACCCGCCTCAGCCTCCCAAAGTGCTGGGATTACAGGCATGAGCCACCACGCCCGGCTGAAACTCTATTTTCAATTCTTTGGGGTATGTACCCAGAAGTGAAATTACTGGAATCAGTAATTCTCTATTTAATGTTTTGAGGAAACGCTATATTGTTTTCTACAGCTGCAACAATTTTACATACCCTTCAGCAATGCACAAGGTTTCCAATTTCTCCACATCCTCACCAACACTGTTTCGTTTTGTTTTATAGTAGCCATCCTGAGGGGTATGAAATAGTATCTCATTGTGATCTTGCTTTACCTTTCCCTAAAGACTAGTGATGTTGAGCATATTTTCATGTGCTTATTGGCCATTTGTACATTACTGTTGGAGTAATATCTATTCAAGTCCTATGCCCATTTTTGAATTGAGTTATTTGCTTTTATTATTGAGCTTTAGGAGTTATTTATATCTTCTGGACATTAATTACTTATCAAATAGGTGGTTTACAAATCTCTCCTATTCTGTGAATTGTCATTTTACTCAGTTGAATGAACTTTACACAGAAGTTTTAAATTTTTTATGAAGCCCAATTTATCTATTTCTTTTGTTGCCTGTGCCTTTGATGTCAGATCTAGAAAGTCATTGCCAAGTCCAATGTCTTGAACCCTTTCCTGTGTGTTTTCCTCTAAGAGTTTTATAGTTTTAGTTCCTATGTTTAAGTCTTTGGTCTATTTCATGTTAATTTTTGTATTTAGTGTTAGCTAAGGTCCAACTTCATTCTTTTACATGTAGATGTGCAGTTTCCTTAGCACCATTTGTTGAAAAGACTGTCCTTTCCCCATTAATGATCTTGGCACCCTTGTTAGAAATCATTTGACCATATAAGTATGGATCTATTTCTGGGTTCTATACTTTATTCCATTGGTCTATATGTCTGCCTTTATGCCAGTACCATACTGTTTTGATTACTGTCACTCTGTAGTAAATTGTGAATCAGAAAATGTGAGACTTCTGTTTTTTTTTCTTTTTGAGATGGAGTCTCACTCTGTTGCCATGCTGGAGTGCAGTGGTACAATCTCAGCTCACTGCAACCTCTGCCTCCCACGTTCAAGTGATTCTTCTACCTCATCCTCCCAAGTAGCTGGGACTATAGGCACGTGCTGATACACCTGGCTGATTTTTTGTTATTTTAGTAGAGACAGGGTTTCACCATGTTGCCCAGGCTGTTCTCAAACTCCTGAGCTCAGGCAATCCACCCACTTCAGCCTCCCAAAGTGCTGGGATTACAGGCATGAGCCACCACACCCAACCAAGACTTCTGATTTCTTTACAAGAGTGTTTGTCTATTTGGGGTCCCTTGAGATTCCATATAAATATTAGGATGGATTTTTCTATTTCTACAGAAATTTCAGTAGGATTTTGATAGGTCTGTTAAGCCATTCTTGTGTCACTGTAAAGAAATATCCAAGGTTAGGTAATTTATAAAGAAAATAAGTTTAATTGGATCACAGTTCTGCAGACTGTGCCAGCATGGCTCCAGCATCTGTTTCTGGTGAGGGCCTCAGGAACCTTACAATCATGGCTGAAGGCAAAGGAGGAGCCAGTGTCTAATATGGTGAGAGTAGGAGGAGGTACCACATACTTTGAAACCACCAGATCTCACAAGAACTCATTATCACAAGGACAGTACCAAGCCATGAGGGATCTGCCCTCATGACCCAAATACCGCCCCCACCCCAGGCCCCACCTCCAACATTGGGATTACATTTCAGTATGAGATTTGGAGGGGACAATTATCCAAACCACATCAATAAACATTGCATTGAATCTGTAGATCACTTTGAGTAGTATTGACAATACTATAATAAGTATTCCAATTCATGAACATGGGAATGTGTTCTCATTTATATATGTCTTCTATAATTGCTTTCAGCAACGTTTGTAGTTTTTAGTTTATAGATTTTTCCCTTTCATGGTTAATTCATACATATTTTATTCTTTTTAATGCCACTATGAGTAGAATTTTTTTTTAATTTCCTTTTCACTTGGTTCATTTTTAGTGTATAGAAATACAACTTATTTTTGCATGTTTCATAGCCTGCATCTTAATTTATTAGTTTTTACAGAGGTTTTTGTTCATTTGTTTGTTTTGTTTGTTTGTTTTGAGATGGAGTCTCACTTTGTTGCCCAGGAGGGAGTACAGTGGCTAGATCTTGGCTCATTGCAACCTCTGCTTTCTGGGCTCAAGCAATTCTCCTGCCTCAGCCTCCCAAGTAGCTGGGACTACAGGCACATGCAGTCACGCCCAGGTAGTTTTTGTATTTTTAGTAGAGACAGGGTTTCACCATGTTGGCCAGGATGGTCTTAATCTCTTGACCTCATGATCTGCCTGCCTTAGCCTCCCACAGTGCTGGGATTACAGAAATGAGCCACCACGCCTAGCCTACAGAGGATATAAAATGTGGAATCTCTAGAGGTTTCTGCATTAAGATCATGTTGTCTGCAAACAGAGACTTCATGCTTTCCAATTTCAGTGCCTTTTCTTTTCTTGCCTAATTGCTCTGGCTAGGATTTCCATTAGTGTTGAATGCAAATGGTGAAGACAGAGATGTCTTGTTTGTGATCTTAGAAGAAAGGCTTTTAGCCTGTAATCATTAAGTATGATGTTAATTATGGGTTTTAAAATATATATTGCCTTTATTACATTGAGTTAGTTTCCATTCCTAGTTTGTTGAATGTTCTTATCATAAAAGAGCATTAAATTTTGTAAAATTCTTTTTCTGCAGAAAATGAGATGATCGTGTGCTTTTTGTTTTTTATTCTTTTAACGTGGTGTATTACAGTGATTCATTTTTACATGTTGAATCATGCTTGTATTCCAGGAATAAATCCAACTCTGTCATGGTGCATAATCCTTTGATTGCTGCTGAATTTGGTGTGCTGGTGGTATTTTGTTGAGCATTTTTGCATCCATGTTCATAAGTGATACTGGTTTGTGTTTTTCTTCTCTTGTGGTGTCCTTGTCTGGCTTTGGTATTAGGGCAATGCTGGCTTCATAGAAAGAATTAAAAATTGTTTCCTCTACCAGCCTGGCCAACATGGTGAAACTCCATATCTACTAAAAATCCAAAAATTAGCCAGGCATGGTAGGGTGCACCTGTAATCCTAGCTACTCAGGAGGCGAGGCAGGAGAATCACATGATCTGGGAGGCAGAGATTGCAGTGAGCTGAGATTGCACCACTGCACTCCAGCCTCGGTGACAGAGTGAGACTCCATCTCAAAAAAAAGAAAAGAAAAAAAATTATTTCCTGCCCTTCAGTTTTTTGGAAGAATTTAAGAAGGATATCTACTAGCTTAACTTCAATAGCATATAGAAACTGTATTTCTAGGCCAGGCATGGTGGCTTATGCCTATAATCCCAGCACTTTGGGAGGAGGCTGAGGCAGGTGGATCACCTGATGTCAGGAGTTCAAGCCAGCCTGGCCAACATGGCGAAACCTCATCTCTACTAAAAATACAAAAATTAGCTGGGTGTTGTGGTATGCACCTGTAATCCCAGCTACTTGGGAGGCTGAGACACGAGAATCGCTTGAACCTGGGACATGGAGGTTACAGTGAGCCAGGTTATGCCACTGCACTCCATCCTGGGTGATAGAGTGAGACTCTGTCTCAAAAATAAAAATAAAGAAACTACTTCTATACAGCTTCATCTTCAACCTCTTTAAGTTATTAATGCTACAAGATTCTATTTTTATGTAGTGTGTGTCCAAAAACATAAGCTAATTGTTTTTTTAATGCATTAGTCTCTTAAGTCATGTAAAAACAAAAACTAGAGTTACAAACCAGTTACAGTAATACTAGCTTTTATGATTTCCCAAGTATTTATTTTTGCTGGAAATATTTCTTCATATGCCTTTGATCTAATGTCTCATATTCTTTTTTTTTTGAGATGAAGTCTTGCTCTGTCGTCCAGGCTGGAGTGCAGTGGTATGATCTCAGCTCACTGCAACCTCCCCCTCTCCTGGGTTCAAGTGATTTTCCTGCCTCAGCCTCCCTGGTAGCTGGGATTACATGAATGTGCCACCACATCCAGCTAATTTTTGTATTTTTATTAGAGATGTGGTTTCGCCATGTTGGCCAGGATGGTCTTGAACTCCTGACTTCAGATGATCTGCCCACCTCAGCCTCCCACAGTGCTGGGATTACAGCCATAAGCCACCATGCCCAGCCTGACATACTTTCATTTCAACCTATAGGACTCCCTTTACATTTTTTGCAGAGTTCGTCTAGTGGCAATAAGCTCTCAGCTTTTATTTATTTTGAAGTATTTTAATCTCTCCCTCGTTTTTAATTGACAGTTTTGCCAGATATAGGATTCTTGATTGGCCATTTTATTTCTTGCTGCACTTTGAATATATCAGCCCACTGCCTTCTGGCCTCTAAGACTTCTGATGAGAAATATGCTGATAATTTTTTTTTGAGCACCCTTTGATGCGATGAATGACTTCTGTTTTGCTGATTTTAAGATTCTTTCTGTGTTTCATGTTTGACAGTTTATTAGAATGTGTCTCAATGTGGATATCTTTGTTTTTATATTCATCCAAGAATATAAACATTAAATCGCCTTAAATTTGGGATTTTTTTGCCATTATTTGTTCAAATAATGTCTCTGCTACTTGTCTCCCTCTTCTCCTTCTGTGACTCCCATACAGCATATGTTTGTCTGCTTTACGGTGTCTTATCCTCAGGATTTGTTCACTTTTCTTTAATATTTTTTTCTTTCTTGTTCCTCAGGTGAGAATTTCAATTCTACTTTCTTCACATTCACTGATTTTCTCCCCTCCCTGCTCAAATATATTTTTGAATCCCTCTAATAAATTTTTTATTTCAGTTATTGTACTTTTTAGCTCCAAAAAAAGTTATTATTATTTTTTTTTGAGACATAGTCTGCTGGAATGCAGTGGCTCAATCTCAGCTCACCGCAATCTCTACCTCCTGGGTTCAAGTGATTCTTGTGCCTCAACCTCCTAAGTAGTTGGGATTAGAGGTGTATGCCACCACATACAGCTAATTTTTGAGTAGAGAAGGGGTTTCACCATGTTGGCCAGGTTGGTCTTAAACTCCTGACCTCAGGTGATCCGCCCACTTCCACCTCCGAAAGTGCTGGGATTACAGGCATGGTTATGAGTCACCACACCTGGCTCAAAATTTCTTTTTTCGTTTCATGTTTTATATGTCTGTGTTGATATTTCCATATTGTTCATACATCATTTTCTTTACTGTGTCTACCTCTTCCTTTAGCTCTTTGAACATCTTTAAGACAGTTGTCCTAAAGCCTTTGTCTGGTAACTCTACTATCTGGTCTTTCTCAGAGATTATTTCTGGTGATTTAATTTTTTGCTTTGTCATTTGACTATACTTTCCTGTTTCTTTGTATGCCTTGTAATTTTTTGTTGAAAACTGGACACTTGAATTTTATATTTTGGCAGTTCTGGAAACCAGATTCTCCTCTTCTCCAAGGTTTGCTGGGTTTCGCTGTTGCTCTTCTTGGTGTAAAAGAGTGACTGTGCCAGGCATCTATTCAAGGTGTAAATTTAAGCTCTTCTTGGGTCTTTTCTGAGCCTAAATCTTTCCCTGGACATATTTAGTGGCTTTCTAAATTCCCTGTATATGCAGCTGCTTTTTGATATTCCATTGTTGAAATGTGCCTCCCAAAAGGAAAAGAGGTAACAGGCTCTCAGTCTTTAAGTACTCTGAAAGCTACTTCAGAGGGTGGGATTGCAACAGTAGTGTCTGCCTCTGTGTCTGCACCTTCATGATCAGAGAAGCAGCATTCAGAACACAGATCCCTGATATGTGGAAGGCAAGGTCCTTATTCCCTTCTCTAACTTCCACAAGCTTTGTGCAAGCTGCACCAGGTACGCGTGCATGACTGACTGCCACGGAGCTAGGAAAGGGAATGGTAAACCACTACTGTGCCAAGAGCATTTGACCAAAATTAATTGCAGTTTACTGTCCAAGCTTTCCTCTGGCAGCTGCAAGCCTTTGAATAGACTCCAGAGTTCCAAAATAGTTACATCAAACTGATTCTGCCAGTGTAATTATCTAGATAGGGAGACAAGAGTCCTATATATCCCATGCCACCATCTTGCCTGATGTCATCCACATATGTGGGTTTAAATTTTTTAGTACCTGCTTTAAAAAATGAAAAGGAACAGATAAATATTTTAACAATATATTTTACTTAAACCAGTATATCCAAAATATGATTATTTTAACATGTAACAATATGAAAATTGGTGATTTTTTTTTATTTTGGCAGAGTTTCACTCTTTTTACCCAGGCTGGAGTACAATGGCATGATCTCGGTTCACTGCAACCTCTGCCTCCTGGGTTCAAGCAATTCTCCTGCCCCAGCCTCCCGAGTAGCTGCGACTACAGGCGTGTACCACCATGCCCAGCTAATTTTTGTATTTTTAGTAGAGATGGGGTTTCACCTTGTTGACCAGGATGGTCTCGATCTCTTGACCTACTGATCTACTTGCCTCGGCCTCCCAAAGCGCTGGGATTATAGGCGTGAGCCATTGCGCCTGGCCAAAAATTGGTGATTTTTTTTTTTTGAGACGGAGTTTCGTTCTTGTTACCCAGGCTGGAGTGCAATGGTGCAATCGCAGCTCACCGCAACCTCCGCCTCCTGGGTTCAGACAATTCTCCTGCCTCAGCCTCCTGAGTAGCTGGGATTACAGGCACGCGCCACCATGCCCAGCTAATTTTTTGTATTTTTAGTAGAGACGGGGTTTCACCATGTTGACCAGGATGGTCTCGATCTGTTGACCTCGTGATCCACCTGCCTCGGCCTCCCAAAGTGCTGGGATTACAGGCTTGAGCCACCACGCCCGGCCCAAATTGGTGATTTTTATACTAAATATTTAAAAGTACATATTGTATACCTAATAAACATCTCAAAGATGATAAATTTTCAATGGCTAAAGTGCAGTATAGCACTACCAAAACAATAATGTTGTGTTTGGCAGAAAAATATTTTATTATGCTTTAGTTTCTACACTAATTAAAATGTAACAGATTTAAAAATTCCGTTCCTCAGTCTCAGTAGCCTCATGGCAATGGCTGCTGAACTGGCAGAGCAGCCATAAACACCAACTTCTAAAACTGGGGATGTGTGAGGTAAGGTTTGATTTTTTTTATTTTTTTATTTTTTTATTTTTATGGTGGAGGGGGAACAAAGTCTTGCTCTGTCCCCCAGGCTGGAGTGCAGAGGCATGATCTCAGCTCACTGCAACTTCCGCCTCCTAGGTTCAAGCAATTTTCCTGCCTCAGCCTCCCTAGTAGGTCTCTACAGGCACTCGCCACCACACCCGGCTAATTTTTTTGTATTTTTAGTAGAGACAGGGTTTCGCCATGTTGGCCAGGTCTTGAACCCCTAATGTTAGGTAATTCACCCTTCTCAGCCTCCCAAAGTGCTGGTATTACAGGCATGAACCACTGTGCTTGGCTGGGTTTTATTTTCTGATCTTTACTGAAGGGCATTCTGTTCCTTCCTTTTTCAAAATGCATACTGGATTAGGTGGGACCGTTCTCATGCAAGGCAGTCTTCAGTCTGTAGAAGGCTGGGAAGTCGCTATTAAAACAGAAGCCTCCACAGGGAATCATTTCATCCTCCTAACACTAACCCTCAACATGTGGGTGAGTGGTTATATCTTCTAGGCCATAAGCTTCCGGCAGGGATGGGAGTGTGTATAGCCATTTCATGCTTGTCTTCTGTTCTGGAAGCAGCAACGCTTTCATTCTCAGTCCAGCATAGAGCCTGCCACTGCTGATAAGAGCAGTGCTGGCAACAGCTTCAGCTTTATTTTATAACCCTGAGAAGTTCTGCCCTATTTGTGGGGATTCATGCTGTGAACATCCATGCAGTAGAATTCCTGCTGCTTGCAGGAAGTTTTTAATAGAGCTGATTGAGCAAGACAAAGAGGACTTCTGCATTTTTTTAGGTTTTAAAGTTTTCAAATTTAGCATAAGATGGTAAACTTCAGGAAATGCACATTAAAACCATAATAAGAGGCTGGGCACAGTGGCTCATACCTGTAATCCCAGCACTTTGGGAGGCTGAGGTAGGCAGATTGCCTGAGCTCAGTAGTTTGAGACCAGCCTGGCCAACATAGTGAAACCTCATCTTTACTAAAAACACAAAAAATTAGCCAGGCATGGTGGCACGTGTCTGTAATCTCAGCTACTCGAGAGGCAGAGGCAGGAGAATCACTTGAACTTGGAAGGAGGAGGTTGCAGTGAGCCGAGACCTCGCCACTGGACTCCAACTGGGCAAGAGAACAAGGCTCTGTCTCAAAAAAAAAAAAAAAAGATACTATTTTACAACCAGCAAATTGGTGAAAAAAAAATTCATTTTTGTCAACACCCAAGAGCCTTTACTCCATAAAGATATGGAGTAAAACTCTCATCCAGAACTATTTGGACTGTAAATTAGTACAGCCACTTTGGAAAACAACTGGACATTATCAAATGAAGTCAAAGGTGCAGATACTTCACTGAATGCATATACTAGAGAAACTCTGCATGTGGTGGAGGAGTCACTCCCGAGGTTGCTCAGAGAGCATTGATTGTAACAGCAAAAAGTCTGGACAACCCAAGTGTTCATAAGAGAAGAATGGCTAAATTGGATATAGTCACATAATTAAATACTATACAGCTGTGAAAATTAATGAAGTTATGTGTATCAATGTAGGTGATGTCACATATTGAAAGTACAACATAAACAAATCAGGACGAATACATACACTGTGATTTCACTTAAAAGGTCAAAAACAAGCTAAACTGGATAGCAGGCCAGGTGCAGTGGCTCATGCCTGTAATCCCAACATTTTGGGAGGCTGAGGTGGGCAGATAGCTTGAGGCCAGGAGTTCAAGACCAGCCTGGCCAACATGGTGAAACACTACATGTTTCTAAAAAAATTTAAAAATTAGCCAGGCATGGTGGTGTGCACCTGTATTTACAGCCACTTGGAGGCTGAGGTAGGAGGAACACTCAAGCCCGGCAGGTGAAGGCTGCAGTGAGCTGTGATTCAGCCACTGCACTTCAGCTTGGGCAACAGAGTGAAATCTCTGTCTCAAAAAAAGCAAAAACAACACCAACTTCATAGCATATTGTCTGGGAATACATTCCCATGTGGTGAAACTATAAAAAGCAAGGCAGCCTGGTTGTGGTGGCTCACACCTGTAATACCAACACTTCGGGAGGCAGAGGTGGGAGGATTGGTTGAGGCCAGGAGTCCAAGAAGACCAGCCTGGGCAACATAGTAAGACTCCTTGTCTACAAAAAATTTTTAAACATTAGCTGGGTGTGGTGGTGCATACCTGTAATCCCAGCTACTCAGGAAGCTGAGGTGGAAGGACCTCTTGAGACCAAGAATTTCAGGTTATGATGAGGCATGATCACATCATTGTACTCGAGCTTGGGCAGCAGAGTGAGACCTTGCCTTTAATAAAAAACAAAAAAGAGAGACAGAGAGAGAAGTGAGGCACTGGTTAACAAAACTCAGAGTGGTTACCTGTTTTCTTTAAGGTAAGGTAATGCTCTGAAGTTTGGTGGGTTTTTTTTTTTTTTTTTTTTTTTTGAGATGGAGTTTCACTGTTGTTACCCAGACTAGAGTGCAATGGCACGATCTCAGCTCACCACAACCTCTGCCTCCTGGGTTCAAGCAATTCTCCTGCCTCAGCCTCCCGAGAAGCTGGGACTACAGGCGCGCACCACCATGCCCAACTAATTTTTTTTTGTATTTTTAATAGAGATGGGGTTTCATCTTGTTGACCAGGATGGTCTCCATATCTTGACCTCGTGATCCACCTGCCTCGGCCTCCCAAAGTGCTGGGATTATAGGCGTGAGCCACCGCGCCCTGCCTGAAGTTTGGTTTTAAGTCACAGTGATCATTGCCATTGTGTATACCTTCCAATATACACATATTTGGAAATCTGAGCTATTTCATAACAGAAATGCTACCTAGCTTAGCTAAAGCAATTATAGGACATATACTTCTTTATAGACTCATTTGCATGCTCAATTAATTAGTCATATATTATATATGGGTTAGGTGGGTTAAAGAGCAATGTAAATAAAACATGGTCCCTGCCCCTCTAGAATGTGCCATCTAGCAGACTCAGAGGCTTGGCATCTGTAGCACAGTGTATCCTGACAGTCACAGCTGGCCTCCTCTGTGCAGGCATGAAGTCATTCATTAGATTAGCTAGCATAAGGCTCTGCCGTATTAAGGTAAGTGTAATGGGGGGGTGGCTCATAAGTGGGGGTGTCTGAAGAGTGGGCCGGACCCATTGGTAAATTGGATGATTAGTTTGAAGTGGCCATATTTCAAATACCTGCTTCACCCATTGTGTAGTTTTGCTGAAAATCAGTCCTGAATCTTAGGAGTTTTATGTCAAATAAAAGGCAGATGTCATATCCTCATTTTGCCACTGGAAGAATTGAGACATTTTCTGGCTTACCCTGTTCAGAAATACTTGGTGCATGAAAATATCCCAAAGGAACCCCTAAAACTTTATTCTCTCTATGTGTCCTGGTATTTAACAAGCTGAGCGTGCTCAGCCTTGGGAAGTGCAGGTCTCCTTGGGTGGTGCAGACTTCCAGGGGCATCATTTTGGAGCCCATGCCAGTATTTTATGGGTAAATTTTTCATCCAGCATCCTACTTCCACATCCCCCAAACCCTCTTGATTCTGAGCAGCCATGGCCAAGGCCTTTGCACCTAACAGATAACTTTTTTTTTTTTTGAGACGGAGTCTCACTTTGTCTAGAGTGCAGTGGCACGATCTCGATTCACTCCAGCCTCCGCCTCCCAGATTCAAGCGATTCTACCTCAGCCTCCTGAGTGGCTGGGATTACAGGTGCATGCCACTGTGCCCAGCTAATTTTTGTATTTTTAGTAGAGACAGGGTCTCACCATGTTGGCCAGGGTGGTCTCGATCTGTTGACCTTGTGATCCTCCCACCTCAGCCTCTCAAAGTGATGGTATCACAGGTGTGAGCCACCACGCCTGGCCCACAGATACCATTTTGATAGGTATACTGCTGGAAAGCTCAAGAGCACATGGATCTTTAAAAGGAAGCAAATCAGGATAGATGAGGGAAAAAACACCAATTCCAGTGCTCAGTAGGAGTTGATACAATTCCTATTAAGGCATCTGCTCTGTGGACTGTTTTATCAGTCTGATTAATGGAGGGACCAAATAAATCCTCACAGTTAATAGACATCTCTGTCCCTACTTGTTATTACTCTATTTTTATGGTTATTTTATTAATAAGAAAACTATTGTTTCTAGTGAACTTAAGATGGATGAATATGAAACCTAACAATTTAGGATCTTTTCCCAGAGTCTTCAGTCATTCCTCTGAAAAATGAGGGAGCATTTGATTCCTAACTTCCTCTTCTCCATTCCCATGACAAGCCACGGAATTATAAGCACAGGTATAAATATCTTTCAGCTGATTAAATGGTGTCCTGCCAAAAGAAGATTTGTTTGAGTGTAATTTCTTGGATGCTCTTCTAAAGGAGAATGATCTTTCTTTAGAGGCCTCCATGGAAACACAGTATTACATTTTCCATTCTTTTAAAGAAGGATAACAAAATAACTATCTTCCTGCTGAAATCAAGAAATTGAGGCCCAGAGGATCCTAAGCTGTCCAGAACACTATGACTGAGTCTGCTGATAATTCCTGGTAAGAATGCAGCATTTTCAAAGCTGCCTGGGCGGGATAAGTGAGGAGGTGCAAAGCAGCCTTCCAGATCTCCGGTGGAGGCAACTCCTCCCACCTTCCCTCCAAATCAGGAAGTGTGCTCAGAGCTAGATTTGGGAACAATTTGAACAAGACAGTCATTCCCTGCCCAGCACATTCCGCCTGGTGGGAGCTGGAAGCCACGGCAGGGGAAGGGTCTATTCCTCTGAGGGTCGGGAACATATGGGGCTGCAGCGTTGGGTCCCTTTTCCTTTTCTGGGTGTCCTGCTTCTTGTCCTGACCCTGGAACCTAATCCTGTGCTCCTGGAACTTACATACCATTCTCTTCCTGTCAAACATGAGCCTTTCATGAAAAACAATGCCTGGTTGAAGTTTCCCTGAGAAGCCTGCTCGTTTGACACTGAGATCTGCTAGCGACCCAGATGTTAGGATCTCTGAGGCGCCTACTGTCATTGGAAAAGGCTGCTGGGGAAGGTCTTTTGTTGAGAGGACTCATTAACTCTTTCTCGCTGGGGTCAGCCCAGTCCTTGCAGAAATACCTACTGCAGATTCAGTCTTGAAGGATGGGTGGATCTTGAAAGGAGGGCACCCTTCCTGAGCTCCAAAAGAGTTGCAGCTCTTTCCTGTACTCTATGCCACTGTGATGGAATGAAACTGTGGGCAGTCCAGTAGGCCCTGGGAGACACAGGTGATGAATACAATCATGTTTCTCAGCCCTTGCCTACCTGCGACTCCCAGAGACAGTAGCATCCATGTACCTGGAGAGCCACAGTCCCAGGGGGCATCCTCCCAGGGCCACACTCCAGCCTGACCTTCCCTAACCCACCTTCCACACAGCCACCAGAGTGGGTGGATATGATCACTGAGAGGCTAAATCTCTGATATGTGGCTGAAAGACCTAATGACCACCTGTCATTATTTTAGGGAAATATTTGTTAAAAGGATTTTATATAAAGATAGATGACTTTCCTAAATGCTCATGTAAATGAAATCGTTTTTAAAAATTACCACTCGTGGCTGGGCGCAGTGGCTCCTGCCTGTCATCACAGCACTTTGGGAGGCCAGGGTGTGTGGATCACAAGGTCAAGAGATCGATACCATCCTGACCAACATGGTGAAACCCCGTCTCTACTAAAAATACAAAAATCAGCTGGGTGTGGTGGCGGGTACCTGTAGTCCCGGCTACTCAGGAGGCTGAGGCAGGAGAATCCCTTGAATCTGGGAGGTGGAGGTTATAGTGAGCCGAGATCGCATCACTTGCACTCCATCTTGGAGACAGAGCAAGACTCTGTCTCAAAAAACAAAAATTACCACTCATAATCATAAACATCCTTTCTCTGTTGTGTTATATGTATGTGTGTGTGTACACACATGCATATAAAGATACAGACAAGACATACACAATAAAACTGCATTATTATAAAAGTTCCCATAAATTGGCAATTGGCTTCCATCCTCCATTCAGGCCCCAGCTAAAGCTCTTATCCTACTGGGAGAAGAGGAGAAATGGAGGGGCCAGCAAAGTCAGGTGGCAAAAGGGAAGGCCCCACTGAGCCCCAGGGTGGACAGGCAGAAGTGGGACTCTGTGTTTCCTCAAAGTCCCACCTAGCCAGAAGATCTAAAATTGTCCCCATCAGTCTGCAAGCTGGTAGCCAGTCTGCATGGGCCAGACCAACCTGGGGCTTACAGCCGGACGCTCAGACTCAGGCCTCAGGCTCGGCGGGCTGGCTGCGGCCTTTGCGTCAACTGCTCCATAACGCAGTCCTGCGTCTGCTGTGATGGAGACTTTTAGTCCCACAATAGGATAGAAATATATACTATTTTTATTTTATATTTCATTCATTTATTTTTGAGACAGGGTCTCACTGTCATCCAGGCTGGAGTGCAGTGGTGTGACATCACTCAAGTGATTCTCCTGCCTCAGCCTCCCTCCCGAGTAGCTGGGACTACAGGCACACACCACCACACCTGACTAATTTTTTGCGTTTTTAGTAGAAATGGGGTTTCACTATGTTGGCCAGGCTGGTCTCAAATTCCTGACCTCAAATGATCCACCTGCCTTGGCCTCCCAAAGTGCTGGGATTACAGGCGTGAGCCACTGCGCCCAGCTTAAATATATACTATTTTTTAAAAATAGTAAAATGAATAGCAGTGTACCTCCCACCTAGCTTAAAAAATAGAGTATTCCCTCTGCCTTTAAACTCAGTCCTCTGCTGCCCAAGTGCGTCCCCTTTCCTTCCCATAAACAGACCCTGAATTGTGTGATTCTGTGGAAAGCAGCCCCTTAGCTTTTCTTTATGGGGGTCCCACATAGGAGCATATTCCTAAAAGGTTATTGTTGAGTTGTTTTTGACCTTTATATAATGAAATTGTAGTGCATATCTGTCCCTGTGACATGCTTCTGCCACTCAGTTTTATGGTTGTGATACCATGCCAGTAAGTGTAATAATAGTTCATTTCTTTTCACTAGTCTCTGATCTAAATTAATATAACTATCTTTTCCACTTTGAAGGACATCACAGTTTCCAGTTTGTGGTTTCTCTAAAGTGCTGCTGTGAACATTCATTGCTGTTCACGTCTCCTGGTGCCCATATCTGCAAACATTTCTCAAAAGCAGTGGTTCTCACACTTGGATGTACATCAGAGTCACCTGAAAGGTTTGCTGAAACCCAGGTTCCTGGGCCCCAGCCCTAGAGTTTCTGGCTCAGTAGGTCTAGTGGCTGGAGATTGGCATTTCTAACAAGTTCCGGAGATACTGATGCTGCTGGTCGAAGGACCATCCCAGGAGCAGAATTATTGCATTGTAGGGTATGTATTTGTTCAGCCTTATTAGGTAATGCCAAATTGTTTTCCAAAGTTGCACCAATTTGCAGTCTTGCCAGCTATGAATAAGAGCTCCTGTTGCTCAGAATCCTGGTCAACATTTGAATATTGTCTAACTTCAAAATGGGTATCCATCTGGTGTGTGTGAAATGGCATCTTGTGATTTTGATTTGCATTTTTCAAATTACTAATGAGGTTGAACAACTGATCCTGGGTTTAGCTCATTCCTCTTTCCTCTTCTGTGACAGACTTGTTCCTATCTGTGTGTGTGTGTGTGTGTGTGTGTGTGTGTGTGTGTGTGTGAGAGAGAGAGAGAGAGAGAGAGAGATTTTGCTATCAAGTTTTTATTCTTACTGATTCAAGGGAGGGACTATGAAGTCTGTTCTGTGCACTACTCCATGTTGGTTGTCTATGTGCAGATTTCTTACCCTAGTGTGTAGCTTGTCTTTTCTCATTCTGTATTTTCTTTGTTATTAATGGAGTCAAATGTATCCATCTTTTCTTTTGTGGTTCATATTATGTGTTTCCTTTAGGATTCATATGCTTTTGTATTTATTTAAGAAGACCTCCCTACTCTGGAATTTTAAAGCTACATTCCCACATAATATTCTAAATGTTTTATGTATTTGTGTTTTACAGAACAGAACAATCTACCAGAAATTGATTTTTGAGTAGGGAGTGATAAAGGATCCAATTTTATATTTCCTCTTGGGATACAAGGATAACCTCTTGTCCAAGCACTATTTATTGACGAGTCCATCTTTTCCCACTGATCTGCTTTCCCATCTCTATCAGAACTCAAGTTTCCTTATATGGGCAGGTCAGCTTCTGCACTCTCTATCTGTTCTACTGAACTACTTTAAGTCAGTGCCATGTTCCTTTTATTTTTTTTAACTTTTTTTTTTGAGACAGGGTCTACCTCTGTCACCCAGGCTGGAGCACGGTACAATCTCAGCTCACTGCAACTTCAGCCTCCCAAGTAGCTGGGACTGCAGGCACATGCCACCAAGCCTAGCTAATGTTTACTTTTTTTTTTTTTTTTCGAGACAGGGCCTCACTTTGTCACCCCGGCTGGAGTGCAGTGGCGCAGTCACGTCTCACTGAGCCTTGACCTCCGGGGCTCAGCCTCCTGAGTAGCTGGGACTAAAAGGATGCTTTACCACATTCAGCTAATTTTGTATTTTTTGTAGAGACAGGGTTTTGCCATGTTGACCAGCCTGGACTCACACTTCTGGGCTCAAGCAATCCACCTGCTTCAGCCTCCCAAAGTTCTAGGGTTTCAGGCATGAGCCATTTTTACTACTTTCTTTTTATAAACATGGAGCCTTGCTATGTTGCTCAGGCTGGTCTTGAACTCCTGGGCTCAAGTGAATTCTCCCACCTCAGCCTTCCAAAGTGCTGGGATTATAGGTGTAAGCCACCATGTGCAGCCTTAACTTTTGCTTTTAAATGACCATAATTGTACATATTTATAGGTAGAGTGTAATGCTTTCATACAAGTATACATTGTGTAATAATCAAATTATTACACAATGTAATTTGTATATCCATCACTTCAAACACTTGTCATTTCTTTGTGGTAAGAACATTCAAAATCTTCTCTTCTAGCTATTTTGAAATAAACAATTCAGTATTGTTAACTATAGTCATCCTACTGTGCAATAAAACATTAGAACTTATTTCTCCTATTTAACTGTGTACCCATTAACTTCCTCCCATTTCCCCCGACCCCACCCCCTCCCCAGCGTTTGGTAACCACTATTCTACTCTCTACTTCTATGAGAGCAACTTCTTCAGACACCTCATGTGAGTGAGAACATGCAGCATTTGTTCTTCTGTGCCTGGCTTATTCACTTAACATTACATCCTCTCTGTTCATCCATGTTGTCGCAAATCACAGAATTTCACTCTTTTTTAATCACTGAATAGTATTCCACTGTGTATGTGCACCACATTTTTTGTTTGTTTGAGACAGAATCTCGCTCTGTCACGCAGGCTGGGGTGCTGTGGTGCAGTCTCAGCTCACTGCAACCTCTCTCCCCGGGTTCAAGGGATTCTTATACCTAAGCCTCCCGAGTACCTGGAATTACAGGCATGTGCCACCATGCTGAGCTAATTTTTATATTTTTAGTAGAGGTGAGGTTTCACTATCTTGGCCGAGATGGTCTCGAACTCCTGGCCTCAAGTGATCCACCCACCTTGCCCTCTGAAAATGCTATTATAGGCATGGGCAACTGCGCTGGGCCATGCATCACATTTTTGTAATTCATCCATCTGCTGATGGACACTTTGGTTGATTCCACATTTGGCTATTGTGAACAGTGCTGCAATAAACGTGGGAGTGCAGATATTTCTTTGATATGCTGATTTCCTTTCCTTTGGATAGACACCCTGTAGTGGGATTGTGGATCATAGGGTAGTATCATAACCTTTTATAGTACAGCATTACAATAAGTCTTACTGTTTTATAGAGCAATAGCCACGACCTTATTATTCTTCAGGAATCACTTGGTTGTTCATGGCCTTTTACACTTCCATATACAATTCAGATTCAACTATTCTAATTCCACCAAAATATTTCAGGCATTTTGTTTGGAATTATATGTCATTGTGGGAAGAATGGACATCTTTGTGGGACCTTATCTTTCTGTACAAGAACAATGGTATGTTACCAAAATAATGTAACAATAGCAATATTGACATTCTCGTGTCTTTAATTCTTTTTCAATAAAGTCTCATGATTTTGTCTCTGGGAACCTTGCATATCTTTTGCCAAATTTATCAGTATCTCTCTACCACGTCTGATAGAGTTCAAATGCGAAAACCTAGAATTCAAATTTGAGAACCTCTTAATTGAAAATGTATCCACTAAATCAGCCATGTTGCCAAGTTCTATCCTGAGAAGTGACCCCACACAGCTTTTGTTTTGCTTTTGTCTTTTCTCTCCATCAGAGCACACAAAAGAAAGGAAAAGTTGTGGGTAGCAGGGGGATGGGCCACTCGTAATTTCCACTTAAGACAGATTTTATTTAACTGTGAGAAAATTATCTGCTCTAAGAGCATATACAATTTGGATTATTTGCAGAGGTCTCAGATGGAATCTTCAGTGATGAGGCCACGTCTGTCCTGGCTCGATCAAGGATTTCTGGTTGCGTTGCTTCCATTATGACTCAGGTAGGTCCTTGCTGGGCTCCTGCCAGCAGCTTCCACATGCCTGGAGTGGGCCAGCTTTTCCTGCAGGTTTGTTTCTATGCCAGCTCCTGAGAGCAGCTGTCTACCAGGACATACCTGGAGAGCTGATAAACACACTAAAGAAACATGTCTGGCTCCCCAGCCAGATGGCAAGGCCTAAAAGCCCTGACCATTTTGGACAGGTTTGCTTTACTGATGGGACAGCATTAACCCTGCTAACATCTGTGTTGGGGAAGCCTTCCTACCATGTCCCTCAGTGGCAGGGAGGGAGCCTACACGCTTATTCTAGGCAATTTGCTCCCCTGGACCCCCAATGGGGATTTCTGCGTCCTACTTGAGTCCCTAAGAGGACAGGCCATTGCTGGCGTTTTTTTCCCCAAAGTAACAACAGGAGTCAAGAAAATCAATGAATAGTATTCCTAGGCCCTGGAATCCACTGCTGACAGTGGGAAGCCCTGTGCAAAGACAGCCACCTGCCACAGGGACAGGGCAGGATAGCGCACGTCTCAACGCAGCCTCAGTGGCAACGGAAGCCCTTGGATGGGACTCAGCCACAGCCTTAGAGATGGCTGGGCCTCCCATCGTTGCACTCCCTTAATGACGTTGTAACTTCAATCCAAGAATAGTTGAGGACATTTGGGAAATTCACACTCTAAAAATACTTCCTTTTTTCATATAGGCAAGGTAACAGCAGAGTGACAGTGGGTTACTAAGAATGCAGTTTCCTTTGTTATGTAACACAGGCAAAAATAGTGTTTTGGGCCAAAATAGGGCTGAGAAAGAGGAATATGTACAAATAGCATGGACAAGTCATTATTTACTCAAATCGTCCTGTGGCTGCAGGGATTTGGAAGAGTTTTGAGTGTGTCCCATCACTGATTACCCAGGTCAGACTGTCCGACCACAGCCGAGGCCACCTTTCCAAAGCAAAGTTTAAGAGAAGCAAAGGTGTCTGTAGAGGAAGAGGTTTAAGGCAAGGCCCTGGCCCCGCACACAGGCAGACCTGGTGACTCCTGGATGAGGGATGGGGACCGCCTCCTGGGACACCACCCATTTTTGGGGCACATTTTGAAGAGTAGGGGCCATTCCAGAGCACGAGTCACCAGCATTCCTGCCATGGGGCTTATGTGGGGGCTGGTGGTGGGGCCCCAACCCTGAGGGGGCCTTACCCTCTCTAGATGGAGTCTCAAGCTGGGGTCTTCTCGTTCAGCTGCTTCCTTGACTGCTAAGCTAAGGCCAAGAACGCTCCCTGCAGGAGGGGCAACTGTTCACTTTGGAGGGATCTATCCATGACCACCTGTCAGATATCAGAAACTACCAGGGAAACAGCTAGCAGAGAAGTTGTGCTTGTAGTTTGAGCTTGTGTTTCAAGAGCCAAGTCCCACTTTTGAGAGCCAGAGAAATGCCAGCAGCAGAGTCCTTGGGCTTCCAGGAGCTAATATTCTCAAGTGTAGGCTCATGACGCCCAATGGGTGAAAGTTACAGGCCAGAGGATTTAAACACAAGAGTGGGGTGTCTTGCCAAAGAGGTATAGAGGCATCAAGGCATCCGTCTACCCATCCATCGATCCACACAGCCCTATCTGTTACAGTGTGCTCAGAAGAAAGGAGTTGGGAGTAGGGGGCCAGGACAGTGGACAGGGCCACCTGTTGGACTGAGGCAAACTGGAGGCTGCTTCATGCTTCCATCCCTCCATATCCTGTCCACCAATGCCTGGCAAGGAGCAGTGCAAGAAACCCAAACCCCACCTGGCTTGGGGCAAGTTTTAAGTGCACCCACCCTGCTACCAAAGTGCTAAAAGGGGAGCTGACCTTCCCAGACTTCCCTCAAGGCAACCCTTTATGCTTCAGTATAACCATTTTTACTTTGGATTGAAGTGGAAATTTTAGGCCTAAAAATAAGATTACCAAGCAGAGACCATCTAGCAACACAGACATAATACATGTTGATCTCCATGTAACTAGAAATGCGGTGATGTTATTCTCATACTGGGGGCTACACCTCCCCATAGATTATTTTAACTAAAATACAAGCAAAATAGTGTTTTAAAATAATCCTCTACTCACTGCATTAGTGCATATACCAAATGATACTATCTGCATGAGAGTCTCTAGGTTCCCAGACTGTATTTTTGCATGTGCTGTTCTCTGCTTCATTAAATATAGTATGCAGCCAGCAACCACAGAAAAAGAATGCATGCTGTACAGCAAGAGAAGGGGAGGGAGACGATTTTCAGGGTGATGGCTTCCATAGCAACCAAAAGGAAAATAAAGAAGGCAAAGCTCACAAGATAGATATAAAACTAATTTGCAGTGACATTTGATACATAGTTTTATCAGAAGTAATACATTTAGGTTACAGTTACGTGAAAAAGAGAAACTGAAATTATAGGCTTTCTCCTAATATCCAAAATGCTCATCAACAGTTAATTAGTACAAGAAAGATGACCACCAGGTGACTGAATAGACAGATGTCATGTAGTATTTTAAAAACAGACTCTGGTACTAGAAGCTACCACCAAAATATCCAGAAATCTGAGTTAACAGACACTTTATTTTGAACACTTGATGCTGATATATAGAACCATGAAGTGTTTGCACACACCATGAATGCAGCCGCTAGCCTAGAGGCCAGTCACAGAAGAGACTGTGATGAACACTGTTCCGCCAGGGTGAGGACACAGTGTATGATGTGTTTGTGTTCCCCCCCATGTACAAAGGCCATCTCTAGGGCAGAAATCTCTCAACGGCTCAAGCCCATTCTCTCTGCCCACTCCATGAAACAACACAGCTCCAGCTTGGTGCTGGGAAGTCTTTCTGATGCTGGTTTGATTCCTGATCACCCAACTGGGCAGGGCCCTCTCCAAGACCTCTCGGGTTCTCCCTGGCACACCTTCCCTCCCACAGGAGGAGGGAGCACTGTCTCAGAAGCCACCAACAAGTAATGCTAGAAGAATCAGAAGAAGGAGGTATCTGATGAAAAGGCACCTGCAAGTCTAAATTCCTCTTTGGTGAGAACACTGTACATCCGCTGAGGCAGTGCTTTGGAGTAGGGAGCAGGACGCGGCACAGTGGTACGCAAAATGAATTCCCGGCCCGCAGGGGGTGGGAAGTCTGACACGGAGTTCTGCCTTCTTTCCTCTGCAGAGCCAATTCTCTTGAATTCCTCCTCTGGTGGAGCCATGGCTGCAGCCTGGCAAAGAATCAAATGATAAAGTCAAAAGCAGGTAAAATGCTAAACTCAGATGCTTTTGAAGGACAGATGAATTAACATGATAAATAAATGAAAATGTCCTATGTTACTCAGTAATGCAGTCAGCTGTATTTAAGATTACTCAAAAACCACATCACACAGCAAATGCAAGAAGCTTGAAATGGCATGAGCAGCTGGGCTGGAGACGGAGACAGGAGGGATGTGACTGCCAGGCAATCTGCTCTGAAGAGAGAAGGCCATATTCAGACATCTGATGAAAAAGGCCCATGGAGCTGTGCTGCTTTCTGTGTTTCTTCCAACAACGACTCAAGTCTATGTCTGATAGCCCCAGCCCAGTAAGGAGCTGTTTTCCTCCACAGTGAAAAGATGATTTTCATCTTCACTCTAGGTAAGAATCTTTAATCAATTATTTTTAAGGTTCACTTGCCAAATTAAAAGAGGGGGCAGTAGTCTTGCTTTCTGGGCAGCTAATGTGATGCTGAAGTGACAGAGGCCCACACAGCAATGACCACAGAAGAGAAGTTCTCAGTATCAAAGGCATCTATTTTTTAATTGAAATGACATAAAATGCATATTCACTTACAGCCTAAAATTTTAATTCTGATTACTGTACTTTTTTCATAATACCATCAATTTGGAAAAAAATAATTGTGTTGGGAACGGAAACATGAAATCATGTTGCACTAAACATCAGCAAGTGAGGTAAGCCAAATCCAGACTGTGAGGGAGGTGGTTAGTGTTCATGACCTTATGAAGTTAGAGGGATGGGAAGGAACAAGGAACTAGGAGGGGCAAAGGCTATTTTGTTACCTCATCAGAAGATTCAGTCAGCTTGAGAAAGGGTGAGAAAAGAAACAGTGATGAAAGGGAAACAAGCAAGATGGTTTAAATAGGGCTAGACAAGGGAGTTCAGGATTATTTCTCAGACAGCATGCACTACATTAAGGAACATGATCCTATCAAAATAATATTCAACACGTCACACAACACACAGCACACCTTGCTGTCAACTACAGCAGACATCTACTCATGCATCTATGGCTCAACAGGTGACATATGGTGTCATTTAATGGAGAAATGACCAACAGAAACCTAGCTCTTCTACTGGGAATTATGATGGTTAAAAAAAAAAGTGTTCATGGCTTGAGAAATAGATATTCCAGGGAATTTAGGAATAGGTCCCTAAGAGTTATTCAATCTAGCAAGTCTGAAGCAAAATCCAGTCATTTATTTGCTGAATTCCATTTAAGTATGTATATACCATAGATACCTATAACCATAAGGCTTATTACTATTTATAATTTTAAGGAAAAGTTATAAATATATCAAATTACTATAAGCTATAAAAACAAGTGAAATTGCATCACAACTTTCAAATAAAAAGTGTTAAAATCTTGAATCTTGACTAGTAAAATTGATACAAAGTATCAGCTAATAGAAAGGCATATGAATAAACCCTTAACAGTTTACTTCAGCCAGACATTTAAGAACTAAGTTTAAAAATGTACCAACCAGATGCTTGTTATATGGATTACATATAACAACGTTCACTACAGACATTCACTACAAGGTCTGAAAACTTGAAATTTTTTCTTAAATGACATAATATAGATGAATGCACGATTTCAGTATTCATTAAGGGGATTACCTATACAATGAAGCCACTGAAAGATGATATACTATGCTCCTGTATTTAGCAATTTTGAAAGATATCTTAAATATATTAAGTAGGAAATAAGAATAACAAAGTAATTACATAATATAACCCTATTTTTAGAATTATATACACATATGCATATACTAGATGTTAACTCATCAACAGGTAGTGAGATCATGTGATTAATATTTTCTTGTAATTTTCTAGGCCAGGTGCAGTGGCTCACACACACCTATAATCTCAGCACTTTGGGAGGCCAAGGAGGGAGGATTTGATTGAAACCAGGAGTTCTAGATCAGCCTGGGAAACAAAGTGAGACCCCATCTCTACAAAAAATACAAAAATCAGCTGGGCGTGGTGGTGCATTCCTGTGGTTCCAGATTCTTGGGAGGTTGAAGCGAGAGGATTGCTTAAACCTAGGAGTTCAAGGCTGCAGTGAGCTATGATCGTGCCACTGCACTCCAGCCTGGACAACAGAGTGAGACCCATTCCTTAGAAAATGAATAAATAAATATAAAATTTCCCATATGTCAAAGTTTTACTTGCAGTCAGTAGAGGGGGTAAGAGGATTATTTCTATTTTGGGGAAAATAATTTTGCTTTGTTGTCTAAAACAACAATCTCAGGACTTAAAATATAAATACTTCAGATTTTAAATCCTCGTAACATATAACTTTTTTTTTTTTTTTGAGATGGAGATTCACCCTTGTCACCTAGGGTGGAGTGCAGTGGCATGATCTCGGCTCACTGCAACCTCCACCTCCCAGGTTCAAGTCATTCTTCTGCCTCAGCCTCCCCAGTAGCTGGGATTGCAGGTGCTCACCACCAGGCCTGGCTAATTTTTGTGTTTTTAGTAGAGATGGGGTTCCACCATGTTAGCGAGGCTGGTCTCGAACTCCTGACCTGAGACGATCCACCTACCTTGGCCTCTCAAAGTGCTGAGATTACAGGTGTGAGGAACCACAACCCGCCAACATGTCCCTTTTTAAAAACGATCAAAGAGGAAAGACTTTTTTGCAATATGAGGAACATTCATGTTGGTGGCTAAGAAAAAAATGTGCTTGTAAACTTCTGGGTAGTGAACTGGGTAGATATCATCAGATGTGGAACCAAACTCGGTTCTTGTTTTCATGCCAGAGACAAAAACAAAATAAATCAAAGCAAGCGTCTATTGTTTGCTAGAAGACTAATTTATAAATAAATAAATATTTGGTTATGAATTTGAAATTCTAAAGTTTAGAGAGCTGCCCCATAAACAAACTAAGATTTTAGCTCTTGCTAAGAACTCCTACCAGTATATTTGGCTATGAACTGGAATATATTAACTAGTTGTACTCCAGACCAACTCTACAGGGATTATCCAGTTGTTATTCCATGTGTAGACCCATAGAAATTACTTTAATTCTGAAAATTACACTCTCAAAACGGGGTCATTCTAGTGTAATCACAGTGCCATAAAAGGGGAAGCAGGTAATTAGTGCACATCATAATACCTTTATCAGAATCACTAATATTAATGAGCCCTGAATTGATCATTATCTGTGAGATGTCAGAGCCCTTAGCCAGTAACCAAGATACTACATAATATTTTTCTTGAGATGGAGTCTTATTCTCTCGCCCAGGATGGAGTGCAGTGGCGCGATCTCCGCTCACTTGTAACCTCCACCTCCTGGGTTCAAGCGATTCTCCTGCCTCAGCCTCCCAAGTGGCTGGGATTACAGGTGCATGCCACCATGCCTGGCTAATATTTTGTATTTTTAGTAGAGACAGGGTTTCACCATGTTTGCCAGGCTGGTCTTGAACTCCTGACATTGTGATCCACCTGCCTTGGCCTCACAAAGTGTCAGGATTACAGGCATAAGCCACTGCACCCAGCCGATAATATATAATTTTAAAACGTTTACTTTCACTACTACAGGTAATGATTATGGTAATTTTTCAGGCTGGGCTTTCTTTCTGTGCAGAAATCTGTTTCCGTAGCCCTAAAAATCTGAAATTTTCCTCTTTTCTAGGAAACCTCAAAGGTAGATATCTTCACCATTACAAGAACAGTTATATTTATAATTCAAGCTGAGTTGTGAATCCACTTTGCACTACTTGGGCTTTAAAGATGGTAAAACTGAACTCCATTCTAATTTGAAAGTACCTGTAAATAAACATTTTTTCCTACAGCACACACAGCACTGGTCATTGCTAATTGTGTCCCTACCAGCTTCTATAACAATGGATTTTGGACTCTTCTAATTTTTAAAATGTAGGTCCTAGAATACACTTATCATTTTAATTCAACATGTAGGAAAACAAATGGATTTCGAGGCTCAGAAGTTCAGTGTTCAAACCCAATGCCCAGACTTACACTTGGGTGACATCACTGTGATCAGCCACATGTGGGAACTAAACAGCCTCTTCCAGAGCAGAGGTCTGGAGAGATCATGATAGAGTCAGCAATGGTTCTCACATACCCTCTGAGCACTCACAAACAGCTTGTGAATGATCCTGCCAGCATGTCCTCTTCCTGCACCGGTGACCAACACTTCAGGCTGCTCCAGCAGGCAACTGACAAACCTAGGAGAGACAGACAGCCAATGAAAGGGTGGAAATGAGCTGTCCAGGCCACTTTGCATCCATCCATCCTCCCACAGGAGTTTTGTGGACAAATCCTCCAGCTCATACTGGCTAGACCCACCAAGGTTGGAGTGAAATTTTACAGCAAGATAGACTGACATTTGGAATTAATATCCACTCAATTGAAAATCTTCCTGGTTTTTCACCTGTGTTCATAAAAATTTTTTCAAGCCTATCTCTGTCAAAGTGTAAGAAAAAATATTCAGTCTAATTTTTTAGACTAGAAGCTTAGAAAATGCTACAGTTAATAAAAGATGAAAAGAAATTTGGATAACATAAACTAAGTTATATTTATCCAATAAAAGCAATGATCCATATTTTTTTTAAGGGGGGTGTGTGTGTGTGTGTGTGCACATATGCTTAAAATACTTGCTGTTGGGCCAAGTTGCAGTTATAAACTGTGTCATTAGATGCTGGAAACACTGAACTTCCAAGTATGTCACAGATAACGTATGGTGGAGCTAACAGAGTTGAAGGCACAAAGCCACCAAGCCTGTACCACCTGCTCACTAATTCATACTGCTGTTTTAGAAATGAGTCCCTTGATTAGAGCTTATTCTTCTCATTTAAAAGGAAGAAATTTTCAAGAGCCAAGTAGGGAGAAAATTTCACTCAACTAAAGACATAAAATGCAAACATGAACTTGATATGAATATGATAGCAAATGCCCTGTCATATAATATTAATTCTTTAGCATCAGTAATGCCATTTCCTACGGAAAGGGCAATGAAAATGTTTAAATGATGACAAATTTAAGCCACTGAACAAGCTAATTTGGAAACCCTTTATCATACATTAAAACAATATTGCAGCCAGGCGCAGTGGCTCACATCTGTAATCCCAGCATGTTGAAAGGCTGAGGCAGGCGGATTACAAGGTCAAGAGATCGAGACCATCCTGGCCAACATGGTGAAACCCCATCTCTACTAAAATACAAAAATTAGCTGGGCGTGGTGGCGCATGCCTGTAGTCCCAGATACTTGGGAGGCTGAGGCGGGAGAACTGCTTGAACCCAGGGAGCGGAGGTTGCAGTGAGCGAGATCACACCACTGCACTCCAGCCTGGTGCCTGGCAACAAAGCGAGACTGTCTCAAAAAAAAAAAAAAAAACCCACATAAACCAATATTGCTCTTTCAAGTAACATGAGCAAAAAATGAATAGGGCCTCACACTGATCTAATCTCCACTAGTAATGGTGTTGAGTTTCATAAATAGAAAAGACTGCCCTGATCATTTGCCTCATCTGAGAAAAGCCATCTGGTCCCTCTTTCAAAACGTAACTGCAAGGTGCATAGGAGGTGTACCTTTACTATCACAAATTTTGTTTAAAATAAACAACTAGGAACAGTAAGCGGAGATGGTTTCAGCACCTCCACACTGTGGTCAAGGAACAGTAACAGCTGAAAACAAAGTTTTGGGGCAGGGTGAGCAACACGGTTAACAGCTCCTCCACAAGAAATTTCAGACTCCAAGAGCAAACCAAGGAATCCCTAGAAAAAGAGGCTCTGGGAGACTGTTTCTAAAAGTGGGAAAAACAGAAACAGCTGGCAGAGACTCAGAAATACAGGAGAAGCCAAATGCTATGATAATTAAGCATTTCTGTCTCTAGACAATGCTTGTTTGAAATAATATATGAGTACCACAAAAGAGTCTCAATATCCTACTACAATTTTTCTTAAGAGAGTGGTGGCTTTTCCTACTGTGGACAAAATTGAATTAGCCAAACAGCAATTACCTTTCAAGATCTTCCTTTTCCTCCTCCTGTTCACATTTCTCAGTTCCAAACTTGGCTTTTAGTGACCGAGCTCTTGCAATGAGAGCTTCCACATTAGTAATCTGGTGAATGATTTCCTGGTGGTGGAAAAGGAAGAGGCATACGTTGGGAGATGGCAAAAAAGCAAAGCCTTTTAAAAATGCATCTTAAAAATAATTTGTGCCAACTGAGGAGAACACTGGGCAAGATTCTGACACTACATCAAACTTACTTCCAACTTCTTGTCTTCTGGATTGGGGAAGTGCAAAACTTTACTGGAATGGGATATTATCTGCTTTATGATCTTCTTAACTGAAGAAATGTCTTCCAGACTTTCTATTTTTAAAAGATTAAAGCCATCATTAAATAAATTAAGCAAAATATACTTCCACTTTGGAAATGAACTAATGATCAGTTAAATATGACATTTACCTTCTTCCTTTACCTTGAGTACAGCTGCATGAATCACACAAGGTAACAGGTGTCGAGCAAGGTCTGCAGGTTTCTGGATTGCCAGATAGTGAAGCACCTGAAGGAGGCATAGTGTACACATATGATCAGCGCAGGTGTCAAAGGATGACAGCCTCTTACAGAAGTACAAATCCTCAGCCACTTATCTTACATCTTAGCAAGACAGCACTCCCCACTGCAGGTAGACAGCCACGACCCCAAAGGTGAAGATGATGTCACTGAAAGCACCTAAGAACTTCAATCTTTAATAATGCTAAATATTCTCATATTTTTTTTTCCGGCTTCCATATGTAATACATGCAAATAAGGAAAATACAAAGAAAATAAAAACCACCGATAAACTACAATGCCTAGAGATAACAATCATGAACCGTGGAATGTTTTCATTTTAAGACACATATTAAGGATACTAATATTAAATATGTAAAATACTGCTTTTTAACCTGCTTTTCTCCATTAGTATTTCTAAACATTCTGACTTTTCATACATTTTTAAATTTTTTTTCCAATTCTTATTATAAGAATACAGAGAAATATGTACAAAACATGGACCCTACCTTTAGGCTCTTTATTCAACAGTAGTAAAGATAAAAGAAGTATAAACCCTATAAATATATAAAGTTTTTTGATATCAATAAACAAAATTTTAAGAAGTATAATCTCATATGAGTCTGACTAATAAATGCTCATGGATTTCAAAATTTAAAAAAACACAGGTGATGCAGAAATTTTCCTGCAATCCTCCCTCACCAAAACACATTTTCATGTTTATCCTCTCAAACTACTTATAATGACTTGTGGTGGACTTTTTTTTTTTTTTTGGCTTGGAGAGTTTTGTCTGATTTGAAACTTTTTTTAAATGAAGAATATACTATACATACCAGAGTATTAGAAATTTTAAAGAAAACACTAGCTTAGGAAATAAGAGTGTTACCGGGCCTTTCCAAGTCCTCCTGTGTACCCTCCATCCCCAGAATTAACTACAAATCATTCTTTTGCTTTTCTTTATAGTTTTTTCATATATGTAGCCTTAAATAATATGTTCACTTTTTCTAGTTTTAACCTTTATATAAATGGAATGTTTCTGTTTATACCCCTCAGTGACTTGCTTTTTTTCATTCAGTACTGTTTTTGAGATTCCTGTACCATTCCAACATGCTATAGTTTACGCTTTTTCACTGCTGTGTTAAAATGTTCGTACACTAATAGTGGATAGATAGCTCCTCAGTTTTTGGCTATTACAAGTAATGCTCCTATTACATTGTTGCACATATTTCCTGGTGCAAATGGCACTTGTACAACAATTACTTTAGGATATATACCTAAAAACCGAACTAGGAAATGTACAAGGTAATTATCTACAAAGTGTTTCAACAGATTTACATTCTTATCTAGAGTAATGAATTCCCTCTGTTGTACATCCTTGCTAACACCCACCTTTCTGAATTTTGTTTTCCTTAACTCAGAGAAAAAAACAAATTTGCAGGAATAACATTAAATATGTTATTACCCTTTACCTGGATTCTCATATGAACTGTCTCCCTCTGTTCTGGATCCCTTGCATCTCCCTGTGCTCTTGTGTATGTACACACTAGACATAAACTTGTTTCTGAATAATTTCAGAATAAGTTGCATACTCATGGTCTTATCCCAAAATATGTGTATTTCCTAAAATTAAAAATATTTTATTATGTAATCAAAATGCAAATGATTCTCATTATATACAATAAATTTAACACTGATAAAATAACTGTAATCTAACCTACTATCCTTATTGCAGTTTTGTCAACTGACCCATATGTCTTTTATTTTATTTTATTTTTTTTGAGACAGTGTCTTTCTCTGTCACCCAGGCTGGAGTGCAGTGGCACGATCTCAGTTCCCTGCAACTTTCGCCTCCCAGGCTCCAGCAATTCTTCTGCTTCAGCCTCCCAAGTAGCTAAAACTATAGGCACACGCCACTGCTGCCCAGCTGATTTTTGTATTTTTAGTAAAGATGGGGTTTCACCATGTTGACCAGGCTGGTCTTGAATTCCTGACCTCAGGTAATCCACCTGCTTCAGCCTCCCAAAGTGCTGGGATTACAAGCATAAGCCACTGTGCCCAGCCGCATAATGTCTTTTATGACCCTTTCCCTCCACCACTACAAGTCTAGGTAAGGATCATCTAATGCCTTTAGTTGTCATAGCTCTTCAATCTCAACTAATGTGGAACAGCTTTCACTCTGTCTTTTTATAACACTGACATTTTGAATATAGTCTCCTCTTCCTCCCTACTTTTTGGCTAACTAAATTCCATACTGTATTCGGATTTCTTTAGTTTCTAAAAATTGAGCTATAACTCACATACCATAAAATTCACCACTTTAAAATAGATAACTTCAGCGGTTTTAGCATATTTGCAGGATTATGTTGCCATCACCATTACCTAATTCCAGACCATTTTCTTTCATTTACCCCAAAAGAAATCCAGTACTCCAAAGCAGCCACTCCTGATTTCCCCCATTCTCAGTCCCCATCGCTGGAAACTACTAATCTAACTTGCTGTCTCTATCGACTTGCCTGTTCTGAACCTTTTATATAAATGGAACGATGCAATATGTGAACCTTTGTTTCTGGCTACTTTCACTTCGCATAATATTTACAAGGTTCATCCATGTAATGTACCAGTTGTAACACGTACCAGTGCTTCCTTCCTTTTTATGGCTGATACTCCATTGCATGGACAGATTATATTGGCCTATCCATTTATCACTGATAGACATTTGGGTTTGTGCGATTTTTTGGCTATCATGAATAATGCTGTCAACATGTATGTACGTAGTTTCTTTAGTTGTTATCTAATGTCATTTTCCTGTTCCAGGATCCACTTCAAGATATTACAATACGTTTAGCTGTCATGTTTCTGAGCTCCTCTTGGCTGTGACAGTTCTCAGACTTTCCTTGCTTTTACTGACCTTGACCGTTTTCAATTCTAGTCAAGTATTTCATAAAAACTCCCTCAATTATGGTTTATCTAATGTTTTTCTCATGATTAAACTGGGTTCAGGAAGGAAGATCAGAGAGGTAAAGTGCCACCGTCATCACATCATGTCAAGATATATACTGGCAATATGACTTAGCCTGTGGATGTCACCCTTCATCACCTGGCTGAGAGAGTGTCAGTCAGGTTGCTGCATTGTAACGTTACTCTTTTTCCCTCCTTGTGCACCACACTCTTTGGAAGGAAGTCACTATGTGTAGCACACACTTAGGGAGTGGGAATTAGCTTCACCCTCCTTGAGGGTGGAGTCTCTACATACATTTAGAATTCTGCACAGGAGATTTGTCTCTTCTATCCCATTAACTTATATATTCAATCATTTATATCAGTATGAACTCAAGGATATTTATTTTGTACTCTGAGTTACAATCCAACATTATTTTAATTTGTTGTTCAAATTGTTCCAGTGTTGGCCAGTTGGGAACTCTTTTGGTTGGCTCCTGTGTCTTTAATATGCCCCTAAAATTATGTGGATTTTCTTTTTTCAAACTCTTTTTAAAATAGAATGTTCCTCATTTTAGGTTCATCTAATATTCCCTCACAATTAGGCTCAGATTTTGCATTCCTGGACCAAAGAGCATATAAGAGTGGTGTTGGGTTCATCAGAGTATCACAGCCCAATGTGCACGATCTCCATTTATTCCTCATTGGTGACGTTAATTTTGATCATCCTATGGAGACACTGTCCTATTTCTCTACTTGCCTTGCAACGCAGAGCATTCTGTAGAGAAACACTTAAAAACCATGCAAGATGATGCTCTTCAAACTTCCACCTAGACTTAGTATCTATTCGTGATTCTTGCTGAATCAGTCTACTATGAACATGGTTGCAAAATGAAGACTTCCAACATATCCACTACATTTACCAATCATCTTTGTTCTGTAGGAAATGACCTCTCCCCACCTAGTTCTTTGTTTATCCATAATTATCAATATGGTTCCAAGAATTCCTATTTATTCCAATTTCTGTCCTTAACTATTTAAAACTCAAATTGTCCCAGATTTGGCCAATGTTGAGTCCCTTCAAGTTAGCTCTCTATGAAATGACCCCATTTCCTTACTGTCTAGCAATCCAGCATGTTCCGGGTTTATCTTATACCTTCCCTGCCTCAACTGTGAAATCAGTCATTTTCTTTTTTTTTTTTTTTTTTTTTGGAAAGCATGGTTACTTTTAGTGAGGAATGTGTTTAAAAAAAAAAAAAGCTATGTGTACTTATTGCTGTGGGGGTGTCACTGCTTCTGGACTCTTTAAGAAAGCTGGGAAATATATGCTTGTATATATACATATACCCAAATACTTACACATGTACATACCCACATAACCTATCCATATTTTAAAAACCTGTAAGTCCATACTAATACCTCCAATTTCAATCAACTGCCACTGGGTTCTTCCTTGCATTCCTTAATTTCATACTTGCATTCTCACTTCCATAGTAAGAAATTCTGGCTTCCAACACCACCAACACATTTAGTTACTCACTTCGCCCAACCAATAATACATCTAAAAGAATTTCAGAATTGCTTTACCCATATAATTACAAAAAAACAAGCCTAGATAATAGATTTCAAGATTTTTTTCCTTTTTTGAGATGGAGTCTCATTCTGTCACCCAGGCTGGAATGGAGTGGCGTGATCGTGGCTCACTGCAACCTCCACCTTCCAGGTTCAAGTGATTCTCCTGCCTCAGCCTCTTGAATAGCTGGGATTACAGATGTGTGCTAAAACCCCTGGCTAATTTTTATATTTTTAGTAGAGATGGGGTTTTACCATGTTGGCCAGGCTGGTCTCAAACTCCTAACCTCGGGTGATCCACTCACCTCCGTCTCCCAAAGTATTGGGTTTACAGGTGTGAGCCACTGCCCTCAGCCTCAAGATCTTTTTTTGCAGTCCCATCTCCCACAACAGAGAGTATACAGTCAAACACATTTGATGTGTCCATAAATCATTTGAATTAGATCTTCCCTCCCTTCACCAATCCCTGTCAGTGTGGTTATGTTATTCATTTGAACTACAGCTGGGTTCATGTGTCTCAACTTGTCTTCAGGTTTAGGTTATTTTTCCTCTTTCCATCCTTATTAATTTATTTTTTGGAATAAGCAAATCATAGGCCAGCACACTGGCTCACACCTGTAATACCAGCACTTTGGCAGGCTGAGGCAGGAGAATTGCTTCAGGCCAGGAGTTTTGAGACCAGCTTGGGCAACACAGTGAGATCTAATCTCTATAACAAATTAAGAAAAATAATTAGTTGGGCATCATGGTGTTCACCTGTACTCCTACCTACCAGGGAAGCTGAGCCAGGAGAATCACTTGAGCCTAGGAGTTTGAGGGCTTTCTGTTGTTCAAGTGTTTTTTTGAGGAGAGTTTTATTTTCTTCATTAAGATTTCAAACATTTTCTGTTAAGCATTTTACCATTCTTCCTCTTATAATGAAAATTATATTTAGATCTCCTAAATGGTTATTAGTGTATATGAATGCTACTGATTACTGTATGTTAACTGTATATCCTACTGCCTTGCTGAATTCATTTATATTAGTTTTAACACTGACTTTTTGAATTTTTCCAAGTATACTGTCATACCACTGCATGCCTCTGCTTTGTCTTGCTAATTACACTAGCTAACACCTGCAGAACAATTTTGATTGGCAGTGGAGATGGAAGGCATCCTTGCTTTGTTCCTGACTTTAGTGACCCCCTATGGCTTCCCCAATTAAGATGCTGTGTTTAGGACTAGTTTCTATATATTGTCTTATTTTAAGGGAGAAGCCATCTATTCCACTTTTTTCCCAAGAGTTTTAAATTAATCAAAGGCGTTTTCAGCATAAATGGAAATAATGATATAATTTTCTGCTTAGACCTATTAATGAAGCAAATTATATCAACAGACTTCTAAATAATCACATTTGATCAACACGTATTATTTTCTTAAAGTGATATTAACGTCAGTTTACTTCAGATTTTGCATTAAATTTCTTAAGTATTACTGGTCTGCTATTCTTAAAACTATGCTATCTTTATCAGATTTAGGTACCAATGCTATAGTTGTTTCACAGAAAGAAGCTGGAAAATTTCCTCCAATTATTGTGTGTTAAAATAATTTATGTAGCATTGGGACTATATGGTTTCTTGATATTTCGTTGAATTTCCCTGGGAAACCATCTGGGCCTGGTTCTTTTTTATGTGGTAGTTCCTTGATAACTGTCTTGTGAAAATTTGTCTGTTTATACTTTCTTTTTTTACTGGGATTAGTTTTGATAGAAATTTTTGGTAGGAATTTCCCTAGGACATTGTCTAATTCAACTTGATTTTCAAATTTATATATACAGAGATGTGCAGAGTAGTATTTTTAATACATTTCCTCTGTATCAGTAGTTATTAAGATGTGACCTTTTTGTCATTTATTATTTTATATATGTGCTTTCCCCTTTTTTCTTGATTAAATTAGCTAATGGCTTCTCTATTTTGCTGATTTTAAAAGAACTAGACTGAACTCACTAATTTCATCTGTTTTTCTGTTCTCCACTTCATTATTGTCTCCTTTTTATTTCCTTCCTTTTGTTTTCTTTTGATTTTACTTTTTTTTTCCCTAGGCTTTTTAGAAATTTAATTCATTTATTTTCATTCTTTTGTTTTTACTGATGTAGGTGTTTAGGGCTAGGAAAGTTCCTTTCATCACTTCTTAAGTATAGCCTATAGGTTCTAATATATAGAGTTTTCATTCTCGTTGTTTTTCAAAAATTCTGTACTTTCAATTTGTATTTTCCCTTTTCACCAAGTATTGTTTAACAGCAAGTTTTTATTCCATTAATTTTCTAACCTAAGTGACTGGTAGGCTCTACCATCTGGGTCTGTGTGAGTACAGTCTATGATGTTTGCATGATGACAAAATTGCCTAACGAGGAGCTTCTCAAAACGTATCCTCTTTGTTAAGCCATAGGGGACTGTATTAGTTCTGTCATAGTGTTCTGATTTTTCTCCTTAAAGGAAACTAATGAATTGAATATTCCTACTTTTCTTATCTTTCATTTATACTACTTTCTCTTCAATTCCTTTTACTCCTATATCTCCTTTTCATTCACTTGGCTGTTTTCCCACTTTCCTTCAATGCCTTTTACAAAATTTACACATAAATCTATTCTCTCTTGGCCCTCTTGTAATTTAGTCTTCATTTTTTACATGGTTGCCTTTTTCTTCTGCTTCTATCCTGAGCTAAATTAGCTGTGGTTTCATTTCTTTGTGGGTTTTGGTCTGTCTCTGTTCTTGATTTTAGTATTTCTGATTAAACATGGTTTTTTTCATATCCTCCTTGCTTGAGGATATCTGATTAAGTTTGAAATGTTATGTTACAATTTTCTTCTGCTTTGTGACTGATTTTCTGGGAAGTATTTTCATTAGCTGAAATGATCTAATTTGCATTTTTTGTTTTGTAAAGCACTCTTAAATGGATGTGGTCTGTTCTCTAATAGTATCACAAATAGCTTCAAAGTTCCCTCTTGTGCAGTTTCTTTAATGGATAGAAGGGGAAGAGGGAGGCTGATTGTCTTGTTTTTCTTTCATTTCTGCAGGATCCTTAATTTTCCCCTCTTATTTCCCATCATTCCTAAGGAATACCACTCCTTCTTTATATATTTGATTTTCTCCAAGGCCCCTTTCCTAGTCCTGTTTACATTCAAACCCCTTCCCTGTGGCAAGTGCTGTGAACTAGTAACCCTACCTGTGTTCAGTATTTTGGCATGTGGTATTAGGCTCAATCTTTCTCAGGTGACTTTGTGCTTCATATAAGTCTTCTGTATCTCTTGGCTCTTTTTCCTTCCTGCCCCTACTCACTATATCTATATGGACTTACAACAACAGGAGCTCCACTGAATTTGGCTTATTTCTCTACTTACTGTTATTGGAAGGGCAGTGTAATTTTTACCTCTTAGTAATGCTGAATGCATGGATTTATTTACTTATTGATTTCATGGGATTTTTTGGGGGGTGGGGGAGGTAGGAAGGTGTGCAGGGCAATTCAATATCAGGCAGGTGTCACTGTTCTCCTTAACTCTAAATGTTTTTTAATAGCTACAAAGCAGGCCACTGAATGGATATACCATAATTTAATGAACCAAGTCCCTATGTTTCTGCTTTTACACTTAAGAACTTTGTTGAACATCATTTATAATACATAGATCTTTGTATATTTCTCATTATATCATTAATAAATGTTTGGCAGTAGAACTGCTAGCTCAAAGGACATCCCCATTTTTAACACTTTTAACATATATTGTGAGACATTCAATGGTAAGCAGTCTGTTTAAACTATGCATGCCTGTTATTTGCCCTATTCCCAAAAAATCTTAAATGTGAAGAGATTTATAAAAAGTTCATTGAATTTCAATGCTTTGCATCTCAAGTGTGTCCAACGCTCTCATGTCTATGATAGTGAGTTTCTAAAATGCAAGAATAATAATTTGCATTCTAGTATTAGAGAACCAAACCTCAATTACCTTTTCTGCTTCCCGTGTATCATCAAAGAGTCTCCTTTGCCTTCTAGCAGGAATTGGCTTAGCTGTTTCCCAGGCTTCTACCCACATATTGCTTGGAATCTTCATCCGGGCGCTCAGTTCTCCTTTCAGAACCACGTTGCCCTTTTCATCAATCACCTCCTCTTCAATATAATCCCGGGGTGAATACCACCTCACAAAATCTTCCAGGAAGCAACCTGGATTAGCTGCCTAAAATAAGACAAAAAATTCAGCAGAATCAAATAAAAATCAACAGTTACTGTTAAGCCTGTTTGCAAAATTATATTTTCAAAAAAAAGCCTATCTAATCTTCACAATTTAATATGTGAAATGAATTTGTGTATCACCTTTAAAACAAGTGAGATGTTAAAGTACCAAAAGCATTTTATTTTTATTTTCTCAGCTTTATCGAGAAAGAAAACATTTTCATTCAAGGAATTTGGATATTAAAAACTCAATGTAAAGTAAAAATCATTTTCTTAAACACATTATATGTTATACAACTAGGTTTAATATTACAGTATAATAACTACTCAATACTAAGAAAAGTAAAAATTAAATAATACACCACATGATCAGAATAACACAGTGATGAAGAAGTTCTGTTCTTCTTTTCCTCAATAATCAATGCTGGTTCTGCAATAAATATCAGCTAACCTCAAGAACATTCTATTCTACCATCAAGTTCTTGTACTTTATATAACAAATTACTATCAAATTAATTGGTTTTGTGCTGTTAAGGAGTTGGAATTCAAACTACTGTTTTTCAGGCTTCTAGAACCAAACTGATTAAAGTTTTAGTAAGTGGATAGTTCTATAGAATAAATGATGATGTATGCCAAAAACCTTTCAGTGATTCTAACTTCAAGCCTGGAAAAAAAGACGAGGCTACCCAGTGTTTGTGGTAAGGCACAGAGGTCTTTCTGCAAGTGTTCCAGTGATGTACTAGTAGAGTCCTAAGGAAAGGCATGAAAACCAACATGATGAGAATGGTGTGTCTGAAATGTGAAGGGTAAAACTACCAGTTTCACCTCACTGGCCTCAAGGGCTACCAGCTTGACCATCCTTACCATCTTAGGATATACCCCTGAGGGCAGATCCCTTAGAAGATCCTCACTGTCTGTCAACAACACAAACTTAAAAGGTTTATGATATGGTCCATGGTAAAAGCAGTGGCTCAAGATTATTTCATGACACTGCGTGACTCAGGATTCATGTACAAAGATCTAGATCTCAATCAGCCAACAGCATACCCACATGAAAATATCTTAGGAAACCAGAGGAGGAGGCCTGAAGTAAAGAGCATAAACTTCAAAAGAAAATAATATTCAACTCATACATTACAAATTATATTAAAGAAAAGCATTTCATGCCCAAATTCTTCCTTCTGGTTGTCCTTACTGTCAGGCTGAACACAGACACCAAGAAAGGCCAAGGCTCACTTGAGCTTATCTTCTTTTTACTATTAAAGGTATGTGCCACAAGGGCATCCTCCAGAATCCACCCTCTCCTTCTGGAACTTTGAGGTGTGCCCAGGCACATATTGGTATGCTTCCAATGCTCTGGGGACTCTCAAGAGCCCCTACTACTAACTCATCCCTATACAAAAAGTAAAGGCAACCATATCTATTTTAGAATAACTACATATTTCCTTAAATGATTTCTACATATGGGCAGATATGATAGATCTTGCCCTGAGATACGAAGTTGGCTATTTAAATTACTATCTATTTTCTGGTAAAACAATGTCATGAAAGATTTGTAGGTGCCCAGGTTAGTTCAGAATAGTCTAATGAGTCACAGTGTTGCCAAAGCGCAATGTTAGAGGAACTATATAGAAACTTACCAAGAGGGACCAGTACATTTCCATGGGGAAAGACTTTCACAGTTCCTATTTAGAATGTCCTCTTGTGCATGCCTCTGCAAAGACACTGCAGCAGGACAGGGACAGATGACTATGAAGGCAGCTAGAGGTCAGATGGAAAATTACTGCTATGGATGCTGGTATTTCCTGCTGTGCACACACACCTTAAGCCAATTCCCTTCTCTACCTTTTGGTTTAACACTTGCCCTGAGAACCAACTGGCTTCCCTTTATCCATTGCACCAACAATTTGTATTAAAACAACTTATCTCTTTCTTGTCACATGGCAGTATAGAACTGGCAGATTTTCTGTATCATTTAAGTCTCCAAGCAAAACACAGCTCTTAAGAGGTTCACTAAAGATTTTTTCATTTAGTAAAGATGGGTAAAATAAGCAGGAAACAAAAGACTCCCTTTTATTGTCACTTAGATCTGTTAGCAAAAAAGGATTAAAGTGGCATAGGTGTTTGTGGAGTATATATGTTTTAAAATAACACACAAATGTTTCAGAGAAAAATAAAACTCACATTGGCCTAAACAGCACAGAAGCAGGACTGCGTAGGGTCTATGGATTAGGAAAGTGGAGGCTATCACAGGTTAATGAGGGAAGTCCGGGGCCAGGAGATGGTTCAGAGTATCAGCAGTAGGAAAGGAAGCTCTGTAGCCCACGGGGCTACCCACTTGAGGGTTTTAAAATATACATGGACTTGCCTTTGCTTTCAAAAATAAAAGTCCCTTTTTCAATCCTGATTTTTAAGCTAATAAGCCAAATATCACCATTTCCTCAATCCTAGATGTTCAAAATACAGACCTATATCCAAGCCTAAAATATTCGTCAGATAGCAAATGCCTACTCATCCGAAATAGTGACTCTTCTCAGAAACCTTTCGTGACCTACTCAGCAGACTGTCTTTTTGACCCTGCCTTCATAAGAGAACTCATGACATTATAATTCCTTACATATCTCCTCCCACAACCTCAATCGACTGTAACTGAGGGTAAACACTGTATTTCTTAACTCATTTAATCACAGTGCAAAGTACACAATAGGCACTCAAAAGTTTATTAAATGAAGTGACCCATGTTAAATCCTAATCATTTCCTAAAAGTCTTCCATTAAATTGGCTGAACACAAAGGAAGAAAGCACCCCAATCCACATATAGAAAAGATTCTATTCTCAACTTTTAACTATTAATAACATTGAATCTTTGCTTTTTTAAAACTTAAGAAACAAGTTTGACCATGTCCTCTGGGGGGATATGGCAGTGTTTAACTACTTATGAAATTCAAACACTTAACAAAAAGGCATTCAGCCCTTTATACCACTTTACAGAGTGACTTTCACAGTTTCATCCCAGAATAGCTCAAAATAGACCCCAGAGCTCTGAAAGTATGACCCACCTTAAAAGACTCCATATCTGAGAGCAGACAGGCACTCTGCATGCGTGCGCGGAGGTGAGCCCCTTCTGCTGATGTACCTAATTTAGCTAAAACCTCAGACTGCTCTTCTAGCAGATCTTCTGTCATAGGTGCTGGTTCCTGTGAAGCACAAAAGGACAAAGCTCACGAACAGCCCTTTTTAGTCAAAGAAGTACTATAAAAATAAAGACAACAATCATTTCAGCTCTAGCAGTCACAAGATGAGTATTTTTAAAAATTCAAAGAAAGGTGTTAAGTTTTTTAGAACTTACATAAAAAAGGTAACAATTTAGGAAAAATAAATCCCACTTTCAGGCCTCCTCCCCCTCACAGATAAGATTATCATGTTTCCCTTGACAAGGATTGATAGTAAAAGACAGAGGAATTTGGGTCCACTGAGCAACATTTTCCTGCCTACTGGTGATATAGAAATGAAGTCCTAATGCTATTATTACATATGTCATCACTAGCCACAATAAAATTTTAATTATAAATAATAGAAATGGTCTGATATAGAAACAACGGGAGGGAACTGCTCCATTGCACTCCAGCCTGGGCGAAAGAGTGAGAGTGTGACCCACAAAATAAAAATAAAAAAAAGAATGACTAGGTTGAGGCTGGGCACGGTAGCTCATGCCCGTAATTTCCAGCACTTTGGGAGGCCGAGGTGGATGGATCACTTGAGGTCAGGTGTTCAAGACCAGCCTGGCCAACATGGCAAAATCCCATCTCTACTTAAAAATTTTAAAAAAACTACAAAAACTAGCTGAGCATGGTGTATTGCCTGCAATCCCAGCTATTTGGGCGGCTAAGGCCACTTGAACCCAGAAGGTAGAGGTTGAAGTGAACTGAGATTGTGCCACTGCACCAGGCCTGGGTGACAGAGCAAGACTCTATCTAAAAAAAAAAAAAAAAAAAAAAATATATATATATATATATATATAATTGGCTTGGTTCCAATCTACTGGCTAAGGGCTTTTTCTTCTAGAATATTGGGGTAAAGTCTTCAAACTTTTTCTAGCCATATAATTTATGTTATAACCTAAGTCTACATAAATGGAACACAGATGTATGTTTGAATTCTTAAGAAGCAACTACATAAAGAATTATTTTTCAGTGAAGTAGGCAACTGATTAACAGCACATTTTGAGCTAACTTCTAAAGCTTGAAATTATATTGGTTTCAACTGAGATCATTTTGAATTCCAACAATTTTATATAAGTATGTTTATCATAATTCAAATAAAATTAACCTTAAAATAAGAAACTAAAATGGACTAAAATTTTGCCTAGATTTACCAAAATGCAAAATATAAAAACTAATTTCTAGATATATAAGATGTACATTGAAAGAATAATAAGTCAGTCCAGATTTAGACTATAAATTTAAATGTGAAAATTCAAGGATCTGAAATAAGTGAGGGAGCACAGCCTCTTGAAGAAAAATAAAGCACTAAATTTAAAAAGTATTATTTTTATTTCAGGAAAGAAGAAGCCTGAGCTTCCAAAATAACCTTCTCAGATGGCTTATTAACCCATTCTAATAAAGGAAACAAATGTACTATTAGCTTATTAAAAATAGAGACTCCAGCCTGGGCAACAAAGCAAGACCCTGTCTCTACAAAACATCAAGTAAGGGGCTGGGCATGATGGTAGGTGCCTATAATCCTAGCTACTCTGGAGCTGAGGGGGGAGGATGGCTGGAGCCTGGGAGATTGAGGCTGCCTGCAGTAAGCTATGACTGAGCCACTGCACTTCCTGAGCAAGAGTAAGACCCCAACTCAAAAAAAAAAAAAAAAGGGATTACTACTAATTAAAACCTGGAAGGAAAAAGGATAAAAAAAATTAACCTTTGCTGAACACTTACATGTCAAGTGCTTTTGAATATGATATGTGATTTAATCCCGAACAAACTAGAGTAATATAAACTATTATTCCTTTTTAAGAATAACAAAGTTAGAAGATTTATACCACCAGATAGACTTATTATAAAGTTGCAATAATGATGACAGTATATTATTGGCACAGAATAAACAGAGACCAATGGAACAGAATAAATAGTCCAGAAATAGACCAACATATATACAATCACTTGATTTACATCAATGATATCACTGTCACTCAATGGGAAAAGGAAGATCTTTTCAATAGTGGTGGTGAAAGAAATCAATCTCCCTATGGAGAAAACAGACTGTTAACCTGTTCTTCTTACCAAACAATTAATTTGAGGTGGGTCACAAATGATATAGGTAAAACAAAGCTTCCAAAAGAAAACATAAGAAAATATCTTCAGGACCCTGGTAAAGAGTTCTTAAGTAGAACACAAAAAGCACTATCCACATAAAAACAAGGATAGATGAGACTGTATTAAAATTAAGAACATCTGTTCAACACAAGGCATCATTAAGAAAGTGAACAGGCCGGGAGTGGTGGCTCACTCAAGCCTGTAATCCCAGCACTTTGCGAGGCCGAGGCAGGCAGATCACAAGGTCATGAGTTTGAGACCAGCCTGGCCAACATAATGAAACCCCATCTCTACTAAAAATATATAAATTATCTATAATGAAACCCCATCTCTACTAAAAATATAAAAATTAGCTGGATGTGGTGGCACATGCCTGTAGTCCCAGCTACTTGGGAGGCTGAGGCGGGAGAATCACTTGAACCTGGGACACGGAGTTTGCAGTGAGCCAAGACCATGCCATTGCACTCCAGCCTGGGTGACAGAGTGAGACTCCATCCCAAAAAGAAAAAAAAAGTAAACAGATAAGCAACAAAGAAAAAATATTTGCAATACAAGTATCTAAGGACTCATATCCAGAATATATAAAGAATTCCTACAAAGTAGTAAGAAAAATAGACAACCGCTTTTTAAAAAATAGGCAAAGGCTTTGAACAGGCTTTTCACCAAGAAGGTAGACAAATGAGCAATAAATATATGAAAATCTGTTGGGTATCAATATGCTTCAGGAAAATGTAAAAACACAAGATCCTACCTCCTATCTTTCAGAAAGGCAAAAAGTAAAATGACCGAAATTATCAAGTGTGCAGAAAAGAGTTAACATTGCAGGTCTGAGACTGCCATTCTTAGAGAGCTACTTGCAAAGTTGGCCTTTGGCTGACATCCAAGAACCTGGATTTTGAGAAGGTTCCCACCATTCCCACAACTGATAAAATGACTTATTATGTCTAAACAGTTTGAGCAAATAATATGGTTTATGCTGAACATCTGCTTTCTTCATGGTACTCTAGAATTTTGGTACGGTTAATCCTATGCTTAAGCAAAGGATGCCTACTTAACCAGACCCTACTGATAACTCTCAGTGCTTTGCCTCTAACAAGCTTCCCAGCGAAGACAACATTTCACGTATGTGGTCACAATTTGTTGCTGTAGGAATTAAGCACACTTTGTGTAACTACACTAGGAGAAGCTTTTTGGAAGCTTAAGCCTCATTTCTTCTAAACTTCATCTCATGTACCTTTTCTCTTTGCTGATTTTCCTGTAATAAATTATAGCCACGAACATGATTACAGGCTAAGTCCTATGAGTCTTCCTAGCAAATCACTAAACCTGGGAGTGCTCTTGGGAACACATCAAATGGGGAGGATTATGCAGAATAACTACACTACTATATATTGTTGGTGAGAAGGTTAATAATTAGTTCAACTGCTTTGGGAGACTATTTAGATACATCTACTAAAGCCTAGACATATTTCCACCACATAGCCCAACAACTCTACTCTTAGGAATATATCCAAAAGAAAATGAGTGCCTATGCCTACCAAAAGAAACAAGAATATTCATAGCAGCTTTATTCATATTAGCCCAAAGTGAAACAACCCAAATACCCATCAATAGGTGAACGGATAAACAAACTGTGACAAATTCACAGAACAGAATACTACAGAGTAGTAACACATGCACAAACACTGAAGCCTGCAACAACAAGGATGAATCTAACAGACAGTGGTTAAATTAAAAAGCTCAATGGTATATAATATGTGATTATACAATGAAAGAGTATACAATGTATGATTACATTTATATACAAAAGAGTAAGCAAAGTATGCCATTTAAAAGGTTCAAAAACTGACTGTGGTGATAAAAGTTAGAGAAAGAGTTGTTGGAGGGGAATACTGGGCTTCACTATCCAATACATCAGACTATTAAAATTAAAAATTCAATTTCTTAGAAACATTAGCCACATTTCAAGTACTCAATAGCTACATGTGTATAATTGCTATTGTATTACATGGGAAAGACAGAGAATGTAGCGCATTTCCATCTTCACAGAAAGTTTTATTAGTCAGCACTGTTTTAGGATGATGAGAATTTTCTATATCTTGATCTGGGAAGTAGTTATATGCATGTATCAATACACATATATTGATAAAAACTCACCAAGTGGTATACTTAAGATTTTTTATTTTTTTATCTTTATATTTTGAGACAGGGTCTTGCTCTGTTGCCCAGGCTGGAATGCAGTGGTGCTATCATAGCTCACTGAAACCTCTGCCTCCTGGTCCCAAGCCATCCTCCCACCTGAGCCTCCCAAGTAGCTGGAACTACAGGCATACACTACCACACTCAGCTAATTTCTGTATTTTTTGTAGAATTGGGGTTTGGTCATATTCCTCAGGCTGGTCTTGAACTTTTGAGGTTAAGCAATCCACCCACCTTGGCCTCCCAAAGTGCAGGGATTACAGGCGTGAGCTACCATGCCCAGCCAAGATTTGTACACCTAATTGTATTAAGTCATAACTCAATAATTAAGTAAATATATGAACATGTTTTTAAAATGACTAGCAGAAAACACATAAAATATATGTAACTGTGGATTCACATCTAAAATATAAAGAATTCATATGACTCAGTAAGAACAGGAGAGCAAACTAAAAGAAAAATCACGGGCAATTCACAGAAAAGGATGGCTAACAAACATATTAAAAGATGCTCAGGTTCATGAAAATTCAGGAATATACAATCTAAAACACTGAGATAATACTTCTGACCATCATGTTGGCAAAAATTTATATGGTTGGTATACCAATTGTTTATAAGAAATTGAGGCTGGGCACAGTGGCTTATGCCTATAATCCCAGCACTTTGAGAGGCCAAGACAGAAGGATCACTTGAGGTCAGGAGTTTAGGACCAGCCTGGGAAACATAGCAAGACCCCATATTTACAAAAATTTTTAAAGTGAAAAAAATCAGCCTGGCATGGTGGTGTGCACTCCCAGCTACTTGGGAGGCTGAGGTAGGACGATCACTTGAGCCTAAAAGGTTGAGGCTGCAGTCATTCATGATCATGCCACTGCATTCCAGCGTAGGCAAGAGAATGAGATCCTGTCTTCAAAAAAAAAAAATCCATAAAACCATGTATCAATATGTACGCATATATATGTATTATACATCAATGCATAGAAATAGGTATAAGAAATATAATGCTAGCCAATAATACCTGTTAGTTACTTCAAGGAATGAGAATCAAAATTAGTGGGTGGTGGCTTTCACTTCTTTTTTTTTTTTTTTTTTTGAGACAGGGTCTTGCTCTGTTGCCCAGGCTGGAGTACAGTGATGTTCACGGATCACTGTAGCCTCAACCTCGCAGGCTCAATTGATTCTTCCACCTCAGCCTCCCAAGTAGCTGGGACTACAGGTATATGCTACCCCACCGGGCTAATTTTTTTTTTTTTGTAGGCTGGTCTTGAACTCCTGGGATCAAGCAATCCACCCCCACCTTGGCCTCCCAAAGTGTTGAGATTATAGGCATGAGCCACTGAACCCAGCCTCTTTCATTTTTTCAAGATTAAATTTTTCACAATAAAATGTTTTCAGGCTGGGGCACAGTGGCTCATGCCTATAATCCCAGCACTTTGGGAAGCCAAGGTGGGTAGATCACCTGAGGTCAGGAGTTTGACACCAGCCTGGACTACATGGTGAAACCCTGTCTCTACTAAAAGTACAAAAATTAGCCGGGTATGGTGGCACACACCTGGAATCTCAGCTAGCTGGGAGGCTGAGGCAGGAGAATCACTTAAACCCAGGAGGCAGAGCTTGTAGTAAACCAAGATTGTGCCACTGCACTCCAGCCTGGGCAACACAGCAAGACTCTTGTCTCAAGGAAAAAAAGCTGGCAGGGTGGTTCACACTTGTAATCCCAGCACTTTGGGAGGCCGAGGTGGGCAGATAACCTGAGGTCAGGAGTTCAAGACCAGCATGACCAACATGGAGAAACACCATCTCTACTAAAAATAGAAAAAATTAGCTGGGCATAGTGGCGCATGCCTGTAATCCCAGCTACTTGGGAGGTGAAGGCAGGAGAATCACTTGAACCTGGGAGGCAGAGGCTATGGTGAGCTGAGATCATGCCATTGCACTCCAGCCTGGGCAACAAGAGCAAACCTCCGTTTCAAAAAAAAAAGTTTTCAGACATTACTTAAGCAAAAACAAACCAACAAAAGCTATTGCTGGCGGGTATGGTAGCTCACGCCTGTAATCCCAGCACTTTGGGAGGCCTAGGCAGGCAGATGGCTTGAGTTAAGAATTCAAGAGCAGCTCAGACAACAGAGCGAAACCACATCTCTACAAAAACCACAAAAAAATAGCCAGTTATTGTGGTATTAGTCTGTAGTTCCAGCTACTTGAGAAGCTGAGGTGGAAGATCGTTTGGGCCCAGGAGGTTGAGGCTGCAGTAAGCCATGGTCATGCCACTGCATTCCCACCTAGATGACAAAGAGAGACCCTGTGTCAAAAAAACAAAAACAAAGCAAAATCCATAAAAACAACTATCGCTGCTATTGTAGTTGAGCTGCTGCTGTTCCAAATCCTAATAATGTATATGGCTTCAAACTATATTTTTGAACAGATAAAGCTAATCATATAATTGAAGGTTATTTACTTCTATTTTCTCTCTATATTTTTGGATTTTCTTTTCTAAACATCTGAGCATTCCCCACTCACTTTAAGAAATAATAAATCACCTTATGATGAGGTAATCTACTTAAACTTCAAAACATTTTTGAATTTCAGAAATGGCAAACCTAAAGGCCCCAAACAAAAAACCCCAAAAGTTTATTAGACTTCTTTTATCTTTTTTTTTTGAGATGGAGTCTTGCTTTGTCACCAGGCAGGAGTGCAGTGGCGCAATCTTGGCTCACTGCAACCTCCGCCTCCTGGGTTCAAGCGATTCTTCTGCCTCAGCCTCCCGAGTAGGTGGGACCACAGGCGTGTGCCACCAGGCCTGGCTAATTTTTTTGTATTTTTAGTAGAGACAGGGTTTCACCATGTTGACCAGGATGGTCTCGATCTCTTGACATCATGATCCACCCGCCTTGGCCTCCCAAAGTGCTGGGATTACAGGCGTGAGCCACTGTGCCCAGCCAACTTCTTTAAACATAGACTTTGTTTAATCTTTTAAAGGTCCTTGATTAAATCAAGACCATATTTATCTGTGTCATTGGGAAATCTTTACCTGTAGTTTTTTTAAACATAGTCTGTATCTGTAAACATAGGCTGTGCGCCACTGTGCCCGGCTGATTTTTGTACTTTTAGTAAAGACAGGGTTTCACCATGTTGGCCAGGCTTGTCTTGAATTCCTGACTTCAAGTGATCTGCCCACCTCAGTCTCCCAAAGTGCTTGGATTACAGGCATGAGCTGCCGCACCTGGACTAAACATAGACTTTTTAGAGAATTTTCCTTATCCAAAGCACCATCTTCTACTAGGATGAGGTTATATAAACCACAAAATACATTAAAATGGAAAGAACTAGTGTATCCTACCTGGGTTACTGGAATGTAGAGAGGTTCTCCATTATGCAGCAGTGTAAGTTTCCCATGCTGATAGAGCCTTCCTTCTGGCCTTAAATTTGCCATCTCCTTAGGTCCTCCTTTCTTGCCACTGTCTTGTCCATTTCCTTTAAGTTCTTCAGTATCACTTAGGCATTCAAAAAATTCTTCTTCACTGTCACTCCAGGAATCCCAAGATTTTCCTACCTCTCCCTTTTCCTTATCTGTTTCTTTTAGATTATCTGGCCCCAACTGGTCTCCAGCTTTTCCAGCATCCCCTGGATACAGATTAGTGACATTATCTGAAGCACTTGTCTTTTTCCCCTCATCACGTGCCTTCTTTCTTTCAATACAACAATTTAACATCTTAAGAAAAGAGAAATAACATTTATAGTTGAATTAGTTACAGAAAAATAAAAATCTATCTACCCACTGCTTGAATATTTAATTTTCACTCTCCACTTCTTCGGACCTTGTGAACTGCAGTAATTGCTGACTATAGGCAACCTACAGCAGCACCATGAGAACCGCATATAACCCATTCTTACATTCAGTATTGGAATAATCTCTGATTAAATCAAGACCACATTTATCTATATCACTGGGAATCCTTTACCTGTAGTTTCTGATGCAGTAAACAACACCTCAGATCTGGGGGTCCATTTGCTAATCTATCAAATAAAGTAAGGAGAAAAGAAAGCTTAGTTTTAGTAAAATTACTTCAGATATGATTATCTATACAACCATAATTTTAAGCTATACTGAAAGAAATCAAAACTAGATTTCCACAGGTAAGGCAAGTGAATTACAAAGGGGAAGCACATAGAATCAAAAGATGAAAACTTATTTTATATTCCTAGTCCACAAATCACCAATAGCAAATATAATAGATACTTCAAAGTATAAAAGCAAATTATTGATAGTTTTCAGGCTTACAAAAACTTAAAATGAGAAAAAGTCCCTAAACCCACCCCAGGAAGTAACTAGCATGCAGTATGTGATACCATACAAAATAAATCAGTTTGTGTATTCAGTACTAAATTTTTAGAGTGGATTCTTACTATAAAAACCAAGATCTCCACCTGTATTTCAATAGGACCTCAAACTGTTTCTAGTTCTAGGTTTCTCTAGACGATTAGATTCCCAGCAATCAGCCAGAGGCACTCCCTCATATTCAACATGCTTCTGGGTCTGTAAAAAGTTCCAGAGCGAACTCTCTAGAACCAAGAGAGAATCCAGCTAAGCAGAGATTGGCAAATGACGTAAAATGTTTTTGGATCAGTTATCATTTTATATTGCTCATAAGCATGATTCTCCTCTCTTAGCATGGGTAGATGAGCACTTAACTATGCAATATCGACGTATGTGCTAATGAAAATGTTCTGTTCGACAAAATACAGATTTATTACAAAAGACTTTGAAAATACATAAAAGTATAAAGAACAAAATAAAAATATAATTTCACACTAGGAAAAACTGATAGCATTTCACTGTATTTCTTTCTAATCTTTTTTCTGTGCAAATATAGCAACATAATTAAAAGCATTTTGTATATACATTATGTTCTACTTTATTAGAAACAATATGAATATCTGTTATTAAAGATTCTTGGGAAAAAAATCGTAATCAATCTGTAATTTTCTATTGTAGAGAGAGAGCAAATTTTAACAATTTTTTTATGTTTGATATTTAGGTTTTGCCTTTTTTTCTACTGTATTAATAAATTTGCTGCAGTGAACACCTCTGAACATAAATCATGTCTAAGCTTCTTACCATTTTCTTAGGGCACATTCTCTAGAAGGGGAGAAAAAATGGGTCAAAAGTCAAAAGTCTGTTAACAAACAAAATCCTATCTAAACAATTGAAAATTGAAATTATTACCCTGCAATCAGAAAGTTGTTTTCCCATCGGAAACGCATTTCAAGAACAAATTCCTGCCAGAGGTGTGCCACTCCTTTCAACCCTCCATGGTAAAAATTGATCATACAGAGACACAAAGCCAATTTGTATGTTAAACTGTCAGATGGTGCAGACTTGAACTGATTGTAGAGATTCTAAATTTCACAAAATAGAAACAAAGCAAACTTGTTAACAAAATATTTTACACATAGAATTGAAAAGATCATAGGGAGAGATTATAATTCTAAAATTAACCTATCCCACCTAACGTAGGCATTATCAAATGTCGAATACACTACGGCATAAACTATTCTTAGGCAGTCCCATATTTTCAAGATTTCTGCTAAGATTAAAAAAATAAAGCTATAGTATAAATAAAGCTAAAGTTATAGCTTTCAATATCTTCTGTGGAATCCTTAGGAAGTATTCCAAATTTCATGTGTTGCTTTAAAAATCTTTTAGTTACAAAATGAGCATATCTAAACAAACAACAAAAATTATAACTGTATAAACTGAAAATGTAAAAAGCCTTTGCTTTTTTTCTCTCACCTCATGAAATCTACTTCTTAGCAGAACTACTGGAAAATTTGATATATATCTACACTTGTCATTTAAATTCTTCCACTTCTTAATTTTTCAAAGACTGGACAAAGAGACCATGAAAATTTTACCTAATTTTACACATTTTACTTAAAGAGGTTTTGTTGTGTTTTTTTTTTGTTGTTTTTTTGTTTGTTTGTTTGTTTTTGAGATGGAGTCTTGCTCTGTCACCAGGCTGGAGTATGGTGATGCAATCTCATCTCTCTGCAACCTCTGCCTCCCGGTTTCAAGCAATTCTCCTGCCTCAGCCTCCTGAGTAGCTGGTACTACAGGGGCGCACCACCATACCCAGCTAATTTTTGTATTTTTAGTAGAGATGGGGTTTCACCATGTTGGCCAGGATAGTCTTGATCTCTTGACCTCGTGATTCACCCACCTTGGCCTCCCAAAGTGCTGGGATTACAGGTGTGAGCCACTGCACCCAACCCTTCATTAAAGAGTTTTCCACTCACTAACTAGTTTTTTCTTTAAAAAAGAAAAAAAAGAAATAAAAACAAAAAATATGTATAGAAAACAATCTGTTGAAAAACATAAATTTAATGATGTCACCACAACTCTACAATGAGGGAAATCCTACAGCTGTGCATAGTATACTCATACAATTTTTTCATTGTTTCCAGAAAAATTCTTGCTACCCAAAATATATATCTGTGCTAGTTCATTATCTAAGTGGAAACCATGATCTCCCATCCAAAATTCTCAAGGTAATTTTTAAAAGAAAAATATATTAGGCTATTAAACTAGAAATATATAGAACCTCTGGAAATTCAGTGCATTTAAAACATTTTAATATTAACTCCAAATCAACTTACATAGTCTTCACTCTCCAATGGAAGATTATTATTATCTGTTGAAGTAGTTCCATCTAATGTTTTCTCAAAAGCAGCATCAGGGAATAAGAACTTGAAGAAAAGGGAAAAAAAATCAGATTTTAGACCACATTTCCTATTTTGTTGATTTTTATAACTCATATAGACATTATTTAACTTTTACTGGTTTTGCTGCTAAAACAATGGTAATGTTCCAATTGTACTGGCCAGTTTGTTCTACATTCTCAAATTTTTTCAAATGTTCTTTGAAAATACACAAGGTTTCAGTGACTAGCCAATTTTAGAAATCAGAAGTTTTTTCTTACAAGTAATCACTTGATTCTGTAATCTGAATAGTACAAAAGCAAAATCTCTTCACTGTGACTTCATGCTCATCAAGGCCATTACATTTTTTTAGTGTTACTACCATTTAAAAAACAAAACTATAAAACACAATTTAAAAACACCCACGTACTCATGAGGATCTGAAGTTATATCATCCACAGGCTTTCATACATAGACTACTAAGAGATGATATTCAAGACCCACAACTTTATTTTATGATACCCCTGGAAAGTAGGTAGCAGTCTAAACCTATAATAACCAAGGTACCTTTTCCATGTGGTTTCTGTTTATATGTATGTGTGGGAGTAGTCAAAAAAATCCAGTGTACATGACAACTGAGCTATATGATTTGAATAGCATTCTTTAAGAATACAGTCTTAAGAAGGAGGCTCTCTACAGAAATTTATTTACAGTCCTTTTATCCCTGTTCCTCTCAATTGTTTAGTGGTACTGCTGACTAGTAATCCCTCTTATAATGTATACTTTGCCACATATTATAGAGAACATGTCCAATAAAGTTTTAAAAATTAGAGGACCTACTATGTGCCAAGTGCCAGTACTAGACATAATTACCAACATTATTCTATTCTCATACAACTGTGTGAGCTAAGTATCACTGTCCATATCTTATGATCTACAAGCTGAAAAGTTGGCTATGAGTTTTGTTCAGATAAATGGCAGGGGATAAGATTAACATTAAGTTTCCAAGTCCAGTTTTCTTTTCAACATTTTTCTTGAAGGCTTTTCCCAAGACTGTCTTAATGCACAAATTTCTGAGAGTATGATTTTAACCATAATTACAGTAAGAATAGTTATCATTTATCAAAGGCCCATACATGCTAGGCAGTGTCACAGAAGATCCTTTTAATACATGCTAGGCAGTGTCATAGAAGATCCTCACAACAATCTTGCAAGATTTTGTTAACAATATTTTATAAATGAGGAAACTGAAGTGTCTTATTCAAAGTCATGCAGTAAGTCATATGACATTAAACCATGGTGTAGAAGGCCCCCAAGCTGGGGCCATCCCACCATGTTATCCCTAAAAGCCACCTTAGCCCTCTACTCTATCTCCCTCTTGTTTTCACTAAAAGCTTTCTCTCAACTGTTGTCAAAGCAACCTTTCAAAAATATAATTCTGATCATGTTGATCTTCTACTTAAACTGTAAGATAAATGCCAGTGCTTCAGAATGGCAGGTTACCTGTTACTTCTCCAGCCTTAACCCTAGTCACACTCTGGGAAGCACGTTACAAAATATCAACTGTTCAGCATGCTCTTGGACTTCTGCTCTTCCTCTGCTTCTAAAGCCTTCTCTTCATCAAGATTCAGCTCAAATGTCCCTCTTCATGAAACCTTCCCTGATCCCCACTGCACAGACAGAGACAGATGCACCTCTGCTGTGCTGTCACAGCCCCTTTGTCAGATTTCTCACATGTAACATGGTATTGTAACTACTATTTACTTTCCTTCTCACCACTACACTAGTAGGAATTTTCTAAATGTGGTAACTCTTTTACTCATTTTATATTCCAAAGTCAGTGCCTACCACATAGAAGGAACTGAATACATAATGAATATATGATTATGCATATAGACTTATAAAGACAGATCATTTATTACCAGGAGAATAGTGTTGAGGACATCATTATTCAGTGGTGACTCTTCTACACCTCTGTGTTTTCGGATTTTCTTCTTTGCAGTATGTACCATATTTGAAACTGATAATTTATGAATTGGAACTGGTGTTGGCTCTGTCAATTTTGACAAAGCATGAGATATATCAGCAATTTCTAAAAGAAGAACAGACATAAATATATCACCAACCTTAGCAGGTCAGAGTGATGAGCAAATTGATGACTGTATGAAATATTTTATTCATTCTTTTTACTGGTGTTATATGGTCTCAGAATTATAAAATATTAATATACATATTCAGCTTTATATGCAAGCATGAGTGACGACTGTATCACACAAATTATTTCTCCCCAGGAGGCTTCAAAATTTAACCTCTAAAACTCTGCTTTTCAAAATATTTTAACTGTTTTGGTGCAAAGAACTTATTAAATGCCCTTAATGTCTTCACAAGTGCTGGGTACAGCCTGGAAAGGAACTGTAGCTGTCTAGTCCATCAAAATTTGATTCTCCAACTTAATTCAAAATGAAAAAATAGATGAAAAGTTACTGAAAAGGTGTCAAGAAAAACGATAAGATATTTGAAAATAATGTTTAAAAAAAAGGTAGGTTACCTTTGCCTTCTTCCTCAAATGCTGATCGTCCAAGAATCTCATCAGTTGACTCCTTTCGACGGCAAATTTTAAAAAATTCAGTGACAAAATCACCTATGTAGAAAAAAAGTTAATTATTTTTGACACTTAATTAAAAAAAAAAATCAGTCCTATAAATTAAAGCATGTTTTTCCACAAAAGCTATTAAATAAGATATGGTCGAAAGTAAAACTATTCATTTTTCCACTAAAAAAGACAAAAATTAATCCTACATCAAAGGTAACCTTGTTCTCCTCTTTCTCTCCATGTCCCAGGACATTTAAAAAGCTTTTCCTTAGAACTCCTTCCAGGAGGAAAGAAAAAAAAGAACTCTATCTAATAGTAAGTTCTTACAATATGCCTCAATGAGACAAAGTATCCATTTGTCATTAAATTATGTAAGTAAGAAGAACTTACTCTATATTATAGTAGTGATCCTTCTCCAACTGCTACACTACTAGAATCTAAACCCATTAATAAATAAAAAGAAATGCTAAAGGTATGTTTCTAGAGGATTAGGAAATCATGTAGGATAGAGATATTTCAGTTTCTGTTACATATTAAAGGTATGCTTTCTGTCATTATTTTATTATTTTTGAGACAGGGTATTACTTTGTCGCCTAGGCTGGAGTGCAGTGGCATGATCATGGCTCACTGCAGCCCTGACCTCCCAGGCTCAGATGATCCTCCCACCTCAGCCTCCTGGGTAGGCTGGGACTACAGGTGTGCTTCACCATGACTAGCTAATTATTGTATTTTTTGTAGAGATGGGGTTTCACCATGTTGCCAAGTCTGGTCTCAAACGCCTGGGCCCAAGCAATCCGCCTGCCTCAGCCTCTCAAAGTGCTGGGATTATAGGTATGAGCCACTGCACCCAGCTGTCATTATTATAAAAAGAGGTAAAGCAAGTTGAATCTTCTAAAGAGCTACAATGTTTACACAAGTAAATGAATGCTTAACAAATACTATCAGTACTAAAATACATCAAGTACATCTAAATTTTATAATTCACCAACTAATTCTGAATTAACCCATAACTCTTTTGGGGTTTCTTCAGAAAGTTAGGAAAAGTCTATAATCTAGTCATACAAAATATTAAAAGAGGAAGGGTAAGAACATGGAACTTTAAACTAAAATGAGAATACTTTCAGTTCCAAGGTCCTCTGCAACTATCACAGAAGTCAAAAGACGAGGAATAATAATGTTATTAAGAAACAGCTTAGTACGTAAATATAACGTGTAGTAATTCAACAATTAAACAACAGAAACCATTCACTATAACTGTTCATTCACTACAACAAAGGCACTGTGTTAAATGTGATACATACACACACACAGGCACATAATCTCATTTGATTCTCCCAATAATCCTATGAAGTATGTACTAGCGTTATCTCTATTTTACTTACGAGGACTCTGGGGCTTAAAAAGATTAAGAAACTTGCCCAACCTGGTCAATCTAGAATTTGAACTAAGGTCTGTCTAACTGTAAAACTCTTGACACTGACCTTATACTGTTGCTAAAACCCGCAGACATATTTGCCAATGGTGGGACTTATACCTTATACATCTTTGTTTTTGCTATTATATAGTTAGCACAAATGGCAAGTAGTAATCAGCATTTGACAAATAGCACATGAATGCTAAAGAGCTCAAGAAAACAGTGCTTTAGAGAAATGTATCATTATTGTCATAATAATTATTTTGGTAACTCCATCAGTTAAATGGTAATATATCGAGTGATAGGGAGTTAAGGTGGCATGGATGAACATTAAAAAAAAGGAGAAAATATTTTCACGTGTACTAAATATAAGGAGGAAAAAGATGACAAGGCACATTGAGGAGATGGGTTCAAAAGATTTCATGAAAGAGATACACCTAAAAAAGGGAAGGGGATGAATCCTAGACATAAGACACAATTATATGATCTGAATAGCAATTAATATTTTTCAAAGTACTTCCATTTATGTTATTTCATTTGATCCCTCAAATAACCTTGTGAGGTGTATAAAATTATTCACACTTCTTTTCCCATATCAGAAAATAGGTTACAGATGTGACATAACTCTACAGAAAAGCTCTAATACGCACCATCAAGAACAGTGCTCTTCAGATAACACAGGTCTAGAGGGACAACAAAAGTCAAAAAGGGGTTCACTAAGAGCAATAGAGGATGCAGACTATGCCACAGGAGGAAGGAAAGCAAGTAACATAAAAGCATGAGAAGGCCGAGAGCGGTGGCTCTCACCTGTAATCCCAGCCCTTTGGGAGGCCAAGGCAGGTGGATCACAAGGTCAGGAGATCAAGACCATCCTGGCTAACATGGTGAAACACTGTCTCTACTAAATATACAAAAAATTAGCCAGGTGTGGTGGCACATGCCTATAGTCCCCGCTACTCAGGAGGCTGAGGCAGGAGGTGGAGGGTACTGTGAGTTGAGATTGTGCCACTACACTCCAGCCTGGGCGACAGAGTCAGACTCCGTCTCAAAAAAAAAACAAAGGCATCAGAAAAATAGAGCTGAGATAATGAGAAAATAATGGAGAATTCTAAGGTATAGAACTGGAAGACAAATAAAACAGGAAGACAAGGAAGAAATCCTGCTGGCTCTATTCAAAAAAGGATTCACTGTTATTAGCAATTATTTTTGTCCTACATGGTGTTAACTGAGGAGATGACGAAGTATAAAGAATGTATGCAGTGCTTCTGATTTGGAAAGTAGGCAGATCAGCGGTATTTCAGGAAAGGAGCATAATATACCTTACCTAGCAAACACTGAGGATTCTCAGCTTTTCGAACTCTAACAGACCAATGCGGAGCTTGAATAGGATCCAAATCACTAAAATGCAAACCAATAAACATAAGATCCTAATTATGACGATCTGCAAGATTCATGAACTTATCAAGATGTAGTCTAATGAAAACATATAGAAGAATAAACAATCCATTTAGCCTCCCTTAAACTTACTGTTATCCCAGATACATAGAGCTATTTGGATAAGTTTTTAAAAAGTAACATCATAAGCAATCAAACTTTTTAGACAATAAAATACAAAAGGAAACACCAAAATCAAAACAAAATAAAAAATGCATATAAAAATTACTAGCAATTTGGGAATTAATTTACTCTACTGAAGTTTTTAAATTTCAACATACTGCTCTTAACATACTTACGAATAAACATCATTATCCACAATGATCCCTTCAGTCAGATGAGGCCATGTAGTAGCTAAATGGAGTTCACTAAAATAAAACATAAAATACACCCAAAAGCTTTAATACTGACTCGGCAATTCTACTCAATACTTCTAGAAAACTATCCTAAGGAAATAAAAGTATGTTACAGTGGCATTATTTACAATACACAAACTGGAAACAACTTATTTAGCAAATGGCAGCACATCTTTAGGGAAGTTAATGTTTTACAAACATTAATCGCATTATACATAATAGCCAAAAAGCATAAATAACTCACCAACTAATGAATGAATGGATAAACAAAACGTGGCATATCTATACAACGGTATGTCCAGCCATAAAAAGCACAGAAGTACATTAGTTCCCCCTTATCCACAGCTTCACTTTCTGCACATTCAGTTACCCCAAATTAACTGCAGTCTGAAAATATTAAGTGAAAAATTCCAGAAAAAAACAATCCACAAATTTAATATTGCATGTTGTTCTAAGTAGCATGAGGAAATCTTGTGCCATCCTGCCCCAGGAGGTAAACCATCCCTCTGTTCAGTGCATCTACACTGTCTATGCTACCTGCCCTGTTAGTTACTTAGTAACTGTCTTGGTGACCAAAGCAATTACAAGAAGAGTGCACATAGTACAATGAGATACAGTGAGAGAGACAGAGAGATCACATTCACGTAACTTTTACTAAGGCATATTGTTATAGCTACTCTCTGTTATTAGTGTTGTCTGTCTCTTACTGTGCCTAATTTATATTATTTATTTATTTATTTTTATTACTACATCTGGAAATCTTACTGTGTCAAATTTATAAATTAAACTTTATTACTGATATGTATGCATAGATAAAAACAGTATATTTGGCCATGTGCAGTGGCTCATGCCTGTAACTCCAGCACTTTGGGAGGCTGAGGCCCGCAGATCACAAGGTCAGGAGATCAACACCATCCTAGCTAAGATGGTGAAACCTGTCTCTACTAAAAACACAAAAAATTTGCTGGGTATGGTGGCACACGCCTGTAGTCCCAGCTACTCGGGAGGCTGAGGCAAGAGAACTGCTTGAACCTGGGAGACAGAGGTTGCAGTGAGCCAAGATCATGCCATTGCACTCCAGCCTGGGAAACAATATCGAAACTCTGTCTCAGAAAACAACAACAACAACAAAAAACAAAACAGTATATTTAGTATTTGGTATTATCCACGGCTTCATTCATCCACTGGGGGCTTGCAACATACCCGCTGTGGATAAAGTGGGACTGATTCATGCTACAACAGGGACAAATCTTGAAAACATGCTAATTAAAAGAAGTCTGACACAAAGAAAGCCACATGTTATATGAGTTCATTTATATGAAATGTCCAGAATGGGTAAATCCAAAGAGACAGAAAGCTGGAGGGGCTGGAAATATTGGGGGGAAATGATGGCTAAGAGGTGAAGAATTTCTTTTTTTTTTTTTTTTTTGAGATGGAGTTTCGCTCCTGTTACCCAGGCTGGAGTGCAATGACGTGATCTCGGCTCACCGCAACCTCTGCCTCCTGAGTTCAAGCAATTCTCCTGCCTCACCCTCCCAAGTAGCTGAGACTACAGGCACGCGCCACCATGCCCAGCTAATTTTTTGTATTTTTAGTAGAGACTGGGTTTCACCATGTTGACTAGGATGGTCTTGATCTCTTGACCTCGTGATCCACCCGCCTCGGCCTCCCAAAGTGCCGGGATTACAGGCATGAGCCACCGCGCCCGGCCGCAGAATTTCTTTTTGAGGTTATGAAAATGTTATGGTATTTAATGGTTATAATGGTTGCACAGCTCTGTAAATATTAAAAACCTTGAATTGTACACTTTTAAGTAGTGAATTTTATGGTAGGTAAATTATATCTCAAGTCTGAAAAATGTTAGAGATCAGAAGTTGGCAAATATTTTCTATAAAGAGCCAGAGAGTAAATATTTTAGGCTTTGTGAGCCATATACATTCTCTATTTTATTTTTTATAACCTTTAAAAATACAAATACCATCCTGATTTCACTGGCCATGTAAAAATAGGCTAATGGCCAGATTTGGCTCAAAGCACACAATTTGCTGAACTCTTATTATAGATGAATATTAAATCTCAACAAGTGTTCATGTAAAATTACAAAATAAAGCAAGCAAGTGTAGGTCTCTCTTTCTCTCTCTCTTTTGAGATGGAGTCTCGCTCTGTTGCCTAGGTTAGAGTACAGTGTTGTGATCTCAGCTCACCGCAACCTCTGCCTGCTGGGTTTAAGTGATTCTTGTGCCTTAGCCTCTTAAGCAGCTGTGATTACAGGCATGCACAACCACACCCAGCTAATTATTTTTCAGTAGAGATAGGGTTTCATCACGTTGGTCAGGCTGGCTTTGAACTCCTGATCTCACAAGCCACCCGCTGCAGCCTCCCAAATTGCTAGAATTACAGGCTTGAGCCTGTGCCTGGCCCAGATGTAGGTCTTTATTTCCAGTACTACATTCATCCCAGCAACCTACAGCATCATAAAGCACAGTAAAATCACTATCAATATAAATTCAAAGTAAAATAATCCCACAATTCAAATGACAGGTTAAAATTCTCACCTAATGGGATCTTCGCAGGCACCAAATGGTAACTTGCCAAACTCCAAGCCTCCAACTTCTCCTCCTACAAGGGCATCTATGTCTAAACAAAAGAAATATTTTTCCATTATTTGGCAAAAAGCATAGAAGAGTCTAATCTAGTTAGGTTAAGCCCTTTAGAATATTGTATCTTTAAAAATGTCTATAAGAGAACACGTATAGCAAGACACAGCAAGTTACAACACAAGTAGTCTAATATTTGACTTCCCCAGAAGACAAATATAGTAAAAAAAGCATAAACTTATTTCCTATTTATCCAGTATTTCATTCAAGCCATGTATTCTAAATTTTGCCCTTCTGAAATATTCCTTAAATATTACTCAAGAGAATATTTCTGTAAATTTTTTTTGCATTTTAAAAGAATGTAATTAATATAAGCCAAAAAGAGTATCCAAATATTTAAAGATCTAATCACCAACTACATTAATCAGTTTTGCTATCAGTAATTTCTGTATAGCAAATTAGTATATTTGTCATCATTAATAATATATTTCGGTTGATAGTAAATGGAAATATATAAAGATCAGAAAAGAACCTCCTTGCCATTATGAATGGTAAATTACACTGGAAGAGAACTTAGAAGGTAAATCATTCCTCTTAGTTCTCTCTCCTGAGGAAGTAACAGACATTTCTAAAAGGCATCAAAAGGATTTTTTGCTCTTTGAAAGAATACAAATTGTGCTCAATTATTCACACCTACACTAGGATTTCCTAAAATTAAAGCCTGTTAAGAAAACTTCCCATATTTGCCAAAACCACATCTGACATCTACATCCTAAGTAAATGATTAAGATTAGTCATCAAATATTAATCAAGTACTTGATTCAGTAAATTTTCTCAAGTTAATTCCATTTTACCAAGTAAAGAATGCTTATAATAAGAAAGATCACAATGACTAGCAGTTACAAGTGAGTTTGTAAAAGCTTCAAAATTATAAGCAAATTTTATAAATTAGTAAACTAAAAATTATTACAAAATATAACTGTACAAAAATGTTTTAGCTGAATTGAAAAGGGAGAAGCAACTCGTGGAATAAAAAGCACATCAGGCTTGGAGTGTGACTAGCGTTTGTATGCAACCTTTATCATTTGATTATATGACTTTAAGCCAGTTACATGGGTTCTATAAGAAACTTACAATCTAAGAAACTTACATCTCTAAGAAAGATAATAATACTTGTCTTGGGCTGGGCACAGTGGCTCATGCATATAATTCTAGCACTTCGGGAGGCCTAGGCGGGTGGATCACCTGAGGTCATGAGTTCAAGACCAGCCTGGCCAACATGGTGAAACCCCATCTCTACTAAAAAATAAAAAAAATTAGCCAGGGTGGCGATGTATGCCTGCAGTCCCAGCAACTCAGGAGGTTGAAGCAGGAGAAAGGCTGGAACTCAGGAGGCAGAAGTTGCAGTGAGCCAAGATCATGCCACTGCACTCCAGCCTGGGTGACAGAGTGAGAGTCTGTCTCGAAAAACAAAACAAAAGATAATAATACTTGCCTCAAAAGAAAATGAAAATTATACAAAATAAGATATAAAATATGAAAAACACAGTGTCTCGTCCATATTATATAACATGTTCACTCCCTCCCTCCTTAGAAGGGAAAATGTTAAGAATTTATATGGCTTTCAATCTACTGAGGAAGAAGGTTAATATTTTTATCCCCATTTAAAAAACCTGATAATAGAAGATTAACAAAGAACTTATTGGCAATCTTATAATGCTAAGGTTCTGCTCTTGGGCTTCTTCACAGATCATGAGCAGACCACAATATCTTAGGAAATCTTTAAAACTGTTTTGTTGCTTTTTGGAAGAAACAAAAAGGAGGATAAGAATGGAAACTTCTAACTAGAAGTAGACTATAAATTGTCCAGTGGGTATTGTTACCTGGGAACTAAAATTACCAACACCAACATTTGAGTATTTCTTCTGATATAAACCTAAAGCTTAGCATTTATTTCTCTGTTGTAGCTGAGATACAATCTTTTTAATGTACATTAAAGTTGCAGATTATTTTGTGGTATATAAAATAAGACAGTAGTAGTATATAACTTCCAAAAGCTAAGGATGTATTACATTAATTTTTTTTTTTTTTTTTTTGAAACAGGGTCTCACTCTGTCGCCCAGGCTGGATGGAGTGCCATGGTGCAATCTCGGCTCACAGGCAACTCATTTGCCTCCCAGGTTCAAGCGATTCTCCTTCCTTAGCCTCCTCAGTAACTGGGATTACAGGTGCCTGCCACCATACCTGGCTAATTTTTCTATTTTTAGTAGAGACAAGGTTTCACCATGTTGGCCAGGCTGTTCTCAAACTCCTGACCTCAGGTGATCCGCTGGCCTCAGCCTCTCAAAGTGCTGGGATTACAGGCATGAGCTACCGTGCCCAGTCTGTATTACATTAATTTTTATATCACCTCATGCCTACCAATTATTTTCAATCCTATAAATAGCCAACTACTTAGAACAAAAATAAACAGTAAAGAATATTAGTTTATTTTATTTCTCTCTGGGGGAGGTAGGTAAAAAACTTTTCAGCCTAGTATAATTCTTGTACTTTATAAGTTTGTATTATATTTCTTATTAGATGTGCTTCAATATAATCAAATGTGAAAGAAACACCCAGGAATCAAAATATTAATTAGAATATATGTCCATGAAACAGCATTTCTAGACTTAGGTAATATGTTGTTCATATTGCTGTCCTTCTCACAGCCTAGTCTATTACAGGTTAGTAATTCATGGTTGTTGAATGAATCCGTTTGTCAAGGGTAAGCAGGCAAACTGATTTTGATTATATTTTTATAAAATACAAGTTAATTATTATTTTTCCCCTACACATATTTTTCTTCTCTGCTTTCCTTGTTTTAGCCCCCTTCTTGAACCACTACTCTCTTTAAAGCTTTTTTGCATGTCTGTTCTCTGCTTATGAGGGTAAGCTGAGAATAGCTCTTCTCTTATAATAGTCTAAAAACAGACATGTTAATTGTTCGCTACATAGTAATTTATGGTATATGATGGCCACATCAAGGGATGCCTTATAAAAAGGCTTTCAAAGACAGATTACCAAATATAGAGTAACACTATCTCTAGAAAACCTACAGATTTTCTTTAAGAGAAAAAAAAACATAAGGGCAATGAAAGTAGCAATATTATATTTAAAATGAATCACAAGTATTTCTAATGTAAAACACTTGTCACTCCGTTAATTTTAATTTCTGCCTGTATCTTCTTTTCCATTTATATTTAGTAAGTTAAATATAGTTCTAAATGATCTCACCTGGAGGTTGCTGAGGCCAAAAATACTGCTGCCAATCTTGAAGCACGTAGGTAAATCGAATAGCAATACTAACTGGAGGCAATGGAGTTAAAGGACATCCCTAGGAAATACATACAAAGACAAGACCATGTAAATGTTGGTACCCTTTTCCTATTAATTCAACATCAAAATTTCAAATCTATGGAATGGATTAACACTACCTTTATGAAACCTGGATTTTCAGATTCTAATGTTAAATAATAGTGTGCATATTCCAGTTATTAAAAACATGATATTCTAGCCTTTCCAAAGGAAAAATAAGTCACCAAAGTCATTACAGCCAAAGATGTAAAATTTAGAAAATCCTTTTCACCAAAGAAATTCTCAAAGTCCAAAAGCTCAAGGGGTGGATCAGGGATGAACAAGAGGAAAGATCCTACAGTAAGGAACAGTACTGCAATTGGGAGAATGGGTTTTAAAAAATAAAAAAGTAAACTTTCCAAAGAATCGCTGTATTTTTGTCCACATATTTGTGTGTAGAGAAGGATTTCCATAATTTCTGCATACTGCTTCCACACGTTTTCATTTGATGTAGCGAAAAAAAGTTTCAAAACAATGCCATAGAACAAATTACTTTAAAATAAAGCTGTTTAAACTGCGATTAGAAAAAGAGATATTAAATTATATTAAGCAAAATGCTCTTTAAAATATCTTTTACAATTTTAATTATAAAATATAATTTCTTACTATTTACTTCAGATATACTAAATGTGAAAGGTGACTCATTTTTCAAATAAGTAAAACTATTATAAAGCATAAGACTTGGTTTGGAGAGATTATGTCTTTTCTTTCTTTTAAATGAAAATAAACTCAAATTAAAGCCAGCCTTGAATATTTAACCAGAATTTCACACTGAGAGAAATGAACAATCACTCACACAAAATAGATTAACAAATCAGTTAACAAAAGAAAACTTAACAAATTGGTTAACAAAAGAAAACTCTGGGCGACAGAGTGAGACCCTGTCTCAAAAAAAGAAAGAAAAAAGAAAAGACAGACCAAGATGGAAGGAGGCGGGGAAAGGGGAGGGGAGGGGAGGGGAGGAGAGGGGAGGGGAGGGGAGGGGAGGGGAGGGGAGGGGAGGGGAGGGGAGGGGAGGGGAGGGGAGGGGAGGGGAGGGGAGGGGAAGGGACGGAAGGGAAGACAGAAGGAATTAGGATGAAAAATGATGGAAATATCTTTGTAGACCCTGCAGGATAAGTGGGGTTCAAGGCACATGCCTCAAGGTGTGGAAGGCAGCACTGACAACCTAGGATGAAACCAAAAGGGCTCTGTCCAGAGTGAGGGCATTGCAAGACTCTCTGCTTAAGCCAGACACTGGGACAGGTCACTCCTGCTTGGCACAATGGCTTTAATGGAAGGTACGGGGCTGAGGGTTGTGTGAGGGGAAAAAACCCTTACCCACATGTGGTGAGCAAGCAACCTAAATTCTAAGACCAGTTATCAAAATCCCCAACATTACCACAGAGCAACAGACTCCAAACACAACTTTAAGACCTAGTTCTGAAATATTCTGCAGGTAAGGAGTAACCATAAAACTACGAAACTATTAGACGGGATGAATGGGAGTGAACATTCAAAATTTAAAATAAAATTCATTCAAAATAAGTCTGCAAGCTAAATTTCTCAAAACATAAAAAAGTAGTTCTAAAAGAGACAAATATCTAAATCAACAGTCATAATATAATACCATAAAATGTAAAGAACATCTCAAGAACTAAGAATGTCTGAACTGAAAAAGAAAAGATGAAGTTGAGAGTTTTCAAATATTTAGAGGATTATAGCAGAAGAGGATTAAACTTAAGAACCTAAACCAGCTCTCACTTAAGTTCAATTCTTCTCAAATCAATTCTGAGAGATGTTTCATATCAGAAAAGTAAGTTTTAGGTTTGTCAGATGATATGATAAACTGACTAAAAACTCTGTTTTTTCCTTAAAGTACTAGTAAATAGCCAAGATCTAAGTTGGGTTCAACAGATCAATGTAGTCCCTAGCTTCAAAAAAGAGATGTGACATAAAAGAACTGAAGATAATATTCATTAATGGTTTCTTAAGAAGAAGGAATAAGGCCCAAAGTTGTAACTCATGCCTATTAACTTGGCACTTTGGGAGGCTGAGCAGGTGGACCGCTTGAGCCTAGGAGTTTAAGACCAGCCTGATCAATATGGTGAAACCCTGTCTCTACAAAAAATACAAAAATTAGCTGTGTGTGATGGTGCATGCCTGCAGTCCCAACTTCTTGGGAGGCTGAGGTGGGAGGATTCTGTGAGCCCAGGAGGTCAAGGCTGCAGTGAGCCATAATCACACCCTAAACTGCAGCCTGAGTGATAGGGTAATAAGAGTGAGACCCTATCTCAAAAAAAAAAAAGAAGGAATAAAGTATTATTTCCATGTGACTAGAAATTTATCTAAAAGATTTAAATATATACCTTAATTGAACCTTAGAAAGACTGAAAAATAAATAAATAAATAAATAAAAAATTGGCCGAGCGCGGTGGCTCATGCCTGTAATCCCAGTACTTTGGGAGGCCGAGGCGGGTGGATCATGAGGTCAACAGATCGAGACCATCCTGGTCAACATGGTGAAACCCCGTCTCTACTAAAAAAAAAAATAATAAATACAAAAAATTAGCTGGGCATGGTGGTGCGTGCCTGTAATCCCAGCTCCTCGGGAGGCTGAGGCAGGAGAATTGCCTGAACCCAGGAGGCGGAGGTTGCGGTGAGCCGAGATCGCGCCATTGCACTCTAGCCTGGGTAACAAGAGCGAAACTCCGTCTCAAAAAAATAAATAAAATAAACAAATAAAATAAAAAATTTAAATATAATTGAAGGCTTCTGATGAGAGCAAAGGAAAACTAATGGAGAAGGTACTAATACATACTTGCCTTTTTCAAAAAATTTCCAAACTATATGTGGAATTAGCAGTACTTACAGCACTTCAGAACCCAGAAGGTTTTTGAAAAGAAAATTACATATATACATGGAATTCTCTAAAATCATCTGTAATTTTTCTAATGGAGATAATCACAAGCCACTGCTAACAGTTGTTATTTTGAGGAGAGAATTGGGAGAGGGGTGGAGAGGTAAAAGGAAGCTTTTAATCTAATTTGCTATCCTGGTAAATGAATTATGTTTTTTTAATATCAGAGGGATTTATCTGGTTGGCGATAATCCTACCACTACACTATTTAGGTCCTCAACACTAAAAACATGTTTTTATGATTAAATTCTAATCATAAGTATCTTTTTAACAAATGTTATCTACTAAAAAACAAATTTCAGCAATTATTTTCTTATAATTCTTTTTCTTTTGAAAATTCTCAAACCTTCAGAAAGGTTGGAAAACTAGCACAATGAACACCCATATGACTTTCACAGAGTTCGTAATTATTAACATTTTGCCGGCAGGCATAGTGGCTCACGCCTGTAATCCAAGCACTTTGGAGGCGAAGGCGGGCGGATCACCTGAGGTCGGGAGTTCAAAACCAGCCTGACCAACATGGTGAAACCCCGTCTTTAAAAAAATAAACAAACAAACAAATAAATAAATAAAACATTTTGCCACACATTCCCATATATATGTATTATGCATATGACTTTTTTTTGGCTGAACCTTCTAAAAGTAAATTATAGGCATCGGGGCAATTCATCCTTAAATACTTTAGCATGTCTTGAGTTAATTTTTTTATAAGGTGTAAGAAAAAAAAAAAGAAAAAGAAAAAAATACTGTAGCATGTAATTCCTAAGAACAAGGGCATTATCCTATACAACCATAATACAATTATGACACTCAATAACTTTAACATTGATACTATTTTCTAATATACAGTCCATATTAAAGTCATCCCAACTGTCCCAATAATGTCCTTACTGGCTATTTTGTTTTGATAAAGGATCCAATCAAGAATCATGCATTGCATTTAGCTGTCAGGTCCCATTATCTCCTTAAATCTAAATAGCTTCCAGCCTTTATTTTGCCTATCATGATACTGACCAGTTACTGTTGCAATATACAGCTCACTTTGGAAATGTGTGATTGTTTCCTCATGTTTTGATTTATAGTGTGTTAAACATTCTGGCAGGAATGCCACATATGTAATTATATATCCTAATTAATATATTTATTTATAATCAATACACTTCATTATACTTATATACTTATATATTTAAGTGCTAAAACTTAATGTAAGTATATAATCAATATACTTATATATTTAAGTGCTAAAACTGCTACTATCTCACTTAAGTGACCAAATGTAATTACTAGCCATCATGCAACACATGATGTCAGTTTATTAATCAAATCTGGTCACTTAAGTGAGATAGTGTCACGTTTAGCACTTAACATAGTCCAAATTTAAATCAGCATCCTATTAACCTAAGAGTAATATTTCTCTAAGCAGAGGATCCCCTCCACTACTTGGTTTTCTAGCTTTCTCTCTTTTCTGGTGGTATTCACAAACAGCTCCTCAACTTAAACCCTAATCAGTCCCCATTCTCCCACTCCCCACAGAGCAGCACAGGCAAGTCCTCCATAGCTAGAGACTGTTGCTATAGAATATAAGAACGAATTTAGCATATTCCATTTAGCTCTGCTGCTCTCAGGCCTAGAATATAAGCCAGATTAACCTTGAAAATTAAATCAAAGATTTAGGGGGGGAAATGCAATTCAAAATCCTAAGGGTTTAGACCTTAAGAAGCTCATAGTCGAATGCTAAAACAAGCAGCTACCTGAACCCCATTAAGCTTGGGAGACTGGCAATATTACCATGAGAGGACAAGGAGTAAAAGATATAACACAGTCAATAAATACTAACAGACTAAACAAACAAAACAAATCAGTTGTTGCTTTGACATTAGTACACTAAAAATATAATTAGGTATGTTGTTTCTTTGAAATTACAAAGTAATTTATGTATTCACAGCTTTCTTCCAAGCAATTACAGCATCAATATTATAGAGAAATGTTTCTATATACTGAATAAAACAATCAAATCTCTACTTTTATCTGGATCTCAGATAAGACTGACAATATCAATGCCAACTCACAATCTTTGATTTGAAGATATCCAGCAGACCTGATAAGTGAGTGTACTGATTTGGCACTTTTCTAAGATGAACCATTTCAAAATCAGTTCGTACACCAGGACCTTGACATTCTCCTACATACATTCTTCGCCATTTCTGGTGAATTTGCACGAACAGTGGCACCTGACTGCAAGATATGATTAAATGGGAATAGAATAGAAGCTCATTAAACATTAAACCTGAACTCCTGAACCTCACATTTTTCCCAAATTATTTTAATCTCAAGACTATAAAAGCACTAAACTGGAAACAACAAAAACACAGGTTTATAACAAAGACATTCTTAATTCCTTTTTCTCCTTATACTACTAAACTGAAGAAACTACCATCTAGAGGTATTTTGATTAGTCTGAAAATTGTTTTAGAACAGCTAACTAAAAGTCAGAAAAAATGAGAATGAAAACTGTCTTGAATAAAAGTGGTTAATATTAGTCTTTCCAAATTAATAATAAAACCTAACTCACAGGTATTAAACAATGTAAATTAAGCCAATATTGTAGTGAAAGATTTTTCATTTCATCTAAAGATAAAGGAGGGCTCCTAAGCACAAGAAGGTTGTGATGTGCCTTACAGAGAAAATATGTGTGTTAAGCTTCGTGCATGCACAAGTTACACTGCTTTTGGCTACAAGTTCGATGTTAATGACTCAACAATGTATATTAAATAAGCTACCTTTAAACAGAAACACACATAAAAGAAGGTTATGTATCAATTGGTTGACAAAAATGTGACCAGAGGCTCACAGGAACCTAAGTCTGTATCTCACCTAGGAGAAATAGGTCAGGAATTGATAACAGTGTTTGTGGCAACTTTGTAACACATAAATACCTTAAATAACAAGAAAGGATTGTACAAATACATCCCCAAGTTAATAATGCTACATTAGTAAATATTCTAGCCATTCCTTTTTTTAAAAGGCAAAATTACTCACTTAGGATATACCACGGAGTACATCCACTATTATAAATTAATTATTTCCCAGTAGATTTAGAGTTAGCGTATCATAGTCTATTCACTACGCAAATGAAACACAACTCAAAATAACAGTAGTGATTGAACAAATTTCACTTTCTTAAATACTTTCATTTAAGAATAGAGCCTAAAAATACTGAAAATTAACTTTTAAAGAAGTTATTCCAAATACACATTGAATTATTTCAGTAAGATTATCTTTAGAAATGGCCTTCATTGGCTGGGCGTGGTGGCTCATGCCTGTAATTCCAGCACTTCGGGAGGCTGAGGTGGGTGGATCACCTGATGTCAGGAGTTCAAGACCAGCCTGGCCAACATAGTAAAAACCCATCTCTACTAAAAATACAAAAAATTAGCCGGGTGTGGTGGCACACACCTTTAATTCCAGCTACTTGGAGGCTGAGGCAGGAGAACTGCTTGAACCCAGAAGGCAAAGGTTGCAGTAAGCCAAGATCGCACCACTGCACTCCAGCCTGAGCAACAGAGCGAGACTCTGTCCCAGAAAAAAAAAAAGAAAAGAAAGAAAAAGGAATGGCCTCCATTTAGGTTTTATTAGTTTTGTCCTTATATACCAAATTCCAGTATAAAAATATGCAGGTGTACTGTTAAAAAAGTTTTTTCAACTAATTAAACTTAACAGAGTTTATTTGAGGCCAGGTACAGTAGCTCACACCTGTAATCCTAGCACTCTGGAAGGCTGAGGCAGGCAGATCATCTGAGATCAGGAATTTCAGATCAGCCTGGCTAACACAGTGAAAACCCAGTCTCTACTGAAAAAAATATATATATGTGCATATATATATATATATATATATATGTACTAAAAATATATATGTACTAAGTTCCTAATTACAATAAAAAAGCTAACTTTTAATAACTGTTTGCCTTTGTAAATTATTAAAAATAGCTTTTTTGTCTAGGTTTTAAAAAATGTCCACTCACCAGCCAGTGTTTCCCAAGGCAATAGAAACAGAACTCAGTAGAAGGTTGCACTTAGATTCACTGAGAACAGCATCACTGTGTGCAGCGGGGGCAATCACCACGAACTCTCGAAGACCATACCTTAAAAAAATAATTACTGCATTTAACAGGAGAAACCTCAGGATACAAAAATCCATTACTTGAAAAACACACAAAAAAACTTCCCTACAGAAAATTTAACAAGTCAGGTTTAAACTACAGATGTTTCTTTTAATGGCAATCCAACCTACAAAGACCTCAATTTTAAGAAGCACTTCTTCCATCATCCACCTATTAGTTCCCCTCTATTCTTTACAAATTAGAAACAATTTGCATATATCACAAAAACCATTAAACAACAGTTTTGCCTTCAAAGTTAAGTTTACAAGATAAAAGAAAGCAATTATTGAAATTTTGCTTTAATGAACTGACAGCATTAAGTCCCCAAATGAGGAAAGTTTGACAGATTCCCTAAACTGCAGGAAAATTATCAGCAATGATGTACAAGTCTTGTCTAAATGTGAGAATACAGTTTACTAAGAATCCTAATTAAGGAATTTTTGTGTTCTTTTACTCAACACATATTAAAAAGGGGTCAAAAAATTATCATAAAACAGCTTAATCTTGCTATGACAGCTACATTAATTAAAACTTGTCATTCAGTTGCCACATCCTTTAAAGTCACAAATTTGTTGCCAAGCTTTTACAAAAACATAGTCAAATTGATGATCTGGTCTACTGAAAATTCCTCTCCTATTCACTCTGTATTTTTATTTAATATTTTTTAAATAAATAAAATAACTTATGAACGATATTACTCGTTTGCCTAAATTATTTTAATCTCTGGTATGTGAAGTTATTAATGCTTATTTTTATAAACATTCTTCTCAAGCAATTCCTAAAACAGCAGTAATGATTTAAAAAACAAAGTTTAATTCATAGTATGTTTATTATTTGGATGACAAAAACTTATTTCATTTCCTCATGCTGCCTCTACCTTCCTAGCCCTAAAAATCAAAATTAGTTATGTAGAGGCAGCATAAAATAATGAAAATACAGAGCTTTAAAAATTAAGCTCTAAAGATCTTTGAAAAATATAGTTTTCTTTTTTCCAAATGTCCCTGAAAGAAAGAAAACAAAACAAGTGAACATCCCCCTGTTCCATCCCCTGTACTGGTGTCAAATTACTGTCAACAGTTTCTTGGTTATTCTTCCAGAAATGGTTCATTTAACCATGTAACCACCTATTCCCAAATAAGATTATATATATTTATATACTTCGTAAAGCTTCGTTTCAAAGGACAGTCCCCTACTGATCAGTACTTTATTTCCAGTTTCATGCTGCTGCAACAATACTGCAACTGTCTCTTTCTACAAATATATCTCTATAATAAATTTCTAGTGGTTGCTAGATAAAAGAACATTTGCATTTTAACACTGACAGCTGTTGTCAAACAATCTTCTTACTGTATACACACACACACACACACACACACACACAGTGCCACAGTTGTATACACAGTTGTATACTTGAATAACAACCCAAGCTGAATTGCCATTTATCTGCGATCTACCTTCCATCTCCTAAGCCTTTGTTTCCTCTATCTATTGATAAAATGTCTCCCCCTCATCCACTGTACTGCCATTACTAAATACCCAAATTCTGACAAGTCCTTTAAAGATTTACCTTGCCATGCATGGTGGCTCACACCTGTAATCCCAGTATCTTGGCAGTTCAAGGCAGGAGGATCACTTGAGCTTAGGAGTTCAAGACCAGCCTAGGCAACATAGCAAGAAAACCCTCTACAAAAATTCTGAAAATTAGCTGGGCATGATGGAGAGTGCCTGTAGTCCCAGCAACAGGGGAGGTTGAGGTGGGAGGATCACTTGTTAAATGTACTCTCTTCTTTATGATCTTTAGAATGTCAATTTAAGTCATTACTTTTTTCTCAATAGGTCTACTTGAATCCTAAGACTATGCCTTCTTCAAAAGTAAACAAACATTAAGTGGGAGCTTTAAAAAAAAAAAAATAAGTAAAAATCAACAACGACAAAAACCAACCAGATTTTAAATTGGGCAAAGGACTTGGATGGATGTCCCTCGAAAGAAAATATACAAATGGCAAATAAGCACATGAAAATATCCTCAACATCACTAATCTTAGAGGAATGCAAATTGAATCTACTATGACATAACACCTCATACCCATTAGGATGGCTATTATCAAAGAAACCAACAATAAGTGTTAGCAAGGATGCAGAGAAATAAAAATCCTTGGGCACTGTTGGTAGAAATGTAAAACAGTTAAACAGTATGATAGATTATTTTTAAAAATGAACACAAACTAACCACTTGATCCAGCAAAACACTGATTATAAATCCAAAAGAAATGAAAACAGAGATTCAAATAGGTATTTGTGCACCCATGTTCATAGCAGAATTATTCACAGTAACCAAAAGGTAGAAGCAATCCAAATGCTCATCTACAGATGAATGGATAAATGTGGTATACACATACAATCAAATATTATTTACTTTTAAAAACAGTAAATTCCAATACATATAGCAACACAACTGAACTTAGAAGACATTATGCTAAGTGAAATAAAAGCCAGTAAAAAAAGGGCAAATGTTACATTGATTTTACTTATATGAGGTACTAAAAGAATGACAGTCATACAGAGAGAAAGTAATACTGGTTCCAGTGGCTAAGAGGGAGAGGAGAGAAGTGGTTGTTTAATGGTTACAGGGTTTCAGTATGGGCTGATAAAGTTCTGGAAAAGGATAGTGGTGATGGTTGCACAAAAATGTGAATATACTCAATACCACTGAACTGTACACTTAGAAATGGTTAAAAGGGCAAATTTTGTTATGGGTGTTTTACCACAATAAAAAAATTAAACATAAAAAATGAGAAAAAACATATACATTTTATAGAATAAGAAATATAAATGGTTAATAAGTCTATAAAGATGCTCAATCTCACTATTAGAAAAATAAATATTAAAACAAGATATCACTGTTACTCTACTGGCAAAAAATATAAAATACTGATAGACTCCAGTGTTCACAAGAGTGCTGGAATATGCCACAGGTGGTGATATAAACTTTAAAAGAAGGTTTAGGCTGAGGTGGGAGGATCGCTTGAGGTCAGAAGTTTCAAACCAGCCTGGGAAACATAGTGAGACCCCCATCTCCACAAAAAATGTAAAAAGCAGCTTGGCATGGCGGTGTGCATCTGTACTCCTAGCTACTCAGGTGGCTGAGGTAGGAGGATAACTTGAGCCCAGGAGGTCAATACTGCAGGGAGTCATGATCACACCACTGTACTCCAGCCTGGTGACAGAGCGAGGCCCTGTCTCTTAATAAAAAAAAAATTTTTTTAATTTTGGAAAGCAAAAGGGCAGAATATATCAATATTTAAAATTGACAAAACTCAATTATATATCTCAAAATCTATGCTACAAAACCATTCTTACAAATGCAAAAAGATGTATGTAAAGTATAAACAACCTATTCTTCAATAGAGGAGTGGCAAAATAATTAGTTACCACCACCAATACCACCATGCACAAACACATAATAAAGAGATATTTTATATTCATGAATAGGAAGACAGTATTATCAAGACCCAGTTCTTTCCAACTTCTACAGATTCAATGCAATCCCAATCAAAATTTCAGCTAGTTATTGTAAGGATATCCACAAACTGATTCTAAAGTTTATAAGCAGAAGCAAAAACAAAAACAAAAAAAAAACCCTTAAAATAATAATAAAATATTGAAGAAGAAGAAATTTGGAGAACTAACACTATCAAACTTCAAGCACTACTATAAAGCTACAGAAATCAATAGTGTGGTATTCGCAAACAGAACAGACTAATAGAGATCAATGGAACAGAAGAGAGAGCCCAGAAACAGACACACATAAATATTATCAATCAATCTCTGAAAAGGAGCAGAAGCAATACAATGGAGATAGTCTTTTCAACAAATGGTGCTGGAACAACTGGACATCCACATGCAAAAAAATAAATCCAGACAGTCTTTACATCCTCCACAAACGCTAACTTAAAAGGGATTACAGACCTGAATATAAAATGCAAAGTTACAAAACTCCTAGAACACAGAATAAAAATATAGACTACTTTGGGTTTGTTGATGACCTTTTAGATGCAATACCAAAGGCACAATCCACGAAAAAAACAAACTGATACGCTGGACTTCATTAAAATTAAAAATTTCTGCTCTGTAAACGACACTATCAAGAGGATGAAAGACACAACCATAGTCAGGGAGAAAATATTTGCAAAAGGCATTTCAGATAGAGAACTGTTATCCAAAATCTACAAAGTACTCTTAAAACAAAAATAAGAACATAATCCAACTTAAAAAAAAAATAGGCCAAAAGACTTCAACCAAACACCTCACCCAGGAAGATATAAAGATAGCAAACACCCCAAAACCTATAATCCAATAAAAAATTAAAAAAAAAAAAAAAAAGATAGCAAACAAGTATATGCAAAGATGTTCCATCACATGTAATCAGGGAAGCAAAATTAAAACAACATACCTGTTAGGGTGAGTTTTGTTAATAAATCTTTATATTTCCTAAAATTTCTAGCCCAGTAACTTAAATTTATTAGGTCAAATGTATCAACTCAAATGAAAATGTCACAATTATATGTCTTCATAACTGTTTCATCTGAATAACAGATTGCATATGTATACTAAATACTATATTTAAATATTAATGTGTCTTAGCATCCCATCCTCCAAATGACAAAGGTAGGACAAACATTCATTTTTGTTCATTTTGTTTTAAGATGCATTTTTATTTCCTCGTCCAATAAAGACCAAAAGTACCACAACAAAAATTTAACCAATATTTGATATATTTGTTGTTACTCTCACATAGACAAATCATAAAACCATACCCACTTACCTTCAACGCTACCATTCTACAACTCTCACATGTATTATCTTAGAAAGAAATAGATTAAGGACCCCTTCAAAAAAAAGTGGCATAAAAGTATATGCATAAAACACTGTATCACCAAAAAATGGTCGTTCTAAATAATGAAAAAACAATTCCTTAGACA